AGTCTGGGCCCGCTGGATGCACTTCTCAGCTTACTCCCCCGTCTACGAAATCATGGTCGGCACGAACCATACCCCCTGGTACCCACCCTATCCGCCACGGCTCGTCTCGATCCTCAAATCTACCGCAAACGAACACCACGCCCTCCTCCCGTACATCAAGTCTTTCACATACCAAGCCAGTTTGACCGGCGTACCTGTCATGCGTGCCCTCTTCCTCGAAGCGCCCAATGATCCGAAAGTCCTCGACACACCTGATGCCTATTACTTTGGGGACAGCTTCTTCGTGGCCCCGATAGTGCAAGAAGGTGGTCGTCGAACAGTCTATTTCCCCAATGACACTGTCTCTGTGTACACCAACCGCGCCTACCTGGAATACTACAAAAAGACGGATGTGTACCAGGGCGGGTCTTCTACGGACGTGACATTGGAGTGGGAGTTCTCCCCTGTGTACGTGCGGGAAGGCTCCATCGTCGTCAAGGGCGACATCTACCAAGGCAACAACAAGTGGACAAAGAACTGGGCGCCCAGTCTAACAATCGAGGCGTTCCCTAGCTATAACTTCGGCACGTACGTGTTTCCCTACTACAATGGGGCTGAAGTGGTGAATATCACGTTGAGCAGTTCGACCGAGTCGCAGACTGCAACTGTACAGTGGGATGGTGACCTGGGCGTGAACCAAGCGACAATCGTATTTTATGGAAAGGGTGGAGCTAAGAACGTTTCTGCCTCCGCAACCAGTACGGGAGGGTCAGCGCAGGCGTCCAATTTCAGCAGTATCTTCGGATGAGATTTGAGGCGGATCCATTCCTCCGAGAGCGAAAGGCAAAATACATGAGGGTTTAAGGGATGCAACTGTAGACCCGGTAACAACTTCAGCGGAGTTGTCGTCTTGCACGGTGATCAGACGCGGGTCGCGGGGAAAAGAAGGACATAGCAGAGTTGCATGAATCACGAATAAAGAGAGTGTATCCCGAAACATTCTTCCTTGCTGAAGCCGACCTGTAAAACCGGGTCATGTCAGCCTCGACGCCTATCAGTATAAGTCGAGCTTCAATTTCGTGGTGAGAATAGGCACGAGGTATGGAGTGCTGGGTACTACTATATGATCCGTGTGCCAATCGTCCCTACTGTGGGAGACTTGTGGCCCAGTCACCGTCAACATCAGAGAAATGCCGGGGGAGGCGAAAAGCATCGTCGGCCACTTTCGGTCTGCCAAGGAAAATTCTGGAAGCGAGATTTCTAAGTGATCACGTGCAAGCTGCCAGCCTCAAGCGCAAGCGCATTTCTTCGCGATAGTGTCGAAGGGACAACTTTCGACATTTCACTAAACTTTCATCCATAGTTCATCGACATATCAAGGTTGCGATTCTACGCGCCTAATCCAATAAACCGATACCATACGATAATACCCATTTTATCTCTTCCACATTCAACAAACGAACTCACACCCCCTCTTCACCTTTACCTAGCCATCATCTCGGAAATCCCACGGACGCGCCACAACAATGGCCAACTACCTCGCGTCCATCTTCGGCACGGAACAAGACAAGGTCAACTGCTCCTTCTACTACAAGATCGGTGCTTGCCGGCACGGCGACCGGTGCTCGCGCAAGCACGTCAAACCGTCGTACAGCCAGACGATCCTGCTGCCGAACCTGTACCAGAACCCGGCATACGACCCGAAGAACAAGATGAACGCGAGCCAGCTGCAGAACCACTTTGACGCCTTCTACGAGGACTTTTGGTGCGAGATGTGCAAGTACGGCGAGCTCGAGGAGGTGGTGGTGTGCGACAACAACAACGACCACCTCATCGGCAACGTGTACGCGCGCTTCAAGTACGAGGACTCGGCCCAGGCGGCCTGCGACGCGCTCAACTCGCGCTGGTACGCCGCCCGGCCCATCTACTGCGAATTGAGTCCCGTCACGGATTTCCGCGAGGCGTGCTGTCGGCTGAACAGCGGCGAGGGCTGCGTCAGGGGCGGCTTCTGCAACTTCATCCATAGAAAGGAGCCGTCGCCCGAGTTGGAGCGCGAGTTGGAACTCAGCACCAAGAAGTGGCTCAAGGAGCGCGGCAGGGACGAGAGGAGCATGTCGAGGAGTCCGAGCCCGGAGCCGACGAGGAAGAGATACTAAGAGGGGGAAAGAAACCCCGTTGGATGCTCAGGCTGAGGCTGAGCTGAGCACCAACAGCCCAAACACACCATCTCGCAGCTCAATGAGGAAAAGACAATGTCATACCACCGGTGAAAAGCCGCTTCTTGGGAATCCGCCAAAGCAAGCCCAACGTCTCCGATGGCTACACACACTATCACCCGCTCTCACGAAGGGTTCGTCGAGGGAAGACCTCGAGCACGGGGCAGGAAGCGACATCGAACAATTCGCCAGACCGCGCCATCGTAAGCTGGACACACACAGCATAGATCCTGGCCAGACGCATTCGCCACCAATCGGCAACACCTGACAAATAGTGGAAGGGGGGGGAGCTGAAATCCTTATACGATGTTTCGCAGTCCACTAAGGCCCGGACAGCGAGATGAAGCCCTGATACGCATGTCTTGCAGTTCCACTGAGACCCCTGGACCGCGAGCAGATCCAAACCACAGCGGGCCAATCCAATGGACGTGTCTGGACGGACACTTTCCCTCGTGAGACCCAAGTCCAGCACACGGAATCTCCTCCTCGTCCACCACTACTACCACTACCACTACCACTACCACTCTCGGTATAGCCTGGTGCCCTCGTCTGTGAACAGACCTCTCAGCCGCTTGGGCCTGATGTGCAAAGTGTCTCCGTTGACATGGAAAGTAGTGCAAGAGAAGAACGGGGGATCGAGCTGGGATCATGTCATGGCTTCTCGAGTGGTTACTGTTCTTCTAGCTTGATAGAGACGAAGACAACTCAGACAGGGAACAGCTTTGGAGACTGCCACAGGCAAGAAGTGATTCGAAGACTGCGCCTTCAGTATTCGAAGGCCTGATGTAGTGGCTAGTATCACAACAAGCGCATGAGCTCTTACTCGCATCCATTAAAAACCAAAACACTCAATGAATCCATTCTGGATCATTCAATTCTGTTGTCAAAGTCTAGTATTCAGTCTATTGGTATCCTGAAGGGCCGGCAAGGGGTAACTGTGCCCTGCGGCTTTTGGTAGACATGTTTCTCGTGATCTTCGTGATAGTCCAAGCGGTTTCTTGCGCCCACTTGGTGCTTCGGCTGGTCACATGTACAAGTCAAGCAATGTACAAATGTTCCCATTGCCTGAGCTGCTCCTGTAAACGGCTCGCTTTGGTGGGAGTTCGCAGACATATAATGGCTGTGAGAGAGCTTGGCCGGGTGAGTCGGCCGTGCTTTGTGGTTGACGCGGGGACAGATACCCACCGCAGGGTTGATACGTGATAAGATGTCGACGGTAAGTTGTATAGCTGCATGGATTTTGCTTCGTCAGAGTGAGTCGGAGTGGCTAGTGTATGTGGCCACAAGACTGTGATAATGATAATGCATCCAGCTCGATTGTCGGTATCTGGGCGCCTCGTCACGACCTGTCCTTGAAGGGCCCGACCTTCGAGAACCACAGCAGCACGAGAACAACGGCAGCGATGACGATAAGGAACCCGAATGCAATGATCCAGCCAAAGATCCGAGTGCGACGTTGTTTTCTTCGATTTCGTTCGAGCCATGATCCTCTGTGGCCTGTATGTCAGCAGGCCAGTCTCGATCTCGCATGCCGGGTTTATAATGCCAACTTACGTATGTTTCAACTGCGGCCTCGACGATACAGTCGACAAGGACCCTCCATCGGACATGTTTGCCTTCTCTTCATCTTGCTGATGGACCGCGACCGAAAACCGTTTCCAAAATGCCGGATCTTGAACGGCCGCCATTGCCGACACCCAACAAATCCAGCAGTGCTCTATGCTTGAGAGATCGTTCTCGAGTGTTCTGGCGTCCGAGGGCTTAAGAAAGTTCGGCAGTCGGGTGTCTCGATTGGAGAGATTGAAGGGTTGTCGCCAGTGTTTCGAGATAACGAGACGCACAAAACAGAGCAAGGTGCGACACAAAAATGAGTGGACGATACTGGAGCACGAAGGAATGAAGTGCAACAGATCTTGGACGGCAGCAGTAATGCCAGTGGCAGAAGGTCAACGGTGCAGGAACAACTCCCTCACATATTCGGCTTCAGGAAAAGATGGAAGGAATGAGCCTGGTATAGATGCTGGAGGCAACGCTGGCTCTTGCAGCCGAACGACAGTTCGCATTTCCGCATTCAGGAGGCTTGAGGTTCCACCGCCGAATTTGCTTCGTTTCTCCCGTGGTGCCCAGCGCTTTCCCAAGAGCCTCGTCAAGCCTTATCGTTGATCACAGTGTCGCGTGGCCTTGTGGCGGTCCATCCGATGGCCAGGCACTTCCCTGTTGGGAAACGGTAGGCGTTCCGATCAAATCCTGACGGCGCCAATCACGACAGTGGATGTCGTGTCCCGCTCGAGGCAATAATCTCTTTACCGGATCGCGATAATGCTGACAGCGGGAAGTGGGATTTGCGAGGATCCAAGAAACGACTATTGATTGGGCTGACGCGGAGACGATGCGAATCACAAGAAACAGGAGCGGTTTGAAAGGCAAAGAAAGGTGATCCGAGGTGGAGTTGACGGGAAATTACATCTGGACCATTGCCGGCTTTGCGCATGCGATTCCGACGCGTAACCAGACGCGTCAACAATTTTCCATTCCGGGCGTGTTGCTCCCCAAGTTCGGGGTGCGGCAGGACGGGAAGGGGATCTTCTGAATACCGTGTAGATCGGTGTCAGTAGCTCGCATTGCGTCAGCTTTTCAGAGTATTAAGCCTCGGATTGGAGATCAGCATCTAAAGAGGGTTTACGGAGTACAGCATAGACAGACACGGCACAGAGGGATCATCACCCCGTGCAACAAAGCACCCATTGACGCCAGCTTCGTCATAACCTAACTCAGTCGCCCGCGCTGTCCGGATATTGCAGTCGTCTACGGCCCAAAGATGACATAGCGCATCATCGCGAGCGCGTTCCCCAGCAAGGTGAAGACAGTTCTTTTCTTTGGGTTCTCCAGCACAACTTCCGGAAACCTCTCCTCGGCGAAGATGGCATGCGCCACTTCCCTGGTCAGAATGCCACCGGTTTGCGCAGTGTTTACAGCGCCGACAGCCTGCAAGACCCGGACAAACCACAAGTTCAGAGGCAATTTCGGGGCTCCTGCCGCGCGACTCTCTTTGTCTCGCCGAATGAAGGTCTTGGCCAGCGATCGGTGGGTGATGGGCCCGCCCTCTGCGTCGTCGAGCATGGCTTGCAGCATATCCGGCTGAAAGGTATAATTGTCCCCTTGGTGGAAATCGAGGCGGGTGAACGACGAGTCGTGCTCGATGACGTTGTGCCGGCGTGTGTCTACCAGGTCGAAGGTGCCATCGTTGCGGAGGAGAGGAGGGAGACTGCTACAGAGCGAGGCTGCGGCTAACCAGTCCATGTGGAGGGCAGTCTCCAGCGCGTGTTGGACTTGCGGAATGGTGAGGTTTCTCCCATCTCGTGGTCTGTGACGCGGGCCAGTCAGTAGGTTTCCTTGAACGCTCATTCAGGGTCGAGTTACAGCCAGCCTTGGTTTGCCAACGCATTCAGCCCAGGACACGGTCCCCGATGCTCAGCATCTCCTTTGATATACGTGTGATCTGCATTGTTCGCGAGCTTTGCCTGAGATTTCTTATCCAGATACCCTCCTGTGACGGCCGTCTTCACAATGCTGGTGAGGGTTAACTGCATGATGGATCACAGCGAGGATGCCGGAAGAGGATAGCGAGGTCTGCAGTGAGGTTGTTGTGAGTGCTTCTGAGGGTGCGAGTCTGTCGGTAATGCTGGCTCAGCATGAACAATGTTGAACCCATCCTCACCGATCTGTCACATGCGACTCGTATAAGTTCTTCTCAGCTCTTGCCCGACAAAGCCACTCCGGTTGCATTTCTGGTGTTGGCCTGTTACACAGCGTGGGTGGCAGCTGCCCTGCAGGAGCAGCCATTTGCGGGGTCGTAATCAGTGCAAAGGCACATGAGCTGAAGGCCTGATACGAAAAGCTGATGGTTGACTGCAGCAGAGCTGACTGCTTGGTGCGTGCCTGACGCTACCGAGCCAGTCAGCCCAGAGGAATTTCAAATGGTGGCTTGGCCCAAACGGATCAGCCACGGAAACTTGCAGCAGTCGCCTTTGCGATTTCACCAATGTGATGAGCGTTGTTCACCATGTCACATCTGCGCCTGAAGGAAGTAGGGAAGTTGCGCAGGGCGTCGACTGAAGGAGCTGAGCCGCCATAGCAAGAACATGTGACAATCGCTCTCTTTTTAACATGTCTCACCCGACTGTGACTCTCACCATGTTGTCCCAGCACTCGATATCTCCTGAACGTCCTCAGTCACCGCAGCCATGGACGAAGCAATTCGACCAAGCTACAAGGCCGGTCTGTTCGATCGCTTCACTATCGCGCTCTTCCATTTCGTCAACAAGTTCATCCCATGGCACAAACTCCCCAGCTTGATCGGGGCTTTGAACCTCGAGGCAATGCGTGTCGAGCTCCGGCAGTACAATTTGCACGATGTCTACCCTGATGGCACCGCTCAAGGCACACAGGCGACCTGTCCCATGACCAGCACCCGGTTCGAAAAGGCGCGCAACTCTGATGGCAAGTTCAATTCCACGGAGATGCCTCTGATGGGCTGCACCAACATGCGCTTTGGCCGGAACTTCCCCAGAGCCTTCTGCCCAAAGCCGCACGAAGAGGACCTCTGGAACCCGAACCCGAGAATGGTAAGTTCAGCAAGGAATATCCGTCGCCCTCGAGGCCCCATCGGCCGCTTTTCAAGTGACCGATCTCGAGCTTCCATGCGTGCGCAGATTCATGTTTCAGGCATAGACTCCAATGCATGGAGATAGTTCTATGGGTGAGAGATCAAGCTGACAGAGTGACGTTGGTAATGACAGTTGAGCGAGCGCTTCATGAAACGAGATAGGTTCATCCCCGCTACGACTTTGAACTTGTTGGCGGCGGCGTGGATTCAATTTCAAACTCACGATTGGTTTGTTCACGAGACTGTAAGGTGACAGCCGTCGGGCGATGCCGGCCATCGAGCTGACGCTTGACAGACTGAAGAGATGTACAATATCGAACTACCTCCTGGAGATTCATGGGAAGGCGGCGAGACAATGCACCTTGACAAAACGAAACCGGACAAGATTCTCAGCGACACGGACCATAAATCTCCCGGATACAAGAATCTCAACACCGCCTGGTGGGACAGCTCGCAGATCTACGGCTCCAGCGAAGAAGTGACAAAATCATTGCGCAAGATGGACAGCGACGGAAAGCTGGCGCTCACGAGAGACGGCCGAGAGCAGTTCCTTCCTCGCGACGAGTTCGGGTTGCCAAAGACCGGGTTCAACAACAACTGGTGGATAGGCATGGAGATCTTGCACACTTTGTTCGCATTGGAGCACAATTCCATCTGCGATATGTTGCGCCGCAACTACCCAGACTGGACAGGCGACCAGATCTTCGACAAAGCCCGCCTGGTCAACTGCGCGCTCATGGCAAAGATCCACACCGTGGAATGGACGCCTGCTATTCTCGGGCATCCCACGCTCCAAATCGCCATGAATGCGAATTGGTGGGGTCTGGTCGGCGAGAAATTGACAAAGTTACTCGGCCGCATCTCCAAGACGAGCGAGGTCATCAGTGGTATCCCAGGTAGCGGTGTTGACCACCAAGGCGTACCTTACTCCCTGACTGAGGAATTCGTCTCCGTCTACCGCATGCATTCGCTCGTTCCGGATAAAATTGCTTTCTTTGATGCTCAGGATGGCCACCATCGCAAGACCATCCCCGTTGAAAACATGCTCTTCACCAAGGCACAAGAACCACTTGATCCACCTGAGAATCTCAACTTCGCCGATGCATTCTACTCCTTTGGCATCAACTTCCCTGGCGCAATCACGAACAACAACTACCCGGCGTTCTTGAGAAACTTGAAGGTGCCAACAGATAAATTCACCCGTGACATGGGCACCGTCGACCTCGTCCGGGACCGTGAACGTGGAGTGCCTCGGTACAACCAATTTCGCCGCCTGTTGCGCATGCCTGCTCCGAAGACCTTCGAAGAACTCACAGGCGGCAACAAAGCCCTCGCGGCAGAGTTGTCAGACGCGTATAACGGGGATATCGAACTCGTCGACACCCTGATCGGTAGCCATTCCGAACCACTCCCCAAGGGCTTCGGGTTTTCCGATACGGCTTTCAGAATCTTCATCCTCATGGCATCGCGTCGCCTCAAGAGCGACCGATTCATCGCTGGACAGTGGAACGCAGACATGTACACGAAAGAGGGTCTAGCCTGGGTGCAGAACAGTACCATGAAGGACGTCCTCGGCAGACATTTTCCGGAGCTGAAACCCGTGCTGAAGAACAGTAAGAACGCGTTTGCGCCCTGGACCATGCTAGAGAAGAGCAAGGCCTATGGCGGGATTGAGACCAATGCACCAACGAAGTGAAGCAAGGCAAGGGTACAACTTGGGCTGGAAAGGTGATGGAAACATTATCCTGCCGGTACTGTAGCAGTGAAGTCGGATGCTGTCCGCGGACGTTTTGGGGCCTATACCCTGGTGCATGACTGAGCATGACCGAGCGAGTAGTAATATAGCCAGTGTTATACAGCAAGCGTGCCCTTTCCAACACAAAACACCGATTTCATTCCCGCTGTTCGACATCGAGTGGGTGACAGGGGCAGTGCCGACTGATATGGTCATATGCTGCGTAATACAAGTGCGTACTATGATCACTCCGGTGCATGGCCCCTTGTCCCCGTCTCCTTTGGCTTCGCGCCCGCCGCGACCTCCTCAATCGCCTGGCTCAGAATACCCAATCCCTTGCTCATATCTTCCTGGCTAATGTTCAACGGCGGGATGAACCTCAAGGTATCGTAGATACTGGTGGTCAAGATCAACATGTCCTTCTCCATACACTTGGCCTGCACTTTACTCGCGTAGCCGTGCCCACCGACGAACTCCATGGCCTGCATCAGCCCGAGTCCGCGCACGTCGTAGATCAGGTGCGGGAACTTGGCCTTGGCGTCGCGCAGCATGGCCGCCATTTCTTGGCCCCGCGCATTCACGTTGTCGAGCACGCGTTCCTCGCGGAAGGCCTTGGCCACGGCGATGCCGGCGGCGCAGGAGACGGCGTTGCCGCCGTACGTGCCGCCCATGGAGCCCGGCTGCTGCGTGTCCATCAGCTCCTTGCGCGCGGCGATGCCGCTGAGCGGGAACCCGTTGGCGATGCCCTTGGCCATGACGAGCACGTCGGGCCGCACGCCCCAGTGCTCGACGGCGAACATCTTGCCGGTGCGCCCGAACCCGGACTGCACCTCGTCGGCGACGAGGAGGATGCCGTGCTTGTCGCAGATGGCGCGCACGCGCTCCAGGTAGCCCCGGGGGACGGGCACGTAGCCGCCCTCGCCCAGCACGGGCTCGATGACGATGGCGGCCGTGTCCGAGGGCGCGGTCTCGCGCTGCAGGAGCAGCTCCAGCTGCGTCACGGGGTCCATGCAGCAGTCCTGGAAGTTGCACTTGCCGCCCGTGTGCGTGGCGATGGCGCAGTGCGCGCAGTCCGGGAACGGCACGGCGAAGACGCCGCCCATCAGCGGCGCGTACCCGGCCGAGTAGACCGTCTTGGACCGCGTCATGGCCATGGTCCCGAACGTGCGGCCGTGGTACGACCCTTGCATGACGATGATGTTCTGGCGGCGGGTCGCGTGCCGGGCCAGCTTGACCGCCGCCTCGACGGCCTCGCTGCCGGAGTTCCAGAAAAAAAAGGTGTCGAGGCTGGGGTGCGGCATGAGCGGGATCAACTGCTCGATCAGCTCCAGGTAGGGCCGCTGGAAGGCGATGTTGACCTGCGCGTGCACCATCTTGGCCGCTTGCGTCTGCGCCGCCCGCGTCACCCCCGGGTGGCAGTGGCCCAGGTTCGCGACCCCGATGCCGCAGGTGAAGTCGAGCATCTTGCGGCCCGACGCCATCGTCACGTACGACCCGCTGCCGGACTCGATGACTTCGGTGGCGAGTCGGCCGATGCCGCGGGCGACGTGCCGGGTGCCGAACTCGGCGAGGTTGCGGATGGACATTGTGATGTGTGACAGTCAGGGGTTTCTTTGTCTTTTTGTTACTGCTGCTGCTGTTATTATGGCGTGTGTGTTTGTGTTTGAGCTCAGCCGAGGATGGGCTGGTGAATATGGACTGATACCGTGGACACCACACCTGCTTGGTGCCTGCGTGTGCCTGTCAGTCTGACCGGCCAAGATGTTCCTGGGACGTCGAGGAGAGATCCGTCAAGCTCGAGAAGATCCGAATCAAGGGACGTGGGTGGTACATCATGGCGGATTCTGAATTCCTCGTTTGGCGGTGTTGATTACGTTTGTGCGCTACGTCATTGGTGGATGGTGGGCGGGTTCAATGACAGGGATGGAGATGCAAGCTTTGTCCGCTGACTGTCTATTGCTTATCTTCGATGTTAGCGGGGGGGTTGAACAGTTAGCAGCCGTGCATCAGGCAGGCAAGGTGTCGTGCTTCGCTTAGAGCCTCGCTTGCAGAAATCCGCTATGTGAAACGTGGCGGTATGATCATACAGAGGATTGACCCAGATATCAAATCACACAGTAGTTGCGGGTGATGCGGCTTCTGGTAAATTGTATTGCACAGATCTCCCCACTTCGTCTACCCTCGTCTATCTGGCCGGTTCATGCTCGCGGCGAAGCTCACAGAGAAGATCGCATCTCGGCTTGTCGCCTGATATTACGCCTTCTCCTGGTCGACCTTGTCAACATGCTCAACCGTCGCCTCCACCTTCTCAGTCATCAGCTCCTTCACTCCCTTCAAGAACCAGACTCCCACGAGAGCGAGCACCACGAAGGGGATAATGCTCGCCCACGCGAGGCGGTACGCATGAGCGTATTCCCAGTGGCTGGCATCAACGGTCTTGTCGATGATCGTCGCATTGATTCCCGGGACGTCCGTGAGCCCAGCCCCCGAGGATAGTGCCGTGAGCAACGCGGGGACAGATGATGCGGGCAGACCGGCTTCGATGGCGGCACCGCCGACTTTATCTGGGTACGACTTGAGCCTTCCATTGATGATGGCGTCGAGGACAGCGGAGCCGAACGCGCCACCGATGGCACGAGCGGAAAATCCCAAACCCGTCGCGGTGGACAGGAAGGCGTGAGGAGCCGTGAACTGGATCAGAGCAACGATGAGGGTGAGTGGACCGGATTGACCAAAGCCTGAGAGCACGTTGATGCCGTATTGCGCCTGATTCCAGCTGGGTTTGACGACCGCATAGAGGATGCAGCTGGTCGTCGTGTCAGTAGAGCCACGGTCGAGGAGATCGATATCGACTTACACGACGAGGAACACTGTGAAAGTGACGATCAACGGAGTCTTGAGATCCTTGTACTTGGTTGCGTACAACCTGCATGATTCTTGTCAGCTATTGCAGAGCGGTCACATTCGGCGCACCACTCACATAATCGGGATAGATGCGAACAAGCTGACCAGACTGTAAGACAGTTGGCGGATCGAAATCTTCCACGCGTCGGTTTGGAACCCGAGATTCAGCACAATTTGAGGTGTCACGCTGTTCACGGCCGAGTAGAAGATCCATCCTTCGACGGCGAACGAGAACACAGACAACGCGAAGTTGGGCGACCCCTTGAAGAAGACGTGAGCCACAATGCCGTCGTCTCGACCTTTCCATTCTGACCAGCAGTGTTAGCACAGCGGAAGAATGAAGGCTACCCAAGGGACCATGTCATACCGTAGAGGCAAAAGAGGACCAGGAAACCAAGACCGATGCCTAATGGAGCGGCAACATGCGCGTCCGACCATGCGTAGGCACCACCCGCCCAGTCCAGAGCGAGCAAAAGCAGGGTGCAGGCCACAATGAAGAGAGAAGACCCAATGGGATCAATGGCCCAGATATACTGCTTCAGAGACATCTTAGGGTAATCGGAGCGTCGTGTGGGGTGGTAGCAGAAGAGGAGGCCAAAGAAGGTCGCCAGATGGAATGCCGCCTGCATCCAGAAGATATCCCGCCAGCCGTCTGGACTGGCATTCGTGACACCGCCCGCCCCAAGGCCTCCAACGCTACATTCTGTTAGCGATATGTAAAGTCACAGCCTGGGGGCTCAACCAACAGTCCGCCTACCGCACCTCCCAAGAAAGCGAAACCATTAGCAAGCGCTCTGTATTTCAGCGGCAAGACCTCGCTGGGAATGGCTTGGACGATTGCAATTGTGCTCAGAGTTGTCCCGATGAGGATACCGCCTCCAATCAGCATCGACATTGACGTGGCTTTGGCTGAAATGACAGCTCCTGCAAACGCGATCAATGGAGGGACCGAGGCCAGCCATTTGCGGTCCAGGACGTCGCTCAGTCGACCAACAATCGGTGACAGCACAGACTGCATGAGCAGAGGGCCCTCTGTCAAGCCACGATTAGCCGGGATGACCACTCAGCTACCGGTGGTTCTGACTCACGAATGATCCAGCCAGCAATCGGAGCACCGCCGAGATCTCGAATGATAAATGCAATCACGGACCCAGCTGCCACAACGACGAAGACTTGAGCCATGATGGCGAAGCAGGTGACGAAGACGACGAGCCATGATCGCCAGCTCAGGTTGATATGCTCGGCCTCGTTGAGCTCTTGAATGTGTAGTGCAGGGGGTTCGAACTCTGCAGCCCGTTGCCTCTCACGCTCACGTTCACGCTCACGTTCACGTTCCTCGGCGTGAGCTGCATTCTCGATCACCTCGGTGGTCTGTGAGATGTCTTTTTCGGCCATCCTGTTGGCGATACACGTTCTCTTCAGGCACAAACCGAAAATGTGGGAGAAGCGAGGAAGCTGGGGTTAAAGCAAGGGAATCACTTCCTGAAAAACATTCTCCCCTGCGAGATATACACTAATCACCGGGCCGGTGCGATTGCCATTCGCGTGCTTTGTCCATGGGTCTGGCCACCCCGTTCTACCCCGGCAGTTGGGCTGGAGACACTTAGCGGGCGGACTCCGTCAATCCTCTCCGCAACAAACGAGCGTGTCTGGCCTGAGGCTGGAGGAAATTGGAGAAACTAGTCGAGAAGAGGATAATGGGCAGAGGGACAGCTGCCAATCGTTTAGCAGTGGAATCAAAACCAAGGGGGGTATTTTCCGGCAACCCATCGCTTCGCCGCTGCACGTGGTGGGTTTTATGACCGGCGGCAAACTAGTCACAAGATCTCTAATCAGAGCGATGGGAAGGACGAGGTCGACCGGGTCTAGGTTGAGAGCCGCAGGAGATCTTGCGGCTGTGAGACGAAACGAGCTGGAAGTCAGAAGTGGGTAAAATCCCCCCGCCGCCGGCCCCAGCGATACTGGTGATACGAGGTGGAAGCAGTGGGATTATGCGGAGAAGCTTGTGCGTGCTTGTGGGGGTGAGAAGCTCCTAATTTAGACAACATCAACGGTCAATTTTGCTGGGATATTCACATATCGGAAATGGGAGAAATCCAAGATTTGCTGTCGAGAGGCCCGAGGTGGTGCGGCTGTACTAAGCATACTTCTTGTCCTGACATTGCTCCGACTCACTGTCGGTAGCTGCTGCAGATAACATCAATTACACCTGTGATCATTTGAATGTGGTCGGCGTTACCATGAGTGAGGTCGCCTCTGAAGCAAAACCTGGCCACATTGTCGATGTTCCCCGTCAATCAACCACCTTGACCACAGCGGAGTGAAAGGTGAAACTAATCGCTGCACCGGAACCGTGGAAACAATGCACTGTCACGGAGTCTTAGTGACAATATCCCTTGAAGGGCATCTGGGTGTGACGGTCACAGTGTGGGTGAGGCAAATATTGAAGTCTTGCCAAAGTGAAAGTTGGTGACTGTCTTCTCACTGGATGCCGGACCTGTGACATTTCTCGCTGCAGTTCACATCACTGCGACATCCTTCACTTTTCCATCTGTTTGCCGTTTGGCACTGCCTCAAGGGACCCCCTGCTACTCTGTGCGCGTACGTCGGCTGACAATTCCACTATCTGAGTGCCGGTGTCTGTCTTGCTGGACGCCTGGGATACCTGCTCCTGGTAAGCAGTTGCGCAATCCATCATTCTGGGAGCCTCGGCGAATCCCGAAGCAAAGCTGAAGACAGTGCCTCAACCTCGTGACAGCGACCTAATAACTATGCAGAAATACACCACCAGAGAGGTCCTTGAGGCCGCGCTTTCGGGGCCATCCCAGGTGTCATCCGCCACGACCAAACGCGTCCTTGAATGGTCTGAGCAGGTCCCATCTGGACTGCGCCCTGCAGGCTTGGAAATGGAGACCCCCACACGGATTCCGAGTCAAGACCGCATGTCGATGAACGCGCCACTAGGGACATCGACAGCCGTGGCTTTACCCAACCTCGAATCGCGGAACAACGCACCACGGGCCGAATCCAGCGCGGCGGAGAAGGATTCTGGCGACATTCTCCACGAAGAAGAGCAGACAGTACCAATCGCTCCGGCAACTCAGGCTGCGTCACCGCCCTCTCAGTCTTTGGGAAAGAGACGCGTCCCTCATGCGAGCAAAGACGAATGGGCGGAAAGCAGTGGCGATGAAACAACTGTCCATGTACCGAGCGCCGATACTACTGCGAGCGAGTACTTTCAGTCGGTTGCAGCAAACAGCTCGAATCGCAATGCACGCAAGAAAGCAAAGACGGTGGCAGCTGTAGGAGGTCCGCGGTACAAGAGACTGTTGGGACTGAAACAGGCATCTCCCAAACCGCTGTCGATGTCCAGTACACTCTGCCTGAAGTATTGTCAAAGACGCGTGCTAACAAAGACTCCTAGAAACCGCTGTGGATTATCGCGAGCGTAAGAAGATTGAAAAGTCATATAAGGAGAAGATCTGCGCATTCATCGACAACGACATTCTCCAACGCGTCGATTTCGAGGGTGGCATCACGCCGGATGGAAGATTGTACAAGGCTATTCTTATGATGATGGAGCGGAAAGAAGCCCGGCCGAAACAGGCTGTTACACCTTTTGACGATGGCCCAGGGAGTTCAGATGACATCGCTAGATTGAAAGCGGAGAATCAAAAGTTACGAGAGAGAATCGCGGACGCTTCGCGAGTTCTTGGACACGTTTAACCTCAATCTTTGGCACTCGACACCTGTCAGCTTTTGCGAAGGAATGAGAACGGGGGAGACATGACATCGTGCTTTCACTGTGGCATCCGAAGGAACTGCTGGCGGGCTGTATTTGAGCGCTGAGCGTTAGGCGTTGACCAGCTGCACCATGTGAAGGTCTGAGTGCGGTCGCTCAAGATGCTCGCGAGGTTCAGAAAACGGAACCATGCAATTGTCATTACCTTGTACTCTAGTCTATCCAAGCGACCCTGTATCTTAAGCTGAAAGGAACATGCTTCAAAAGGGTCCTGTGGCCAGATCTCAAAGTGGTCCCTGCTCACAATCATAACTTTGCTTCCCGACCTTTGCTGGAAAACACTGCCTTGTCGTGCACACACGTAACGCACAACTTCCCCTCCTCATTGTACACCTTGCCCAGGATGTTGGCCGTATTCCGTCCCGCGCCATGAACCTCACAATCCACGATGACCTTGGCCCCCATAGGCACCGGCCGAAGATAACTCGTCGTGATCGTCCGGCTGACATGTCCCTCGTCCATGAATCCCTCCTTCGCAATCGTCACAAGCGCCGTGGACGTCAAATTATCAAGCAACGTGGCGGCGGCGCCACCATGCAAGTTTCCGGCCTTGTTGCAAAGTTCTCGCCCGATGGTAAGCGACCATTTCGTTCGGTTTGGCGTGGCTTCCAGAAGCTTAGGCGAGCAGTGTTTCAGCGCGTAGGTATCGAAGCCGAAGAAATTAGGATCGTCGGTGATCGACCGCTCGAGGGCCGTGACGCGCTCTTTGAGCGGCAGGTCCAGGAAGTTTCCGTAGTTCTTGAAGATGGCCTTGTGGGGATTCATTGGCTCTGGCTTTTTGGACATTGTGGTCGTCCTTTTGCGGTTTTGCTGTTGGCGGACTGAAGCCGGACTACGCTGAAGAGGTGGAAAGAGCTGTATATGTATTTCTGAGGATTGATAGCTAGCGTATAAGCCGGATCTATAGAACGAGAAGACTATTTCTCGCATTCACCACTCCCACGAGCAAAATAATCAGCACTGAGGCGAGCGCAAGGCCGAGAAGCAGCGAAGTGGCCTTGTGCCGAGGTCCAATCCAGACCTCTGTCAGTCACGTTGAGATAAGCGATAAGGCCGGCGATAGCCAGTGTCACCACGGGCCACTTCGGCGTCCGTGGTTACAGTGAGCCTTTTGGAGCCTTGGACTGAAGCAGGTGAAAGCCGCTCGTCATTGGCCTACATGACGGCCACCACAGCTGCTTACAGAAGGAATGATTTCAAGTACTCGGCGAGGCGCTTTATCGCACAAGGTATATCTGAATCGATAGTAGTGCCCATGATGCTCTCGAGACGCGTGCTGCAACCAGGCCCGCGCTCCGCCTGAGGTACTGACTCCTAGGCCAGCATTCCAATCGTTACCTGCCCTCTCCTCTCGCTTCTCACAGTCTGACATCCACACACTCTCCCTCGATCCACCCTGTTTCAGCCTTCTCGCATCGCATTTGCCGCTCTCGGTGTGCCTTCTTTCCACCTGACCATGGTCTCGCTGGGGAGATTTCCTTGCCATGGAGACGATGGACGAGGATGACCGGGCCGACAGAGCCATCTCATCAGAGAACAACAAACATTCCAAGCGAGATCGGCTCAAGGGAGCATTGGCCCGCACGAAGAGCAAGTTCAAGAAGGAGAACGAGAGACCCAAAGAAGCAGAACTGCCCGACGACGTGAACGACTTTCTAGCTGCCGGGAAAGCATCAACCTCAAGCGCAGGACGTTCCTTTCCACAGCGTTCAACAGTCACGCCTATTGACGAGCAGTCGTCCTCTCCCACCTCCACGAGACCATCCACCTCCGATTCCTTTGCCAATTCCTTTGCCGCCCAACGATCCCCCAGAAAGATCTCCGTCCCTAAGATCGACGTTTCGAACGCCCAAAGATGGCCTCGAGCACAGTCAGTGGGAACAACAGAGCAAGATATCAACGATTTCCTCCGACCTGAATACCAAGCCCGCAGTCAATCCGCGAGCTCGTTCTCCACTCAGCCAAAGAAGAAGGGACGAGGCAGGAAACTGAGTGTCTCATTCAATGAAGCACCTCCAGTCATCATCGGCGAGGGAGGTGACGATGCACCCACACCCCCGGTCGAGATCGGGAAGGCCAGGCAACGAGCGAGATCGGCATCGCCAGTTTCTCGTCGTGGTCAACATCCGCCAGGGGGATCTATGGACGGGACTTATGGCAAACGACCCAGTCCAGCCCCTCCGCCAGCTGGCCAAGTACATGCCCCTCCGGATGTCCTTCGGCCCCGGATGATGCAGCGCGTCCAGACAGGCTTTGCTGTCGACTCTATTGGCACCTCCGGGCTAGACAAGGAGTTTGAAATGACCCTTCGGGTAGGAGAGACTGCCAATTCTCCTGCCAGCAGAGAAACACCAGAGATTATCGCTCCTAGGCCTGTCCGGATTGTGCAGCCACCGCCTGCGGTGTTTGAAGAGTCGGCCGAATCTCAGATTGTCAAGAAAGAACCCGCCAGTCCAGATTTGCGCGAACAGTTCCGGGAGGGTGACGCTCTTCGAATGCATCTCGATAAAGAGGGACCGGACGTTGTTGACGAAATTAGACAGGGCAGACCCGTGAGAAGAGGTACCACCCAAGACAAACAAGAGCCGTCGAATTGGTTTTGAGCTCCTTGTCATCGTCGAATATATCACCTCGACCTGATTATGAGGCAACGCGTCTCTATGTGATGTATCGCAAATCTAGCCTGACGACCCATTGACTTCGTTCAGTGCCTTGAAACCCTGGATAAGGTCATCAAGCAGGTCCTTCTCGTCTTCGATGCCGATACTGAATCTACAAAGGTCTCTTCCCACGGTCGAATCTGTCATCGCTCTCCATTCGACCAAGCTCTCAACTCCACCCAAGCTTGTCGCGTGGTGGAAGAGATGCAGCTTGCTCGGCAATGTCCTTGCGAACTCGGACGATTTGAAGATGATCGAGAAGACAGGGCCGTACCCATTGGGCATCTGCTTCTTGAGCCACGTCTTGTAGTCCTGGGTCTGGAGACTGGCGTGGAGTACTTCTTTGACGACCGACTTGATGATTTCGGCATCGGATTGTGAAAGCCCCGTGCCAACCGTGTGACCTGTCAAGGCGCCATCGAGGGCATCAACTATTCTTCCGGCAGTCTCGCTTTGTCTCATGACGCGCAGCTCCAGCGTTCGAACGCTCCTTACCCCGAGCCAGCCTTCCAAACCTCCCATCACAGCGCCCAGGTATAGCCGGTCATTGAGCATCTTGGGTATCCATTCCTTTTGCTTGACCGCCAACACACCGCACAGCATATCTGAATGGCCACCGATATACTTTGTGCCTGAGTGCATCACCACATCTGCGCCATGCTTGAATGGATCCTGCAGGGGTGGCGGCGCAAAGGTGGCATCGACACTTAGATAAGCCCCTCTTGAGTGCGCGATGTCTGCATAGTGTTGGATGTTGAATGCTAGCCCTGTGGGATTTACGGGTGTCTCGAGGTGAATTAGATCACCCTTTTGGAGGTCTTCTGGTTTGCAGTCCAGAGGCAAGACCTTCAACCCAGACAGGTGCTGGTGCAATTCCAACACGCCGTGGCAGCCATGATATCCCGCCCCGATAGCCACTCTCTTCGGAGCCAGAAACGTTATCAAAGCATTGAAGGAAGCTAGACCAGACGAATACGTCAAGCACTCGCCCTTTAACAGCACGCTTAGAATCTTTTCCAGCCGCGATGTGCTGTGCGTGGTATGCCTCGAGTAGATATGTTCTCCCTGCGCGAAGATGGGTTCAGGTCTTTCATAATAGGGCCGCAGTTGGGAAGGATCTTTAGAGTAGCGGAAAGTGGTGGAGACGTGGATGGGGGGTGCGACGTCGTCGACCAGGTTCAGCGGGTCGTCGGCGTGAACTGCTTGTGTCGAGGGAGAGAGACTTGTCATATCCAATTCGCGCGATAGCTGCTCTTCCACCGAGTGAGGATCGGGGGAGGCGGCGCCGTTGATCGGCTGCGCAGGTTGAGGGAGATCCGAAGGGTCAGAACCCTGGACGACGCCGTGGGTAGTGGCCATGACAACCTCGACTGAATTCACGATTATTCAACAAAGAGTCAATGAAGATTCGTCGCTCTCTGAAACTGTCCTCGTAGCGAGATCTATACCACCCCCAAGACCTACGTAGTAGAGGTGTACGGTACTGATTACGATTCTGTTTCGCCCTTTGACTGACATTTGAGTCGCCCCCCATTTTTTCCAATGGCATAATGAATCCTAATTGAACTGCGCACTGCGGGCACTGCGGGGAGCCAGCGACAGCTCCGATTTCGCTTCAAGCTCCGCGTGGCTTTGCTTGGAACGGTTAGGCTTCAGTTGGCGATCGAGAGGGACGGAGTACGGGGGAGTAATAAGCATGCCACGCGCGGTGAGCTTTCATTTCGACGTCAGCCTTCTCAGTTCTCCGTGCTGATGTCGCTCCGCTGTTCAAAACCTCATATTCACGACTAATTACCTAGCGAATATTGTGCTTCGGATAGATTATGAACGTGGCGATTGTGTAGTGCCTCCTCACCAATCGGAGCGGGACGTGATACTGTAGGATGCCCTGGACTATCCTTCAATGATGCATTGATCTCCTGCACCACCTGGTTCCTCACTTGTGTCCAAACCACCGAGCACGATTGATCATGGACGGGTGGAGTGTCCACTTGTTACTCGTATCAAGTTGAAGACAGCGTGGAGACCGTGTCGAAGCCGGAGTGAAGGCGCGTATCGAGAGACCACCCTCTGCCGCATCTCGGGGTGGATGCACCAAGTAGTTTACGTCGACGCGAGGCATTGACTCGGTGAAGACATACGCCTTGATTGACGGGACCACAGGGAGCTTGAGACCGGAACTCTGATATCCTCCGAGAATACAAGCAGGCGTGGGAGAGGATTCGTCTCTTAGGTTGAAGAATTCCCGTTCGCGGCTTTCGTGCTGACGGCCTAACCCCCGGCACAGGATATAAGGTAAGGAGTAATGTCAAGGCAAGATCCACAGCCTCCTGGGATCGCCCAAAGAGGACAGAAACTCCTTCTCACTTTACGTTGCATTGTTGGGCATCTTAGCTTATATGCCTATTATGCACCCGCGAAGGCATGCCGCGGTTTATGAAAGGTCACCTCCATGCGCTGAACGCGTGGACAAGGTCATGAGGCCTCCGTGTACAGCATGGCCAAATATCATGCTGCGGTGCTCAAATACGGAGCCACAGACCGTGTTGATCGTTACTAAGTAGCTTAACTAATTGCCTCCGTGTACAGTATAGCTAGATATGATGCTGCGATGCTGGGATGCTGTGAAGTTCGAATACGGAGCCAGGGACCGCGTTGACTACCGTCAAGCAACTCAACCGGGAGACCCAGACTGACTTTCATGTACTCTGCACCCGTCTCCAATATCTCCATGGCGCACTCACGCAGTGCTGCCAGGTTCTTTCTTGTTCTCCGATTTGCAGCCTTGATGCGTCGACATTGGCGGTCCAGCGTGTGCTTGCATGCCGCACAGGCGAGTAGCGGAGTGTCAGAACAAACCGGTCTTCTCAGCAGTATTCTTGTCCGGATTCTGTCCTTGGATGGCTCACACTTTAGCCTCCCTCGTGCCGTGCGCATAGCGCTTGTCTTCTGTGATAGCTCAGAGCCCCTTGGCCGTGCGGATCTGGAAGAGATCCAATATCGATTGTGACTTCACACAACTCTGATTGTGCATTATTCACAGCTAGATATCAATTCACTACGTATCGCTGTTCTGCCGGTCGGCCAGACGTCTTAGATCCGCTGAGTACGTCGCTTGTGCAGGGGTGCGATGTCACCTCTCAGACCTCTCGGCCGCACGTCTCAAGCGTATCTAGGCTCTAACGTGCGAGGTAATGAGCTGCTGATCTTTCTTAAAGTCGCGTGTTGACTTCGCCACCTGTAACATCAATGAGGATCACCCAAATCGTGATGGACTGTAAGGCGCAATGCAACTTGTGCGGATCACACTAATTGAAGTTCAGATGAGAAGAGAGGGTCCAAGATTGAGTATCTGCACAAACAGATGTTGTGCGCCTCGTTCATTGTGCAAGGCAAACATCCTGGCTGTCTGGTGGTAGCAAATCGTCTCAACACTAAGCCAAATATTATGGAAGGGTAAGCTGTGAGAGAGACTTCACCTCTATTATCCTCCCTTGGTCTGCACTCTGGCTAGTCTCTACATAGCAAGCTTGAATGATAAGCCTCGTTCAATCTGACCATCTGTCTAGCTGGGCATGCAGGACCTATTACACCCAAGTCATCACGGCAATACCCAAAGGCATGTCCACGTTTAGTCGTCTCAAGGTCCGTGCGTCAGGGCCATTTTGAAGAAATGACCTTGAAGTCGGCCGTTCTGCCTGGAGGGTTTATTCACTGCTGGAAGCCGACTGTTGGAGGCCAGCTGTTCATGTGTAGGCATCACCGCTGGTATTGGCGGCGTTAGCGCACCTGTCGCCAGAACCTCCTGGTTTCCTTCATCTCCAGCTTAGGATGCCTGCTGATATGATTATCATTCTCCTTGTTTTCCCAATACTTGGGATGGACAACGAGGCTGGAGGGAGTAATTCTACGCGACGGCAATGCGTCCCCAGCTTTCGTCTTGCGTCTTGTCAGAACCTCTACCGTTGGTGGTCGAGCCTCTGTGTTTGCAGGCTGATCTTTCCCAAGGAATCCGGGTTAACGGATGCTACAAGCTATTACCAGCATCAAAATTCTGCGCCTCGAGCACAGGTGGAGGCATCCAGCGTACTTGATCGTAAGAGGTGCTCGATGCCGATATGGAAGAAATCCTGACCTGCTGGACGGTCTTGATACGATTTGAAGTTCTTCTCAGACGACTCGCTAAGCAGTTAACTCAAGTTTCCAGTATGGGACTGCACTCGGACATTTGTTGGCCCCATTGTGCATGACCCTGTGCGTTTGGCCCGTGGATGAGATGCACAGGTGAGAGTAAATCAGGTACCTAATAAGACATGCCATCGTCCGTTGCACTCCCCGAGCCCGTCTTGACTGGGGCTCAAAGTTGATTTCAAGGAGTGGCAATCAATGAAGCTGACGGCAGGATCGAATACCTTGTCGAAGTTCTATCCAAGTCAAGGAGAATATAGACCGTGTGTTGGAGGCCGATAAGCTGAGGCACTGAGAAGATGCCTCCACCTCTTTAGGTCTCTGAGGTCCACGCTGCGTCCCCAGGAGGCCGAGGCGATCAAGGATCATGAAAAAGTAACTGAGGAAAGGGAGCACACCATTGCCGATGAATCTGAGGGAAACTTCCATACTATGTCGCCCTGATCTGCGAGTACATCCATAAGTCGTATTCACTTCCATCCTCGTAGACAATGATTACTCCCATGATCCTCTATTTTGATCTGCCATCACCGACCAGGTACAAAGTTAGACTGCTGGTTGTACATCTTTCTATCGGTCTACCGCTGCCGTAAAATACCCCTCTCTTGAACGAACACGAATATACACAAATTCTTCCCCAGATCTATCCCGTCAGCATGCATCGCCAACTCACGGACCCGCAGGCTTGAGTCCAACTTCCAACAGCGTCTTCTCCGCGTCCTTGAAGACCTTCCCATCCCGGACGACTTCCAATTGGCTCCCACCCCTGACAAGAACGACAACAGTCTTCGGCGCACTCTGGGCAATCTGCCACTTCTCCGCCGCGAACTTGGACAAGGCTTGCAACATTTCCGTGACCGTGGCGCTGTATTTGGCCGCCACAATATACGGGTCCTGTCCCGCATTGACTTCCGAGACCATAAGCATGACCTCGAGCTCGTTCAGCGCGCCGTCTGCAAATCGCTTTACCTGCAGAGCGGCTGATATGTTGTTGACGAAGTCCGATTCCGGAGGGTCGGGTGCAGGATGCCGCATGTCTGTGTTTCTTCTCTCTGCGTGCCCTTCGTCATGGACGGGGTTGTTTGCTTCGGGAGCTTCGGTGTCGATCCATGCCTCTACTGCCATCCTGTTGTAGTGTGCGGTTGTTGCCTCGGGAACTATCGATGTTTCGTCGGTCGAGTCTGATGGAATGACAATAGCTTCTGACGGAAGGTTAGTCTTGGAGATGACAGGTGTGGTCTGGGAAGGGACGGACTTGTATCGTGGTGTTTATCCATCTTGACGAGTGGAAGGCAGCTCGGGGATGCCGATCTGGAAATAAAATGCAGCCGGCTGAGCGCAGCACAGAGCAAGCAGTTTACCTCACGCGTTTGTGGTCCTCAGCACTGTCAAGCGATGCGAACAGTTTGCTTTGTGTCTTGACCTTTGTCGTCGGTCTGAGGTGGTCGGATGGAACAAATCGGAATGTTGGCATCTTTGTCTGGCATAAGATCGGAGTGGCAGCTGGAAGTTCCGGGCTACGGCGGGAGATCTTAGATCAGTGAATATAAGATGGATTCCACTCCGCTGGATTCGCATTTTCACTTTGAATCGGTGTCGATATGGCCGGGTGGCTTTGGTTGGGCAAACATGCTTCTGTGTACACACTGACGGAATACTCTGGCAAAGCAGCAAGCGGTAGCCGAATGGCGTGCTGAAAGTAGTTGTGTCCCTTTTCAGTCCGTCCATGGACCTGCTGTTCAACGTAGAGTGAGCTTTAGCATTTGTTCACAAGACTTGAATCTCGACTACTGCATTTCAAGACAGTATGGTCTTGGCTCTTTGACGAAAAGCTACCGCTTCCAGGGAGATCTACGATAATTACTTCGGCGAGCTGTTGTGCCTCGACTGCTCCAGCTTCTCCGACGTGTTGAGTCAATCTCGGCCTATTTAGCCAACAACTGGTATCTCTCTGTAGAAACTGGAGACTTGTGATTCATCATTCCCATCATGCTTTACTCCGGGTATATTGGGGCGTAGGACATCAGCGACACCAACGACTGTTTAGTTCGTTCCGTGGCGACTCTACCGAAAGCTTACGTCAATGAGTGAGAGACAATGGAAGAACATTGAAGGCGACGATCCCTACACTGCCTATCATCGCTTGCCCGTCGCAGGTTCGGAGAGCCAGAGCGAATTTAATCGCTGTATCTCGCACTGAATATAGCCGTGGGTATTCAGGTCGCACGGACTGTGTGTAAAAGAGAATCAAAATTCGGGCAAGTGTCTTGATCTGTGTGTGACGTCCGATGAAGCTTGTTTCCAAGCCTGTCGCCTGTGCTCGTTGAATCAAATATTCCTGCCCTGTGTGGCGGAGGTTCATTCGCGCTCTGTCCCATCTGAACGCCTTCAAATCGAATCTGACTTTGACCTTGGTGCCTCTGCCCAGCCCACGCAATGACCATGCTTCCCGACTCCCATGAAACCGCCTCACAACCATATCCCCACCCGGCATCGCTTGGGCCTTCCAGAGGTGGCTCCGGAACCTGTTGCTGAGGTCTTGGAGGAGTCTCCAGCTAGCCTTTTCGGGCGTATTTGGTCGGAGCGGAGTACTTCATCCCCTGGAGTATCTCGGCAGCTTCGAGTTCCTGCTTCTTGGCTTGGCGGTTGTCCTCGATCGAGTCTGGCTGTGCGCTCCGCTTCTTGGCTTGGGTGGTGTCCTCGGTCGACCCTGGCTGTGCGTTCTGCTTGGTGCCTTGTCTAGAGCTCCGTGCGCCGTCTTGAACGAACCAAGGCTCGGCGAACAGTGTCGGCTCGTCGTCTCCCTCGAGCTCCGGAGGTAGGACATTGGCTGAAGAAGAAGCTCTTTCAGTGTTGTTGATGGACGGTGAACCTTCGGCATTGCCGAGGTTGTCCGTTCCCATCTTGCGTAGAGCCTCTTCTCCGCGCAAGGCGCTTGACACGGGCCTTGGATTGCCTGATCGTATTGCTGCAGGAGGGGGTCGAAGGACGGCACGAGGTCTTCTGAACGGTGGTGGATCTATTCAAATTATGTCAGCGGTGCCAAAGTAATACGAGTGTGTTTGCACTCACTGCAAGCATCCTCCAAGGCACCAATTGATGTGAGCCGTTCACCGCGTTCATCCGTCCCCCGCCCTGCCCTTCCAGGGGCAGACGATCGTTGATCCCGTGCTGTTTGCATGTCAGTCAGGGTCTCAGGCTGAAGAGAATCGTTCAAGGGAGAGAATGTTGTCGAACTCACTCTGAAGCGGAGCAGTGCCAATGGGGCCAGTCTCCTCCTGCTGTTGCTCTGGGTTTCCCATGTTGTCGTCGGTGTATCAAGTGGTCGGGTATTGTGGCGCACTGTGATACAAGGGAGAACAGGCTCATGGCGGAGGAGGGGGAAGGGGATATATATATACAAGAATAATGAGGACTCGGAAGTCTGATCGTAGTCGATCACATTCGATCACGTGGGATGTGAAGGAGGTATAGGGTTTACGGGGCGCGAAGGTCTTATATAGATAAAAATCTTGTCGCGAAGGGGTAATCCTGGTACACTTCACAGCCAGAGGTGGTGAATTTCATGGTCCGGAGCAAGAAATAGACGTGACGCGATCCTTTGTCACTCTATTTAGCTGACAAACAAGGGAAATATTGGTGAAGTGAAGCCAACCTAACTGATTTTGACGGTCGCACTTCGCTGAATTGTGACCCGTGGTGAAGTCTTCAGGCAGTTGAGTTCGTCAAATGTCCAAAAGTGCCGTAAAGCAGTGACAAATGGTTCAGTTAAGTGACATTTATTATCATGATCTTCAGGTCTAGATCGCTGGACTACAGCAACTATGAGTACTGATAGCTCTGTCACCGACACTGGCTCTTGTGTGACTTCACGATTTGGACCGTTCACGTTATAGGGTAGCGCAGATCTAGTCAGAGTAGTCGTGAAGCACTGTTGCAGTGAAGGACTGGAGAGTGATTTACACAAAGCGTGGTCGAGGGCCTCTGTCAGGTTAGGTGAGTCAGGCAGGCTGGTAAAACCTGATATTCACTGGGCGTGGGGCTGGCTTGCAAGGTCACAAAGGGGAGTAATCAGTTAGGATCACTTTGTGTAGGCAAAAAATGAAGAGGCTTCGTTCCAGGTAAGGCATCTACACAGGCAAATGGATGCCAAGACCTCAGGGGTGCGCAGCCTCGTATCATGGCAACCGATTGCGCATTGCTCGAAGGCTCTATCTATCTAAGATAATATCAATTATCCGTAATATCATCTATCCTTTGTTCCGCCATCTATTGCCCCGGTTGTCTCTCCTCCGGGATAAGGTATTTCTAAGAGTCAGTATACCATCTAATCTCATCTCCTGTTTTTCAAGTCCTTGACCATTCCACGAACCGCACGGGCAATAGCATGTCGGCCGTCATAGCACGGATACACAATGACGGCGAACATGGCGGCGAAATGCCAGATAATGGCCACGGAGACCCATCCGTCGAAAAATGCCCTTGTGAAGATATAGTCTCGGTACAGTGGCAATGGCCAGAGGACGACGGTGACCAAGACATTGACGACAAAGTAGATGCTGGCAATCTTGAACCACTTTTTAATGTGCCGGATAGTCGCTTCGTCGAATGGGTGAACGACTTGGTCGAGGGGGGTTCGAGCGTTCATTTTGTGAGCTGGTGGATGTGGGCTTCTACTGGGACTCTTTGGTGAGCCGCTCTCTTCTGCCGCGGTGAGGTAGGGTCCTTTTCGGAGCTGGTATTTCCCTGAGGCGTCTCATTCACAGCTTCGCTGCTGGGTACTTTGGATACCAGAGAGCTGCTCGGTTGGCTTGTGTCTTCGATCAGGTCGATTGTCAGAAACTCGCGCCAGTCGAAACGGCTCGGCCAGGCCAAAGATATGATGACAGAATAGAGAGCCGGGGAGAAGAAAGAGACGATCGCGGCGTACAGACCTGGCACCTGTGCCTGGGTGGTTTGGATGTTGATCGCCCCAGACCACGCCCAGGACAGGGAAAGCCAAGTTGCAAGACCAGACAGAAGGCCAAGGATAGGAGCCAGGATGGCCGCCAATTTCGTTTGCCTCGACCATAGAAGCGTTAGAATCATCGGTAGAATGCCCGGGCATGCCACGATAGGTCGGAAGTAGGTGGACCAGTTGTTCGTCGCGCCGGCGTACTCGAGCATGATTGCAAATCCAGCCATAAAGCAACCGTGGAAGACTACACCCCAATGGCTCACTTGAAGCGTTTTGCGGTCCGACGCATGTGGGTTGATGTAAGTCCGGAAGAAGTCGAGAGAGATGATGCTGCTAACCGCGATCATGGACGAAGACACCGTGCTGGTGATGGCCATGAAGATGAGTACAAGCAGACCAGCAGTGGCGCCGGTACCGAGTAACGACCTCAACACGTACGGCATTACGAGACCGGAGTTGACTTGTTTGAGTGTCAGAGTATTGGGATAGTCGAACCAAACAGGAGTGTTCTCGATCGCTCGGGCACTGAGGCCGATAATGGTACCGGTACACCAAGGTATGGCGATGATGACAACAGACACCAGGTCGTATGCTGGGACAACCGAGTGCACTTCCGAGGCGAAAGATTTCTGCCAGAAGGCTGTGTCCATGAGCACTAAGGCAAGGTTGCCGAACTTGAGGACCAGGCCAAACATCAGGGCTGTTCCAGATACATTAGCTTGGTTCCCTGAGGTAGCAGTAATAAACCTGTCTTACAGCTCCTAGATTTCATAGTCAAAAGCGAGCCTTTGTAGTTGCCGGGGATATAATCTTCCGTGGCTTTGACTTTCTCGTACAAGCCTGAGACGCCGCCAATGTGTTCATTTGTCAAGACGGCTAGCGAGAAGTAGATCAAGAGGATCAGAGCAATGGTTGTATGCAGGAAGTCGGTCAAGAAAGTTGCTTTAAGGCCCCCAACGGCCGTATAGGTGACGACTGTAGAAATACAGAGATCAGCATCCATTCGCATGAGCTTGATGCTACCGGCCCTGGAATGACTTACCTCCTGCAGGAATCAAGATGCAAGCTGCAACGACGTGCATTCCGGTCATTCCGGTCACCAGCTGAGCCCCGGCAAGAATCATGCTACCGCAGCCAAAAATATTGTTGACCAGATTCAGAAGGATGAAAAGCCAGTGCGCATATTTTCCATACCTCAGCTTGATGATCTCAAGCGAGGTATGCGCGTACGGTACGCGCAGCTTCGCTATAATCCCGAGCACGGCCATGAGGGCGATCTGGAACGATAATCCGCTTGCCCACCAGACCGGAAGAGCGATTCCGAACTTGTAGGTGTAGGCCGCCGAAAAGACACTTTCATTGATCCACATCCTTGATCAAGCCACGTATGTCAACACATATACTTTGTATCACCACCACCCTTTGAACTTACCAACTCGAGAAGACGGCCGAGGCCGTCAATCCGGTACCCACGGAACGATTTGCAACCATGAACATTTCTGATTGATCACTGTCCTCTGACATGTACCTCTTCTGGATGCGGACAGCGAAGACGATGATAAGGCAGAATAGCACCGAAAGGCCAACGATAATGCCATAGCCATCGGCTTGGCTGAGAAGCTCCACAGCCATCTTGGAATTTTAGTAAACTCGACAATACAGAACTCCGGATTGAGGCAACAAGGAGAATCTCGACGGAGTACCGCCGTATATTCTCGAGGTTCTTATACCAGGACAGTACGCATCCGCAACCCACGTGATTTGCAGACTGGCGTTGATGGTATCATCGATAAGCGTGCTGACATGCCTGGACTCGTGCTTGTTGGGCGAAGAAAACTCAGCGTTGCTTATGCTCTGATTGGCAAGGACAAGCCTTCTTACTTGTCTAGATGCTGTGGTGGACATTGGAACCCGAAATCGCGTGCGAACGTAGTGGAGTAGGCATGATTGCGTTATGCGGTTCTCGCAGCACGCAATGTGGAGCACAAGTCCGCAGCTTGAGAAATGCTCCTCGGACGTGAAATATCACGCAGCTGGGCCGCTGCGGTGATCTGCGTTTCACAGAGCCAACCATATCTTCGAGATCTGGCTTGTGGCTGGCTCATGCACATGGGAAAAGCGCCGTCTTGACCCGACGTTGGCAAGAAATCGGACAGCTAGAAGCAGTGCGCCAAGAAGTTGAACATGTCTCAGAAGGGCTGAACAAAGATCCGGAGGTGTAAGGGAATTTTACAGCACGGCAGAACGTGGTTGATTGTCGTGGCTGGCATTCCTGGCGCTCGTGAGGTTGTTGGATCCCCGTGTCGAGGATCGTAGTGCAAAGAGAATGATACCCAGAATGTCTCCTGGCAATTCCGGATCACCTTCAGCTGGTTCATACGAGGCATTCAATGCCATTTTCGCAGCCTCGTTTGCCATGCACACATGTGAAGGCTGTCGTTATTGAGCCAGCCGGTTACTGGATACATTCCAAACAGGCGAGGTATCCGGTACCGGATGCTTCTGGTAAAAGACGAAAGAGGTAAGAAAGATCCGCCTGTTGGCCTATTCAAGTGCCCAGAGCGTTCCCGCAGCTTCATACAGTTCAATGCATATGCGTGGTATAGAACCAAAGGTGGTCAATTACAGCGTCAGTCGTAGTTGTGAGTGTGAGCGGGAAGCTGAAGGCTTGATGCCCATGTTTTGCCAAGCCCTAGTCACGTGGCATTCTGGATAAACGCTCGCGATACCACGTCGAGAGTTGCTTAGTAATGTGGGACTAGCGCGTAATCGGACTCGGCTTAGTTCCCCAAACATTTGAATTCTTTGTAAATCTGGCGTTGGCAGTTCGCTTCATTGTTCCTTCCATGACTTCTCACACAACTTTCACCACAAGGACTGTGGGCTTGTGGGTGTTTCTGTACATCGACCTCCCCGCGCACCGCTTGTAGCTCTGCCAATCGCTTCACCCACACCTTGATGTGATCCCGGAGTGGGACTCCAGGACAAGTCGCGATACGACAAGGCCAGGGCTTCGAGATCTTTTGGTCCAAGCCCCGTGCCTTCACTCTTTTGTTTTCGATGTTCTCTATTTGTGATTTTGCACATTGGGCTTTCTCTTCTCTCCTAGCTTTCGGCGAGCAGCTCAACGACTGAATGAACTCGTCTTGGTTGGTACCGTTGAGCTTCAAGGATCTGACGCAGCTGACCTGCTGAATTTCATGCCCTTGGACAGAGCCTGGGTCTGGTTGCTAGCGCCAGTCAGACGTGGATATGAGGCCCATTGTAATTCACCCGGGTTACGAAAAAGCGTTGTCTGGGATCCTCACAAAGGCTTTCAATTCATTGTATTCGTCGATTTCGAGTTCGACACCAAGAAGTTTCATCCAGAATACATCGCCATAGGGGTATGGAGACCGCGCGATGTGCGCTATACCTCGAATACGATGCTTTTATTTCTATTTTGCGGAAACGGACGATGATGCCCAAGGATGAGAGGGGATGACGCATTGGCTGCCTCATCCGTCACAGTCCGGCATTGAACTGCCTCTACCATTTGCACGGATAATTCACTTTCATTTTTGAATAACTGCCTGATGGCAGACCTGTTGTGGCTGCCTTGGAGCTGCTTCTTCTCAAGCCTACCAGCTTTCGAACAGGCCCTCATCCTTCCCAATCCACATCTTCTCACCACAGATCTTCAGACTCACATCTGATGACCTGGGCGCAGTCTCCAACCCAGCCGCGACAATTTCGAAGCCAGCTCTGGCCAGGCAGCCGAAGCCAAGCCAGCATCGCCAACATGTCGACAATTATCAGACTCAACGGCGATAGCTCTGCGATGTCCATGATCGTACGTCCAAATTGTCAAAAGTTTTCCCGAACACCGTTCCAAGCACCAAGCCTTGAGATCTCCATGAAGAAACAGAGAACATCTCAAAGCGTGACGCAGGTTCAAGATGCGATGCAGCATTCGGTGTTGAAAGAGGACTCGGATTGCCATCAGTCGCAGCCACCTTTCCTCGTAAATACTGCCAGACGGGTCACGAACGCACTAACAGCCAGGGAGATATACGAGTCTGCCCTGGATCCAGCACTCGTCCCGGAACCGCTTACGTTGAGGGGGCAATACCGCAACGTGTCCGCGCCTGCCGCGCTTCAAACTACAAGATCAGACAGTCCGCGCTATACACCTCTTCAACAGGTCGCAACTGGGGATGGAAGCTCTAAGAGGCATTTTCATAGCCGACGTCGAAGTCACCAACATGTCCTTCTAGATATATCAGCACGACTGATCGCTGCCGGAATCGAAGCAGCTGACGTCGCCCAAATAATGAACCTCATACTGCAAGAACTGATCCACAAAATTGCACGCTGTACGGTGGCTGTTCGAGACACGCCGAGTATTGTGGAGGAAGAGATCCGAACGTTCTATGCTTCAAATTCAGCATCCTCGGACGGCGGGTTTCCACAGAGCGGAGGTATAAGCCCGCATGTGACCGATGCGGATGTCACTCATAGGCGAGGAGATCCATTCCAGGAAGAAAGAACAACCCATCATCACCAGTCCGACGCAGTAGAGGAAGGTCCATGGGCAAGAATCAAAGAAATGGCCACCCCACACGACTTTGCGGTGGACGGGCATCAGCAGGATGAAGGATTATCCGTGTATCACGATGCTCTTGAGAGTCTTGAGAAAGAGCCAGCGATGTACCAACAGCTAATACAACAGGGAGAGCATGATACCTCAACTTGCTGCAGACGGCCAGCCGGCCTAGGATTCTGGCGCCGCAACGCCCCTGCTGCACTCCCTGTCCAAACCACTCCGGCAAGCGAGAGCATAGCACTGGTACCATCACCACTGACTGCGCAACCATCTAGGATGGCAACGTTTCTTATGGGTATCCGCACAGCAATCTTCGCATCGCTAGCTACTATCGTCGGCAGACTTCTTGGGGTCTTGATGTCCGAGCTGCAGACGTCAGGGTTCAGTCTCATCAATATCCTGAACACCCTTGGTGGTTGTGCGAGAATGATTGCACTGGTTCTCGCTATGGTTCTGTGTGTACAGATCTATGCGAGGACACGTTCATGAAAGGAAAGCCAAAGGACTTTTTTCAACGATGGTAAATGGTGCAGTCAGAGGGATATGTCAAGTGGTCGCTTCGACCGGAATGGCCAGCAGACCAACATCGGTGGCGTCAGGGGGAGAAGCCTGGGTAAGTGATTTACCAGGTATGTGTCCGCAGTCATTCCCCAATCCTATATGTCAAAGTCAGCAAAAGAAGCATGTACGATTCCGCGATGAGCAATTATGAGGACTTACCCTGTAGGCTTATCGGTCCAATGCAAACGGAATTTCCCAAGCTTCTCCCATCGGACTCTGCCCCTTCCCTTCTTCAGCTATCAGTAGTTTTGTTCCTATTTAGCTCGGTCTCGACTGCGAGCGGCCCGTTGCTTGTGTCAAGGAAGTTGAGCATCGGTGTCATGGTGATGTCGCGACGCTGGGCGGTTTTATTGCGCATCCGACAGGGCAACGGGCTCGGACGAAGAGCTCATAAATGTGGTCAAGAGGGATCGGAAGGTTGTACGATACGATGGCTTGGGAAGTCGTCTTCGTAAAGGAGTGTGCCAGGGCAAGATCTACTTGGGATGTTGGGTCGTTTGGCCGCAGTACCAAGTTCACGGCTCTGAAACTTGCAAGGGCATTCCAACTATTGTTGTTTACTTATTTGATTGGTGATACACGTGCACTGCGGCTTATGCTGTAAGGCTGGGATTGTTGACTGCATCAAAGTCACCCCGGTTCACCATGGTCATAGTGAAGTGCCTCGGGCAGGCAACCAACTGCCTCTCGCTGCAGGGTTAGTGACAGGAAGCAATAAGGGATGTCACCACGGCATGGACAGGAACGTCCTTTCTATTTCTTCTGAAGGACTGCGACTGTTCCAACCAAGGCATGACTTTGACAAGTCCGATCTGGATCCTCAACGCTTCTGAGAAGGAAGTCCCATCTACACGACAGCTCTTTCCATCCACAGTATCCTACCTTCCGCCGGATTACGCGACACAATGAACTGCCGCGAGCATGCTCGGGAGCAGGAGTTCCTCCCCATCAGCGATGACTGCTCTCCAGAGGAGACATTGCACGAATACACTACTTCCAGCTCTTACGCCGCTGGAGAACCAGGACCTGCAATCGATATCGACTGGGATGGGCCATTTAGCAGTGAAGAGCTAGATTATTTCCGGTCCCTCCCAGAACAAGACCTGAAAGCAATCTACCCTTACGGAATCCGACCACCAGAGAACCTCGGCCCCCACACGCCCTTCGACAGATACGACCAGTTCCATCAGGCACTCCTCAACCTTGCAGCTGGAGTAAGCTTGCGCGATGTCATGCGCAATGGTGACTTTGAGATTGACGGGAAACAGTTCGTCATGCACATGGCCATCTTCTGTGTCAAGTCTCTTGGTTATACCGATCAAGACCGCTCCACACTGGATGTTCATCTCTCGGGCCTGGGCTATACTGCTGCTGCTTCTCATGATGATGGTGATCACGATGATGGGACAAATATCTCGCACAGCCCGAGTGCAGAAGCATTTAGTGATCTACCTGAGGACCGAGATGAGAACCAGCATGAGGACGTAGTGGAAGGCACTGACAACCGACAACCACAAACTGGGGCCGTCGAGCAGAGTGATATCACGCCGCTCATTGACCAGTCAGTCAAACCTCCTGAACCTTCCTCGTCCAAGCATGATCCTCCCAACGAACGACTTCAGAAACACGACCTGCCTAGCAACGCCGTGCGCCTAGGGACGGTCGCTTTGTCGACTTCCTTCAAGTTCCTGCTGACAGCCTGGGTGAGATACGCCGTTCTCATCATGATCATCTGCTTTTCATACGAAAGCTTAGTGCGTCCCCATTTCGCATCTTGCTCAAATTCAGCCAGACAGCTCTAAGCCTGGGAATCTACGCTCGAATGCTTACGGTGGATGGCAAACAAAAAGGCAGAGTCGTGGGACCGCCGTTGCAGACTCGTGGAAATAAGAACATGGCTGATGCAATCATTACGGTGGGCGGGGGGCGAATACTCTGATAAGTGACGGACCAAGCGATGGTCGAGGGGAACAGCTGTTGAAGGCCACCCAAGGCAGAGGTCCCTTCGAAAAACTTCTTTCGACCCAAGGCTTGAGGTGAGGATAACTGACCTCACGGGAGATATGAGAGACCCAGCCACGACTGCTAGTCGTTGAGTTTGAGTGAACAGCGAGACTGAATGGATCAGAAGACCAACACGTTGGATCCCGCACCAACCACTTCCGGATTTCGACTGGTATGCTAAACTGGCTCTGACAGAGAGCATTTCACATGCAAAGAATTTCACCGAAAGCGCTCTAATTTGAGCTGAGCGTCTCGTGAGGAACTCATGTACCTATCCAGAGATAGTAGTCTTCGGGCTACTCTAGGATGAAGCCGACATACGATCTCGGATGGCTGAACATCGATTTTTCCCAGACAGTCGTTCCCAAGGTATCCGTGATTTGCTTTGGTACTTGAACCAAAGCCAGGTGCTGACAAGGGAGACAACCAGGGTCCAGCTTCGTGCAGCCCTCCACACGGGTAATGGCTTCCGGCTGGACGTCCCTTCAAGGCGGTCCGCCATGTAAAGAGAGGCGTACGGCCCTGTTCCTTCCTTATGTGGTAAGGTTTCTGTGCTACCGGAACGGGAATACAAACCTCCGAACACAGGGACCCGCGTAAAACGACTCGGCTTCGTCGTAGCCTAACAATGAGCTGTTCAAGCTGGAGTCCACGGTTTTGTTAGCCATCCATTCTCCTCACCGATATGATGTGGAACACCCACTCAGATGACTTTAAAAGTATATGCTTGGCAAATGAACAAGCATCCTAAGACTGTCCCTGAAGGTAGCGACCAGTCTCGGGCATCGGCTGTCTGTTTGACTTAATACCTCGGTAGATCGGTAGGCCGGGCACCTCGTTAGGCTCAAAGGTGCCCCTGGGATTTTCTCCAGCCCAATCTTCAACTGGCCTGGCGGATTGCTGCGTCCCATTTACGATAACAACGTCTCTCTGTCCATCTTTGTTTATGTTGCAGCGTTTGCACTTACCATCGCGAGAGCTAGCTCGGGAAACTCCCAGCGCAGAAACTCAACCTTGAAGGAAGAGAACGCGTCGCGCTGCTGTTGCGCAATGGAACCTGTACGAGTGCCAGCTCTCATCACTGACAAGCTCCGGCCGCACGCAAAAGAGGCACTGGCAAAAGTAAAGAAGTTTGTCGAAGAAGAATTTATGTTCAACCGTGCTACAGCATCCCCTGCCCGTTCTGATAGCCATTACAGGTATTCCTGCAGATGAGGTCTTCGAGGCTCAATTGGCTCTCCATCCAGATCAAAGATGGAAGTCAATGCCTCCCATTCTCGAAGATCTGAAGAAGCGCGCTCGCGAATTGGGTCTGTGGAATTTGTGGATGCATTCACACTTTCAAGAAGGACCCGGCTTCACCAACGTCGAGTACACACTCATGTGCGAGACTATGGGACGCAGTCACGTCGCACCCGAGGCTATGAACTGCAGTGCTCCTGATACAGGGAACATGGAGGTTTGCCATTCCGTCCCTTTATCGTTGTTCCCGCTGCAGTGGAATTCCGCATACTGACTGCAATAGTTACTCGCAAAATATGGGACCGAAGCGCAGAAGCAACAATGGCTACGACCTCTCCTCGATGGGAAGATCAGGTCAGCCTATGTCATGACAGAAATCGACGTTGCCGCATCGGACGCAAAGAACCTCGCTCTGGAGATGCGTCGAGAGGGTAACGAGTACGTGTTGAACGGCGTTGTAAGTACCACTACTATACTCGAGCAGCCATTCTTCCAGCTTACACCCATAGAAATGGTGGATCAGCAGCGCCGGAGACCAACGATGCCAACTGTGAGTTGAGAAGAAGCAGTCTCGAACTTCACACTCACACGCCTGCTCTTCTAGGTATATCATCTTTGCGAGGTCGAACCCGAATGACCCGAACCCGACAAAGAGACATAGTATCATTTTAGTTGACTCGAAAACTCCCGGCATTGAGGTCATACGGCCCCTGCGGGTCTTCGGCTTTGACGGTCAGTTCTCTGGAGGCGGGGTGATTCTACAAAATGCTGACCTGATATAGACGCACCCACTGGTCACTGTGAGGTTCATTTCAATCACGTCCGCGTGCCTGCTTCCAACATCATCCTGGGCGAGGGTCAGGGATTCGAAATCATGCAAGGACGCATGGGCCCCGGCCGTATCCACCACTGCATGCGAGCCATAGGATGTGCAGAGCGAGGCTTAGAGTAAGTCCCTACCTCTTCTTTCATCGTTCAGACTCTCTGACCATCGATAGGTACCTGATCGCCCGAGCAAACAAACGGATGGCGCACGAAGCGCCACTGGCCAACAAAGGTGTCGTTGCCGACTGGATTGCACGATCGCGCATCGAAATCGACGCTGCGAGACTCCTGGTCCTCAACGCCGCAGATAAGATCGATAGCGGTAACGCGAAGGACGCCATGTCCGAGATTGCCATGGCCAAGATCTATGTCCCCAACGTGGCTTTGGCGGTGCTGGATCGGGCGATCCAAACTCACGGCGCGGCAGGGCTCTGCCAGGATTTCCCTTTGGCCAGAATCTGGACATATCTGAGGACGGTGCGGATTGCTGATGGTCCCGACGAGGCCCATGCCGCTCAGCTTGCCAGGACTGAAAACAAGCGGCATCGGAACATGTAAGTTGGCGCTCTGAGCCTCTGGTGTAACACCGTCAGATGCGAACTCTGATGCTGATATCTCCTTTGACAGAATCGATGTTATTGCAATGCAAGACGCCACGCGTCGTGCGTTGATGGAGAAGTACAAGATCAATCCCCGCCCACGCCTGTAGTGAGTTGGACGGCTAGCAGTGTAGGAGGAGTTTTAGGGGCTAGAACCATTTAGCCTGAGTGCTATGAAGGCCATGAGAAGGGGACACTAGAAGTGTAGTAAGAAGTACAAGTTCGAGCCTGCTCTCGTCTCTTCATGTCTGCTATTGTGCGAGACAGATACCAACTATGAAGGCTGGAGATCTCGATAGCATCAGTACTTCAACCAATCGAAAAGGGACACATGTTTGTGAACGCGTAGGTGGAAATGTGCCGATCATCTGCAAATATCCATTCTATATTCTCCTGTACAAAGTCCACGGCGCGTGTATAGAGAGACTCCCTTCCCACCGTCACCGTCTACCACCTACTCAATCCTGTGCTCCTTCGTTTGTTCTAGAACAGCCACGCTCTCTCGAACGCCGATGTTGCATCTCACGGACCTTGCTTTGACGCCTTGTAGGACCAGAGCTGCTTCTATATCCCAGTTGAAACCCTCAGATGCCTCTACGGTTCCTTCGCCTGTAATCTAAAGACGCCCCACCCTCTCCAGTCGTGTGTTCCCAGCCATGCTCTCTCGCTGGGCTTTGAGGCATCTTACCATTCTTAGCGCCGCCCGTGCGTACGGAAATCTTTCCCGACCGAGTATCAACGAGTCCTCCCCCGTCGCCTGCCGGACTGCGTGTCTGGCCGCTATGCCCTGGAGCATGACACTCGTGCGAAAGATCATAAAGGCGTCAGCCCAGACGACTTCGGCGGCTGGGTCCCATCCCACCACTTCACGGTACCATTCCAGACATTGAGCTTTGCTCGGAAGACCCGGAGGACCGCCGCCGAGGCTGAACGCCGGATGAGAGTGCTGCTTGATCTCCTTGGACGTCTGTGTCACGGTCCAAGGGAGCACGAGGTTGCTGAGATCGGAGAGAGGATGGCCTATGGTTGAGATTTCCCAGCTGTAGTGGCACACGATCTAAGTCAGCCTTTTCATGTCTCTCTGCCTGAGTGTCTGTCTGTCTGTCTGTCTTGTCTGTCTAGGGGTTTATTGGGCCCACTCACTCTAATATGCCTATGATTACCGGCTTGGTCTTGTGGAAGACCAGGTTATCGATCTTGTAATCCCCGTGGACGAGGGTGCCTCGGTCTTGCGGCTGCTGTCCTTCGTCTGCAAAGTACGCCACGAGTTCGTCAGTGCCTGGTATCTTGCCCACCGGCTCGTTGGTATCCACGTCAGTCACTTTCGCGTAGGACTCGCAGAGGTTTTGCAGCGTTCTGATCTGCCGATTGTAGAAGCCGCGTGGTTTCCCGAAGTCGGCGAGCCCAATGAACGCTGGATCGAGACGATGGAGCCGCGCGAGTGTCTGAACCGCTTGTTTCCACCTTCTCAAAAACTGTAATTAGCTTTTGTCGTTCAGTGTGTCATTAGTTCAGGTCTGTCTGCCTGTATGACAGGACGGGCATCAAAGACAACCACTCGACATCCTTGGGCCCACGTACATTGCATTCCTCTCGTCGGCGGAAACTCCAGGCATCCAGGCATCCTGGAAGATGCGCCCGTCTAGAAACTCCATGATGTAAAACGGTGTCCCGATCACACTGCTGTCCTCACACAGGCAATACACCTTGGGAACTGGGATGTCGGTCCCATTCAAGGCCCGAATCACTCGATACTCCCGCTCGATTTGATGTGCCGCCCTCGTGAGCAGCTTTCCCGGTGGCTTTTTGCGAAGCACGAAGCGTTGACCCCGACTGTCGGTCAATTTATATGATGGATTGGACTGTCCGAATTCGAACTGTACAGTGTAGACAGGATGAGACGTCAGTGGTGTTCGCTCCTCGAGGTGCCCATGGAGTCCTACCTGCTGTATTTGGACCGGTACATGAATGGCGGGAACATGGTCTTTGAGAAAACGTTGCAAGGACTCTATATTGATCGGTTGTCGCATTTTGTGGGGCATGTGTACTGAAATCGTTCCGGTGCGGATGGGAGAAGGACAAATCGCAATAAACGTGCCCACAAGGAGATCGATCAGCGATATATATGCTCGCGCCCCTCCTTAGGCATTGTCCACCCCTCACTGGGCATGCCTCGGATGCGATATTACTGTCGTCTTTGGCTTGGGAGCATTCTAGACACGGACTATCCTATAGATCACCATGGAGGTGGCAGGCACCTCTATCGGATGTCGCCTCCAATCAATAGTAGATGGCAGGGACTAGACCAAACCATTCATTTACGTGGTTTTTGATACAGTATAGGCCCATTGCTAGAATTATCTTCCAACAGATACCCCTCCGTGCCTGAGCTACATTGTCTACGGCCACGGCCACTGCTGTTGGCGGCTCAAAATTCGCAGTAGTCAGTTGGGTGCCACCGACCGAGACATTGCCCTACCGTGTCCTTTCAAACACTATTGTCAGGTGTCCTGGAGGCTTCGACATTCTCGGTGACGATGTCGGTGTTGGCCTTTTCCCCGTCATGATCATGAGTTATGATGGTATGAGTGTTGTGATCGATTTCAATATCACGCTGATAGATGGCGACCTCGTCGGCGTCACCGAAAATGGCAGCGATTTCCTCAAGAGGCATGCCCTTGGTGTCGGGGAAGAAGAACAGCATGATGAGGCCACCGATCGTTCCGGGAATGATGAATGCGAGGTAGAATTTCCAGCCGACGTTCCTATGAAGAAGTACCAGTCAGCGACAGCGAAATTTCGACCATTTAGGTCACTCACTCAAAGGCAGTTGGCGCGGCTTGGAGCCAGATGATGTTCATGAGGGATATCATGGCGACTCCCAGACAGACGCCCTTGGCTCGGATGTGGCTGGGGAACAGCTCGTTGAGGTAACTGAATTGTGTACCTATGGTTGCGCATGTCAGTAAAGAGTTCGTACCCTTGTAGTGTAGCTTGGGAACCTACCATCGAGACAGAAGCCGTAGAAGATCTGGAAGATGAAGAACATGGCCACAGCCGCGAGGAGGGCCGATTGATTGTTGGAAGGCACAAATTCTGCCACCAGCGCCGCCTCGATGATCAGGGTGACCATGCAGCCCAAGACACCGAAGGACATGTAGCGGTTCCGAGCGAACAGGTCAACGGTCGCCATGGCCATGATGTTGATTCCCAGGGTGAGAGTAAGCCATGCTGCAGGATAAAGAAGTTGCTTGACGGGGCTGAATCCAAGGTTTGCATATAGCGTTGGTCCATAGTCTAGCGACATCGTCAGTGATCTCTCACCGGATCAAGCTTCAAAGTAGGCTTACTGTTGATGACCAGCACGCCAGAGCATTGGATGATGCCTGTCGTCCCAATCGCAAGCAAGCAGCGCTTTCGGTACGATGGCTTCCTGATCATGTGCATCCACGAATTGCCCAGAGTCTTGTCAATGGCGATCTGCTTTTTGATTTGAAAGTACTCGGCATTGGCGAATTCGTTGTCGGGATCGCTAGGGTCGGAATGCAACCTGAAGAGAATCTGCTTCGCTTCGTCGACACGGCCCTTCATGACCAGCCAGCGAGGCTGAACGTTTCCGTGTTGTTAGCTTCGATCATGGAGCGTACAGATACGAGGAACGTACCGATTCTGGCACCCAGTACAGGCCACAGAGAAGCAGGAGAGGCCAAGCGCATTGAAGAGCCAAGGGCGGGCGCCATGTGGCCGAACCTCCGTCCCAGAAATAGAATCCAAAGCCGACCCAGCCCTGAATAGTGTAACCGAGGATCAGGAAGACGGCATGCACATCGACCAATGCTCCTCTCAAGTCGACCGGCACCACTTCAGACATCCAAATCTATGCGCCGTAAGCAGAGAGTCGCGCGGCCAGGTATGATGTGGGATAGAACAGACTGGGACGGCGGCGAGAATCATGAAAGCCGCGGCTCCGGCAAAGAATCGAAAGAGCAAGAACTCGGCAATGTGCGTGCTCCCGGCTAAGAAGGCGCCTGAAACCACAGCAATGATAGCTGGCTAAGACATAGTCAGCTTAAGCAATGTACAACCAGCGGTCTCAATACTGACCACCGCGATTGCCCATTTCCGACCCCATCGGTCTGCAACATATGGGAGCATCAGAGTCCCCAAAGTGCCGCCGGTCTGGAAGAGACCGTTCATGGTGCTTATCAAATCGGTTCCATTACTTCTGGTGGCGAGGTCGAAGTAGGCGATGAAAGACGGCTGGCCTGTTCGTTGACATTCTCGGTCAGTCCAGGCGAGGAGGAGTCAAAGCAGCAGGGCCAAACGCACCTAGGGTCGTTCCAATGATGGAGGCCGTGTAGCCGTAGGTCATGGACCCCAGCCCGATGAAACACAGCAACAACACATTGTACGCGTTGATCTTTTGCTTCTTGACACCTTCGCGATGCGGCATCTTGATGGACCCTGTTGCGCGGACGTGAAGAGGAAGGTAGTGATCCCCCTTCACAAGGCGGCCTCAACTGCCCTTTAAGAGAGTTTCCATAGCGCGACTTACCCGAGGTGAAGAGAGGCAAAGTAAAATGGCGTGGGCATCCCCGGACAATCCGATTGCTCGATGCGGGGAAAAGGAGGATCCCAGCCTCATTTGCCATGCTGGTCTCGGCCAACATGTGGGGGTGGATAGAGTTCCTGACTCGCTTTTTGCGAGGCAGAAAGCTCAGGCACAGGGCGAGTCGGCCTCAGTCTAGACCATTTGCGACGTCGAGGCCTCCTGACTCGCTGCCCTCGGACGGCGCAACGCGCGTGTCGGTGGAAGAATCGCTCCCACCGGGTACAAAGGAATCTGAAGGCGTGAAGCTGCGAAAACCACATCCCGGTCATATCGTAATCCAACAATGGCTGATCTTGGACTTCCATCGTGGAAAGACCTGCCACGCGTAGAGGGTCTGCCTCATGGTTGCGCCTGGGGGTTGTTCGACAAAGATGGTGTCCGGGACGAAATTGGCACGTTGAATCTTCTTACGCCCGAGACGGTGGTCAAAGCCCGAGACGAGATCCAGACGGGCAAAAGCGTCGTTTTGAAGTATGAGATGCACTCTTAGTCCTAGATCTGGACGGTGATGGTAACCGGTTGACCTGCATAGTTGGCCTATTGACCACGTTCACGAGCCAGGATTTGGTCGCATTAAGCCCGCGATCAACATCACCGACTGGCGAGCGAAAGGATCACCTTGGTATTCATACGATGATGAGATCAGTCTCAATACCCAGTCTGGAAGCCAGTGGGACGGTCTAAGTATATATTTGCACCGGAGCAAGATACAGGTACCCTGTCGCTGACATCTGCTTCCAGGACACTGGGGCCACAGCGGTACGGGCCTGTACTATAATCGCATACATCACGATGAGGTTCTGAAAACAGACCGTATTGGGATTGACCGTAAGTCATCCTTTCGGCCCTTTCTTCCGATCTTTGCATTTTGACATTGGGCCCAAGACTGGAGCAAACGCGGAGGCATCGTCGGGAGAGGCGTCCTCCTCGACTATGTCGCATATGCGGCTCGACACAACATTCAGTACGACGCCATGACCCGACACCGGATCACGTTGGATGTTCTGAAGGACATCGCCAAAGAACAGAATGTGACTTTCCGTCCTGGAGATATTTTGCTCGTCAGGTCGGGCTGGATACGGTGGTACAACGAACACAGCCCGGAAGAGCGAATCGCCAAAGTCAAGAATGGATCGAAATATGTGGGAGTAGATGGGTCAGAGGAAGTGCTCGAATGGCTCTGGAACACTCACTTCGCCGCTGTGGGTGGTGATGCCATTGGATTCGAAGCGTGGCCACCGAAATTGCCCTGGTGTAAGTCAATGCCTCCCCACTCCTTCGGCGAAATACAACTTCTGACAGGCCTTCTCTCGTTCAGGTCTGCACGACTACATCCTCGCGCTCTGGGGCATGCCTCTTGGGGAACTATGGGACTTGGAAGCTTTGGCGAAAGCATGCGAGACTCATAAGAGATGGAGCTTTTTCATTACCAGCGCTCCTTTGAATACTCCAGGAGGAATTGCGAGTCCTCCGAACGCCATAGCAATATTCTAGGACCAATCAAGCTGCTACCCAACTTCCTTAATGTTGGCCCTCTCCCAGCTCAGGTATATCTGTGGCGAATTGGCTTGTGCCGCAATGTACCGATGCTCTGGATCCTGATCCTGCGCCGGGAGAAAAGGCTGGACTTGTGATTGCAGCCTTGCTTATACGTGTCTCGCATGTCCAAGCAGTCCTAATTGACACCAATGAAGCGCATTGGCCCAGTGAGCCGGCGGAGTCGACCGAAAATTGTTTAGACTTGTAGCGCTTGCTCCCCTAGTGTCGCGGGGGTCTGAACTGTTTCACTCCCTGGCGTCCTAGAAGGAAATGCAAGGGACAAACCGAAGTCTTTGCAAAACATAGCCTCTTCGGCGACATAGCAAGCCCAAAGTAATGGCTCGGTAACCATCTACCATACTCCATCGGCATTGGGGGCATCACTCCATTCCCCTGTCTCGTAGCTTTACACGTTAGCTACTGAAATTGGATACCCCAGCACCCTCCCCTATGTGGTGGAACGATAGGTTAGCGTAGTGTAATGCCATTGACCGTCAGCATGGAGCGAGTCAGGTCTCCAGCAGCCTGGAGCGGACGCCGAGCCCCAATGGTCCAGCTTTGCCGACCAGCAACCGAGGAAGGAACCAGTATACACCTTTGTCCAGATCGTCTCGCCGTCCCCGGCAACGACAACAATAGCAATCACATTACACGACTCGCTGTACATCGAGAACCGGTGACACAATGTCGACGGTGACCACGCCCAAGAGACGTCTGGAACAGCTCACCGGGCAGATTGCCCAGCCTCCCATCATCGATGAAGGCACATATAGAGGAATGCCGCGCGTTGCTCGAAGGGCCGGCGATTCCGCAGCACAGTGAGTTGCGTGAGGGAGACCCAGGACATACATACCAAGCATAGAGTAGCACACAGCATACAACCTGCATCCCCCGGTACCTGTGACCCTCGCACGTCATATCTATCTATGCTATCCCCGGGCCCCCCAAGTCCTTTGATGTATGCATCTATCTGACCATGTGCCGATCCCCAGACGAGCCATAGGCAAAGTCGTCATTATCACCGGATGCAATTCGCCACTAGGTATGGGCCGAGCAACAGCGCACCAGTTCGCAAGGAACGGAGCCCGCGCGGTATACATCTGCGACTACGTGGACGATCACCTGCATCTCCACGTCGACGAGCTGAACGAACTGTACCCCAACGTGGATGTGCATGCGCGGACGTTCGACGCCGGAGACGAAGCTGGGGTCAAGGCCGTCGTGGCCCACGCCATGCAAACCTATGGTCGGCTGGACGTGTTCTTTGCCAACGCCGCCAACTCGGGCACGTGGAAGGAAGTGTGGGAAATGGAGGTCGACGAGTTTGAGCGAACCATCAGGACGAACTTGACCAGGTACGAATGTTGAGATCTCCGACTGCTTGAGCTGTGAATATGTTCTTCCTATTGCGACCACCACTGCTCCTGCTGACACCTTCATCACTTTCCAGCGTCTTCTTGGCCATCAAACACGCCGGCCCGGCCATGCAGGTCACGAGCAGAGACAAACCCTACTCCAGCGGATCGATCATCGCGACGTCGTCGACGGCCGGTCTGCGCTCCAACGGAGGCAGCACCGACTACAGCGCCGCCAAGGCTGGGGTGGTCAGCCTCGTCCAGACGGCATGCTACCAGTACGCCGGTCGCAATATTAGATGCAATGCCATTGCGCCGGGGATGACGCATTCGGGCATGACGGAGCCTGTGTTTTACGGTCCCGCACGCGAAAGGGGCACCCTGCATAAAGTCGGACAATTGTGTCCGCTCCGTCGCGGGGCAGTAGCGGACGAGATTGCGAGAGTCGCCTTGTTCTTGGGCAGTGACGAGGCCAGCTATGTGAATGGTCAGGTATGGGCCGTGGACGGTGGTTTGAGCTCGGGCTTGCCTTATAAGCTGGGCAGTATGGCATAAACAACAAATGGATTCGACGACGATGCTGCTCTTGCCCATTTCTTTGTCTAGAATATACCCATTCCTTACCGATATCTCAGATTACAGCTTCTGTCGCGAGGCGACCATGCGCATCGCGTCCCTCTTCGCCCATTCCTTCATGACTTTTCTTTGAATCTTGCCGCTGGCCAAGCGAGGGACCTCAGGCACAAACGCAACCCCCCCAACTAGACGCTTGTGCTTCGCCACTCGAGCATTCAGCCATTCTTGGACCTGCGTCTCCGTGACTTTGCCTCGCGACTCTTCCTTCAGCGCCACGTATGCTCGAGGCCATTCATTGTCTTCCAAGGTAATCCCGACGACTCCGGCGTCGGCGATATCGGGATGCTCTATCAGGGAGGCTTCCACTTCCGCAGGCGACACTTGCAGTGCTTGGACCTTGATCAGTTCCTGACAGAGAGATTCACTTGATTAGCTTGTGCTATGCTTGTGGCGTGAGACATTCCGTGCAGCATACCTTTTTCCTGTCGACAATCGATAACCATCCTTCGCGGCTCATCATGGCCACGTCGCCTGTCTTCAGCCAGCCCTCGACAGGGTCAAATGAGTCGAGCGTGGCTTGTTGGTTTCTCCAGTATCCCAGACATATCTGTGGGCCGCGGACGTAAAGCTCGCCCGGCTCCTCGACGCTTGCCTCATCGCCGTCCTCGGTAATCATCTTCACCTCGGTGTTGGGCATGACTACTCCTACGGACCCGGTTCGGTGTTTCTCATAGTACGGCACTCCGGTCGCCGCGCATGTTGTCTCGGTCATGCCCCAGCCTTGGGTAATTCGCACTTTCAATCTCCGTGACACGCTGGCCTCGAGCTCTTTGGAGAGTGGTGCAGCTCCACATAGAATCTCCTTGACGCTGCTCAGATCGTAGTCGGCGGTCTCGGGTCGCTTGTTTAACATGATTAGAATCGGAGGGACGGTTTGAAGCCGTGTGATTTTGTGGTCCTGGATGATGCGAAGGTATTCGACGAAGTCGAATTTGCCGATGACGAGCATGGGGATGTGGTTAATGGTTGCCATGAGGATGGCGTAGCATTGTCCATAGGCATGATACAGGGGCAAGAACCCAGCCCACTTTTCTGAAGGGTCAAAGTCATACAGCGATTTGATCTGCTTGACGTTCGAGATGACGTTGAAATGCGATACGCACACTCCTTTCGGCAGTCCGGTGGTCCTAGACTCTGTGTCAATCGTCTATGTCGACCATGCCAGCGTCAAGAAACATACCCGGACGAGAAGTTGATGGCCGCGATCGTGGTCTGCGATTCCTCGGGACTGAGCTTCTTCCATTGCCACGTCTCACCCTGTTCGGGCGTTCCAAGAATGTCGTGCCAGTCAGGAAGTCCCTCCAACGGACCGGTCCTCCGGTCCGAGAAGACGTATAATTGTAGACCTGGAACAGCTGATTTGGCGGCAGCGGCTTTCGCAGTCGAGAGCAAGTTTGGGTGCACAAGCAAGATCTTGGGTTGTAGAGTCGTGATTTGATATCGCAATTCTGCAAGTGGCAATCATCAGTCGTCCATAATATTTACATTCTTCACGGCTCATGCTTTGTGGCCTTTATATACCCACCAGTCTCTGTAAAGGCTGGATTGGCTCCAGAGAATGCAGCACCAGTACCCACGATCCCGAGGTACGATACCGGGACCATAATATGGTTGGGGGTGAAGAGCAAGCATCTATCCCCTGGCTGAACCCCCAATCGTTGAAGCCCGAAACCAAGCCTCCTGGCCAAAGCCAAGGCACTCTTTGGGGACTGCCAGTACGACGGGTCTGTGGCATCTATCCACAGCGGCTTGTCGGAGACAGCTTGGTCTGGAGGGAAGAGGAAATCTAGAATGCTGCATTTCTGCAACGGCAAAGACGCGAGCTTTGAAACGAACGGCATATCCGACGCAACCTGACACAGGAAATGAGTGAGTCCAACGCGTCGTTCAGGATGCTCGTGCCTCGCAATGTCGCTCGCTTGATATGGAGGCTGTTGGATCGCGGCGGAGCAGACTTGATTGGCTGTACATCAGGAGACCAGCCAAGAAGCACGACGTCGCTGGGGTCGACGTCGCCTTTTGTTTGGGCCGAGGTCAATCTCCACCAAATGACTTGGTCGCCTCAGATTCAGGTTCTTGGGTTCTAAACCTAAGCGGTGGGACTTTCTGTAGGCTGGTCGCGGTACATGCTTTAATCCGGGATCAACGGGCATTTTCTTTGGTGGTGACTGTCGCCCGTGTAAAACAGCAGCTGAGAAAGAACACCATGGGTGCCATTCCAGACCACCCGTCTTTAAATCGGATCCCTCCGGGGTATAGGACGAAGCTGAGCCCCAAAGCAGTTGAGATCATTGCACGAGTCCATGATTGGGTCGAGAATGAATGCATCCCGGCCGACCACATTGTCAAGGCTCAGCTGGAACAGAACCGCTGGGCCATGCCGCCGTATATCAAGGAGTTGAGGAAAAAGGCCAAAGCAGCAGGCTTGTTCAACCTCTTCCTACCCAATCACTTCAAAGAAAGCCCCGGCCTTACGATCCTCGAGTACTCGTGTTGCTGCGAACTGCTCGGGCGAGTTTATTGGGCTCCCATGGTACGTCGGAGCGCGTCAGGCTCCGCTACACATTTACTAAGGACAGTGTAGACGCTCAACTGCCATGCGCCCGAGACGGGAAACATTGAGCTCTTGGCCAAGTATTGCACCGAGGAGCAGAAGAAGAAATGGATGCAGCCGCTTCTCGAGGGAGAGTGGTCTTCGGCGTATTCAATGACGGAACCGGATGTGGCAGCTTCGGACGCGACAAACATTGCATGCCGCATCAGACGGGAAGGGAATGAATATGTCATCAATGGCCGCAAACTGTACGGAAACTGGATGGCGAATGAGGAAGTCAAGTTCTACATCCTCATGGGCTGCTCTGACCCGGACAATCCCGATCCGTGGCGGCGGCACTCAACGGTGATCGTGCCCCGGGAGACTCCAGGATTGAAAATGGTGCGAAACATGACAATCATGGGTTACGACTGTGCTCCCGAAGGCCACGGCGAGTATTTGTACGAGAATGTGAGAATCCCCGTGGAGAACATCATCCTGGGAGAAGGAAGAGCCTTTGAGATCGCGCAGGGTCGACTGGGTCCCGGTAGGATACATCACTGGTGAGTCCGTTGCATGCACCCTTTGGCTCACGGCTGAGTTCTCTTTACAGCATGAGACTGCTTGGACAGGCCGAGCGCGCATATGAGCATGCCTTGATCAGGGCGACGGACGTGAGAAAGAAGCCTCGGGGCAAATTGATCGGTGAATTCGACAGCAACATCGAACGACTCGCCACCATGAGGATGGAGATCGATGCACTCCGACTGGTTGTCTTGAATGCCGCAGAAACCATGGACCTCCTAGGTAACGTCGCAGGGAGATATGCCATTGCGCAATCCAAAATCATGGTGCCCTTGGGGGTGACCAAGATCATCGACGAATGCATGCAGATGTTTGGTGGTCAGGGTCTCACGCAGCACACGTTCCTCCCAGAAGCTGTAAGGATTCTCCGATTTGCAGCTTGGTATCGCAACTATGTGCTAATCAGGATCTGTAGTGGACTTACGCCAGGTTCGTGCGAATCGCCGACGGACCGGACGCTGCGCACAGGCACCAAGTCGGGCGAGATCAGTTGAAGACGGCCGCCCCAATCAGGCAGAAGCATCTCGGGTACAAGAAGAGATATCACCAGCTGGCGAGGGAATGGGGAGTGCCGGCGACTGAACGATTCGAGTATGTTGAGCGTCTAGAGAAGTTGTAGAGTATGAAGGATGGAGTATGCACCTGGTAGCAGGAGAGCGTAGGCTTCAGAGCAACTCGGTAGGCCTTTCCAGGAGAGGTCCATATGTTGACCCAAATGCTCAAGCTGTTTCTACCATAGATCGCTCGATGAACCCCCCACCTCCTGCCCCTGCATGCCCGCTCCCCTGACACTGCCCAGCCCCGACCACTGTTAGAGGCTTCCCCACAGCCACCGACGACCGCTCCGGGGCTGTAATGCATTGTCTCCGAGGCTCAGCAATCGCCCCGCATCTTGTTCCAGATTCTCTCCAGGCAGAAGACGTGACCCCAGAATGGAAGGCCACTTAGGGTAGTTATTCAGAATCATCGACAGTTACCATACCGTAGCGGAAAGCCATGTCGACTAACACATCGCCCACACAGGCACAAACGTCCAGCCACCGGCCAAGGCAGATCAGCGACAAGCGACGTGATAAGAAACGCGTGGCCGATCGACTATGCCAACGCCAGGCACGAGCCCGCACAAAGAACAAGATCGCCGAGCTGGAAGCGTTGGTGGCACACCTGACAAGCCAGTCCGGCAATGAAATCTACAGAGAGTTGAAGGATGAGTTAGAAAAGTCTCGCGCCGAAAGCCAGTCTCTCAGGCGTAAACTCACAACCATCGCGTCGATAGCTCGAAACGGCGATGAAGGCCCAGTAAATGCAACGCATCATACTCCTGGTAACGGTAGGTGTAGTGATGAGCTGCATTGCTAAGACTAGAGGCTTTTACTGACAGACACCCGCGTCCCAGACGATGCTGATATCTCCCTCGAGCAAGACATCTCTATCTCTGCTGCGGATGATCTAGAAATCCACAGTGCATCTGCTAGTCACCAAGGTGGAAATGCGTGTGACATCCACGGAGATTATGGTTCCAACTTCCCTGGCGCCGAAAGCTCGAGTTTCAATTTCTTGGACGGTATACTGGATGTGGACACGCCCAATCAGGCGGGATTTGCTGCATCACTACTATCACCGTCACCGCCTCAAGCCGACACGATGGGGAGTGCATGCAACTTTCCCCTGCCAGCAACGACTTCGATCGACCTTTCTTTCCCCGAGAGTCGGTCGTCCTGCTCTTGTGTCCCTCGCACAGAGTCTAATATGTGGTCGTCCATGAGCCAGACGTTGATGGACTGGAAGGCCCAGCAGCGGTCCGGGCTGAAACCGGGCGAGAACCACGACGACATCGCCGTTCGAGCCGTGACGGAAGGTTGGGACGCCCCGTCTCTAGGCACGTTGAGCGTCCCATGGCGGATTCTGTCGCAAGTAGATCGGAAAGTATGGGCCAACTGTCGCCCTGTGGACCGGTTGGCCGTTCTCAGCATCATGAATATGCTCCTACAAGTGCGTGCGGGACTATGAATCCTTTCCTGACATGCACATACTGACTCTAATCCGGCGCAGTGCCATCTTAACCCTTCGGAAGAAAACCTATCTGGTCTACCTGCCTGGTATAGACCGAGGCATGACCCCCCACCACGTTCCTTTCTCTCACTATCCCTTTTTCCGCTTGTGGTTCTGGCACGCTGACCAGCGTCACGCAGACCGTCTCAAATGGCCCAGAAACACGCTTATGCCATAGACTTCTTCGTGTGGTACGTGACGCGCTACCAAGTGCTTCCAGCTGCTGGGGCATATATCTGATATACTTTGTCTCTTACGGCAGGCCTGGCATCCGCGAGAGGTTTATCTACCATCAGCACAAGTACTGTTCCGACAAATTCTGGTCTCTCCTGGCCCAGCATTTCCGCTTCGTCTGGCCCTACGACCTCCGCGACTGTTATGCACATAACCGATCGACCGGCCGGTATCAGCTCTCGGACCTGTTCCGTCGCCATCTCAACGACCTCTCGTCCTTCACCTTCTGTCACGACATGTTCAATAGCTTCCCTGAGTTTGAATGCGATATTCCGAAATATATGACCATCCCACGGAGCCTGGAATGCGAATCCCATCTGGAGCCCGGTTCCGGTCGGGAGCCACTGCCTTTGGTTGGCGCACGAGCACAGTGGCCTTACTTTATACCGGGAGAACCAGAACCTAGCGACATTGCGGGAGGCGGCGAACATATGATCATGCCGTGGGCCCCTCCGCTCCAAGTATCAAGTCGTCACTACGGCTACTGAATTTCAAGCATAACGAGACAACCCGTGTCTAGACGGGAAGAGCAAGGCGAAGGGGGAGGAGGGAAATTACAGTCGGCTGCCAAGGAGGGGGCAGGTGTGGAAGCGTGCTGTAGATGTACGGACGGCTACGCATATAATTCGTCACAAGGCCTTCGCCGTCAGGTATTAATCTAGAATGTCGTCCGTTCAGTTGCATTCCTCTCATTATGAAGCACAGAGGGTCATAACGATTGGTCCACCGCACTTTCTCTCATCCGAGCGGTGCGGTTACCCCGTCAGCTACTGGCGGATTCATCACCAGCAAACTCTATGCCAAATCCTACAAGCCAGCCACCGCCCTTCTCACTCTTTGTCACCCATTCTCACTCCCGGTGGATCCTAGAGAGGTGATTTCGATTTCTCGACCCTGAGCTGATATGAAGACCACCCCCCCAGACACTTTCTTTCGACAATATCCCCTGCGTACGCGATTGCCAATACGCATCTCGTCCCAGATGACCACTACTCCACAGCACGAGGATCCGGACCTGCCCGACGCCCACGCCAGATTGACCGTCTGACACGTTACAACATAAGAAGTCATGATCGAACTGTTTGCTCGCCTGAGGCGTATTCTTATCCCGCATCATTCCCTATTATCTACATCATCCTACAGCCCATCTTGCAAAAATCCCTCACCGGCTGTCGCTCCAGAGGTGGTGCCGCTTCCATGTCTAGCAAAGCTACCACCAGAACTGCTCCTACAGATCATTTGTTATCTACCCGTTGAGTCAGCCGCCGCGGTCGCCTTGATATCGAAACATCACTACGTGGCTTTAAGCCAGTACGTTCTCCCTGGTAGTACGTTCTCCCTGGTCTCAGTGGCACAGCTGGCAAAAAGCACTTTCTTCGTCTCCTCGAGGTGGATCTGCCGGATTATATCGCCTGCCACTGCTGTGATACACTATACAAATGGAAGACATCCGCGCCACGGTATCAATGTCCCCGACAGTATCGCCGTGGGACGTCGTCCGGCATGCACACAGTCGGGCAAAAGTACTGCCCAGAGCATCACCCCCGTGATCTACCTCTCGAGACGGTCGCTGTCTTGCTAACGGGGTACGAGCGAGGCCCTGCCTACGGCCCACAACTCCAAGACCTTCACCATAAGTGCGAGCCCGCACTGCCGTGGCACAACCACACCCCAAATGTATCGAGGGAGACAGCCGCGAGGGTCGTCAATGGCACGTTGCTCCTTCGAACATCCTACAGTCTCCAAGTGTCTTTGGCTTTGGCCACGCAGCAATCTGTGGCGGCACAGCTCGACCAGCTGAGATTCATTGGCTGTGGCCATTCTGCTTGCACGCTCCCTGCTCTGGTGATGGACGCTATCGACCACTACCACCACCACCGCCTCGGCATTGCTTCCCCCGCGGCACCACGATGTTTCGATTACATCAATTGCGCAGAATGTACAACAGATCTACGCGTCGCCGTCGTGGCGACACAGAGTGATCAACTGATAGCGCGGATCACCACGTGGCAGTGCTTCGGAGGGCGTGACTCGGATCGAGAAGACGTCACAGTCCAGATGATGTTCGGCTTCAGTTTTGCCCGCAAGCGCGAGTCGTCAGACTATCGACTTGCGTTTCCGAGCCGGAATCTTGAACTATTGTACAATGAGAAGCTTCGGTGACGGTGGCGATGGTATTCGCAGTGGCAGTCTTACCACCGTGCTGCAACAACGGCACAGTTGGCTACATTGGTGGGACTGGAGCTATCCGTGGTAGACGGACACTCCGTGCGTTTGCAGCTATATCGGTCCTGATTGAAGGGATGATTTTCCATGGACTGACTGGAAGCCATCGCGCGACACCGACACCTCGTGCACAGCTTTTCATGCGGTGCATCAATCAGCTTGACGGTTTTTGAGTTGTCACTGTGCGGTCCTGACCGCGGCTTGGTACTGTAGGCTGTGAGGGTATACCCTGGTCGCCTGGTCCCAGGGCAGCGTGGCTCAAGCAGTGAGAGTTTTATAGAAACCCATGATTTGAAACCAAGGCGCGAGGTTTCGATGTTTCGCATCCATCATTTCGGAGGGCCAACTTCTGTAACACTCCTTTGCGCCTCTAGCCGAGTGGTGCTTTGGAGGTTCTCTGTGTGGTATGAACAGGTTATTATTACTAGCAGCCATAGATATTGTAGGCGCCGGAAGCCTCTTCTCCTACAGGCCTAGTACAGTATCGTATAGCAGTTCATCTCACGGAGCCTGAGCAGCTCACCCCCTCTGGCTATTTGTTCACTCACTCTCCATACCAATCCATCTTCCTCGTTCGCTCACTACAGCACCTATGACCATCTGGGCCTATTCTTTTGGCCTGGCAGTTTCAATGTGCATTTCAACATCCTCTTTCTCGCCCATGGCCGTGGCGGTGCTCGGGTCGACGTGCGCAACTTCATCGCCAAACACTTGGCCGATCTCTTCCAAGCTCATCTTCTTGGTCTAGATAAAGAGCATTAGTCTCTCCCGCAAGGAAAGGACAAAGGAATGATATCCCACTCACCTCGGGGAAATAGAAATACATGAAGACAACCATGACCGTGGTGACGGAGATGAAGACCAAATAATAGCGCCATCCAATGTTGGCGAAGCCGGCAGGAGCTCTGATTAGCGAAAAAATATAGTCAGCCTCACAAAATTGCACTGCGCGAGACTGGAAAGCAGTGGACTAGCACCAGCAACATACCCTTGCAGGATAGCCAACGAGGAGAGGAACAAGCCTGAGATGGAAATCGACAAGCCCTTAGCTCTGACTGGAGTTGGGAAGATTTCGGATGCATAGATGTATGTGGTGGCGTCGCTGGTCCGTTGTTAGCGTCAAAGCCGTAAACGAAAGCTTGGACTGATGCTGAAGAGGTCAGGTAAGACTTACATGAAGCTCGCGTAGAAGCCGACAAACAAGAAGAGGAAGAATACGGCGGCATTCGTGGCAGCCCGGTTTTCGCCCTTCTCGAGTTGGGCAAGTGTGATTACCTCGCCGACAAGGCAGAGGACGCAGCCGATGATTCCAATGACTGTCCAGAGTCAGTACAGGAAATGCGGGTGTGCTTCGGTCATGACTCCTTACGCAGCATCCTCACTCGACCCACTTTATCCACAACCAGGCCGTTGAACCAGTTGCCAAAGGGAGAAAACGTGATCCATCCACAGCTCAGAAGGAGCTGTTCAAGGGTGTTGAAGCCGAGACTCTTGTACAGTTGGGAACCGTAGTCTACAGTAATGGTTAGAGAATCAAACTGAATACCCGGAGTGTATAAATCATACTGTAGATGATCTGAGTGCCTGTGACCTGAGGAGCGACCATGGTGACGAAACCGACAATCAACCTCTTTCGATAATGAGGGAGGCGGAAAAGATCCCAGAAGGACAATTGCTGTTGTTTCTCGAAGATGATCTGTTCGCGCAGAACGGCAAAGTCGGCTCGGAGAGCCGCTTCGTCGTTCAAAAACGCATCGGATGACTCGGCACGAACATGCTTGAAGGAGGCGAAAGCCTCTTCGAATCGATCATGGTCAAGAACTGTTTCCGATTGATCAGTATGTGTTCCACCGCCGATGGACGCTGAGCTGCAACAGAAGGGAGACATACGCCACCTAGGTGTTTCTGGCAAGAATAGAACTCCCGCAGAAAGCACGGCAGGCCAAACTGCCTGAATGGCGAGAGGGAGCCTCCATTGCGCCCCACCAGCGTCGACGAAGTAGAAGCCGAGCCCAACCCAGCTGGCGGCCGAGTAGCCAACGCACAGCATCACGCCGTGCATGGCGACAAGGAAACCTCGGATCTTAGGAGGCGCGATTTCGCTCTGATAGAGAGGCACAAGTGTCACGAGAGCACCTGCAGTAGCAAAGAAGAAAGGTCAGCGTCGCTGCTGGTAGCTGAGTGTCTCATTTGAGACCAATGGTCAACTTACCGATGCCGACACCCGTGAGAAAACGTGAAAAGATGTACATTCCAATGTTCACGCTGCCGGCTTGGAGAGCTCCACCAACAGTGGTGACCAAGCCTGCGTAGAAGAGTGCCTTGCGACGACCCAGCCAGTCGGCTGACTGGATGCATGACAATGTGCCGAAGAAGCCGCCAGTTTGAAAAAGGCCGAAGATGGATCCGATCAGATCTGTGGCATTGGACCGTGTGTCGAGTTCGAAGTAGGCAATGAAGGAGGGCTGTGCAAGGGTCGTGCTGATGATCGAGGCGCAATAGCCGTATGTCGTGCTCCCCAGGGCCACGAAGATGACGATCTGATCAGGAGAGTGAGAACGTGACTTCCAAAAGCGTGCTTTGACATGATGGCCTTACCAGAAGACGCAGTGTCGAGGCGGAAAGAGCCATTTTGTTCGAAGATCGCTCAACCACGATGGATATGGCTATTCACAAAGAGCATCAGGGGTGAAAGAGATCAGGATTCCACAGCCCACGATTATATAACTGCATGAGACTGGTGCGGTCGGATACTGCAGATGTTCTGGATCTTAGAGTGGATCCGGGGAAGAGACAGGGAATATGCATGGCTAAACGGGCTCCCTTGCACCCAATTGATACCTTCAGCCTCGCCAAAGCGACAGGGAAACGGATGAAACTTTCTTTTACCAAGATTGGGGACATTTTGGGGATGATGGGGAAAACTGGGCATCGCTCGTGAGTCTGTTGAGTGGTTTCCAACGATAATAGCTGCGGTCAGTATATCCTGACTCGTATCGAGCATCAACGGGACCATGGTGACCCTGACAAAGGGACCAGAAGGACCCCACGGGGAACATCGTTAGATACGCGCCATTCTTGGAGAAGTAGCGTCGAGCGGAGGTACTTCGAGGCAGCGAAAGTGGCCAGGCGTGCCAAACAAGAAAAGTGGCGGAATTCACGGGACGTGGTCGCAGGAAGCTAGACTTTTCGGATCAAGCGAAAGACTTAGCATGAGCAAAACCACGCACTGACCTATCGTCCTACCGAATCACCCAATGCCAAGGTGCGTAACGACTAGATGTACTGGCTCCGCACAGGCACTGAGAACCGACGAGAGCCTGAAGGAGGACGGCGCAGGCAGGCTGACCTAGACGGGCGGCAATGGTTCTGATGTCTCCGGTGGAGGTCTGGCTTCTCTCTGAAAACCGCTCCAGCGCCAAGGACCGCAAGGCCATTGGTCCTGTCTGGGAGGTCTTAGGAGAACAGCGAAAAAGAGCTTGTTTGCCCGGACGCATTGAGGGGGATAGACGAGGCCCCCACGGGAGGCACCAAGCACACGCTTTGAGCCGACAGCTGAAATAAGCTACCAGTGGACGGCTTGGTCAGTCAATCAATCAAACAATCATGTACTTACCTCGTAACTAGTCGATCAGGCCTCGGAGAGAGGTCAATTCAGACTGTACTGCTACCCCAGATACTCCGCATAAGGTGGCCGAATCCTTGTTATGGGGGTCGATCAATCGCTCGGGGCCATGCAGTGTCAGTCTTAACTCCGCCCGGGAAGCGGCATGAGAACCAGCTCCTGCCGTCGATGTTTTGATCGAGTCTTAGCTTCGGCCGTCAGACTTGGGTTGAAGGCATGAGTGGGTCGAACAATGCTCCTGGTACGTACTGTGTACTCCGTAGTACTCCGTCCGTGCCTCCCACGCACGTTGCGGTCTGAGGCCAGCACGTGCAATAGCTAGACCGAGTACTGTGGTTACTTTCCTGCTTCTCCAATATCTCCTCCGAGATTGTATGGCGCGTGATATATAGGTCGTGATAGTAATACTTCAACGCTGTACATGATAAGAGACAATTCTCCATTTTGCTACACAGTGAGCGACAAATAGAAGCAAATCAGCAATACCGGAGTCACAATGTCGTTTCCGGTGTCCGGAAAAAACGCTATGGTCACAGGCGGTGCTTCAGGTACGCTCGATGCCCAGTTGTTTTGCAATTGCAACTCAGCTAAATCTGTAATTGAACAGGTATAAACCTTGCTTTTGCGAAACTGCTTGCAAGCAAAGGCGCCAACGTTATCGTGGGAGACATCCAAGAGTCTGCTGCATTCAAAGAGTTTGAGAAACAACCAAGAGAAACCAAGCTTTTGTTCCAGAAGACCGACGTCTCGAAATGGAGTGACCTCGAACGCCTTTTTGCACGCGCAAAGTCAGAATTGGGACCGATAGACATAGTTTGCAATGGGGCTGGCGTATTCGAACCAGTAAGTGTAGCCTCAACACTCGTTTATGTACAAAGTCAGGGCACAACTGACCACCCTCCCTTGTTTGCAGCCATGGTCGAATTTCTGGAACGACACAGAAACAGAGAGCTACAAGTCCTTGGACATCAATCTCACAGCGCTTATCAAAGGAACACGCTTAGCCATCCGAGACCAAATCACGAGATCAAAGGGTCGCAAAGCCGGCGGCACCGTGGGAGTGATCCTCAACATCTCCTCCCTGGCTGCACAACGCATGCTCTTCAACCAACCAATTTACAGCGCCGCAAAGGCTGGAGTGTCGGCAATCGTGAGGTCACTGGCTCCTCTACACGAGGAGTTCGGCATCAAAGTGGTGGCCGTCGCGCCGGGGATGGTATATACGCCATTGTGGTCCGACAACCCCGACAAGCTGAAGGGCGCCCATGAAAAAGACATCTGGATCACCCCGGAGGAGCAAGCAGAGGTCATGCTAGAAGTCGTCGAGAATGGCGAGTACGAAGGTGGCACAGTCCTGGAAACGCTCAAGGGATCTACAAGGAGGGTATACATTGACAGTCCGATGCCTGAGGGTCCCGGATCCACCATGTCCAATATCGCTGTGATTACCGAGGACACTATTGCGCTATTGGAGCAAGAGAGGAAAGGTGGTAAGGCGACAAACGGTGTGTAAGGCCCGGTACAGTAGCTTGGAGAAACGAGACCCAATGAGCACCGTAGTCTCGATTCATTCTCCCAACGACGTTCGCGTAGCTATGACTCTATCTGAAGAGACGGTCGAGAGTGAGCGTCACAATCGCCCAGAACAATCGCATGATGGGATAGGTGAGTAGTATCCCTGATACGTCCATGTCTTTGGGGTATGCAGAGGCTATGGCTGATCTGCCCATCTCGCGTGCCTTAGCGACCACGTGGAGAATCTGACATTGGTAAGTACTGTAAAGTAGCTTCAAGGACGACTTTACCTTTGACGCACAAAATAGTTCATGAGGAGACTTCGTGAAGAGATGATCCTCATCATCGATCCCTGTACGTTTGACCCCTCGAGACCAGGCTCAAGGACTACTATGAGCGTATAATGACCACCCCAATACCCGCCGGTCGTGAAGTTGTCGAACCGCCCCCGACGGACGAGTGGAAGAGGTTCTCAACTCTCCACCCGAGGTAAAACCAAGTACGGTGCTTTCCAGAGATACTCTTGTCATTGGGGTTTGGCGTCTCAAAGCCACTATCCCCGAAAATCCCCAATGTCTCAGCTCCAAGGATAACAAGCACCTTCATGGATCCCGGAGACACGGCACCGCCAAACACGAACAATATGGGAAAGAGGTTGTCAGGTGCGGCACTCCAGACGTTCTGCAGGATCGAGATGTCTGACCTATTCGATTCTGTCATGCGGAGAGCGGGGATAAGGTTTGTCTATTGTGGAAAATGGTGGCTGAGAAAGGACTAGGTCTAGTCTTAACGTCCCAAAGACCGGGATCTGCATCTCCGGCTGGCTGGTTGTCGAGTTGTCGAGTTGTCGAGATGACTAACCTGCAAACTCACGAGTCTTGGTAGTTGCTATGACCAGAGCCGATCAAGCCATAAGGAGTCACGAAATTTCCTCCATCATCATCGAACTCGTATAGATCGTCGAGCAACGCTAAATAGGAGTAGTGGGGTAAGTGCTATGGTTAGAAGTCTCCTCCCATGAGGCAGGCCACCAGCGTGCTGAACCATTGGTATGATCAAATAATATCGGTGCCTCGGGACCCTGGCAGCAAGCAGTAATAGAGGCTTTGCGAAGAATCGTCCAAGCACGAAACATTAATGGTGTGCGAGCGACGCAGCATGAGGATCAGAAACCGCAGTGCAGCTGCAGCAGGAGGTGTCTTCCTCAAGGCTTGCATGACATTGTGGCCTTGCCCGTGAAGGTGTAGTCTGTATTGCGACGTGTAGTATCCACAAGAGGTAAAGAGGTGAGAAGCAAAAATAGGAGTCATGTCCAATGGACCCTGGTACAGAACAAGGCGAACCTAAGGACTCGGTTCAAGGTTTTGCTTGTCGATAAAAAGTCCCGGAACCTCCTAGCGGGAGCCAACCCAAGGGTAAAGGGACGACATGGTGCTCCTGGCGACACACGGAAATAGAATTGATGAGATCCTTCCTTACTTTGCCAGAACAAAAGCAGCCGTAACCAGTGACATTGTTAAATAGGTTCCAGGACCATTCGATCAGAAGACCATACAACTTGCCGGAGCAGGCTTCAAATGCCGCAACAGCATCGACAGTCGCCGTCAGCCGAAGCCGCAGCGAGTGACAAAGTGAAGCAAGTCAGAACTGCATTGGTGTTTTCAGGGAGTTGAACTACGAGTAAGCGTGCCTTACGCGTGCAAGTGGTGAGAGCCTGGGAGTCTGGACACCTACAGAAGCTTGCCCCGCACTGGCGTGGCTGGCAAGGCTGGCATGCAAGGCTGAAACAACGTTGTGCGGGGTTTTGGGCGGTCTCGGATAGGGACCCCGGCGAAATAAAAGTCCGCCGCGCTTCCCGAGCCGACCAGTGTAACCGGACGAGTACTCCGTACGGAAGTGATGATAATAGCACATTAGCACTCTGCCAACGAGAGTTGGGGTTCTCGGATGGCTGCTGGATCTCTTTGTGCAAATCATCATATCTAGAAATCATCCTTCTAGTCTCACCCTCTCCAGGATAGAAGCATCCCGTGGCTCTGGAGCCAAAGAACGCACTCTCATCCTTACGGAGTCGAGCAGGTCCAACCCTGGGAGGGAAATCAGCCTTGAATTAAGACTAAGCTTGAACTGATGAGCGATAAGGTTCTTCGTGGCAGCTACGAGGATAGCATATAGGACAACCTAATTTTGCTGCGACAGTCTTGCTCAGACAAATTACAACATCGACCTTACCACGGAGAATCTGAAGCGTATATGCAACCGCTCAACGACAACCGAGAAATTTCGTGCGTCGCACTGTCCACCGAACCTCGACTCGAGCAACCATGTCTCGAACCTACGACTTCCTGGTCGGCACATTCAACACTCCTCAATTATACACCCTACGCTTCACGCCGCCCTCGTCATCAGCTCCAGACTCAGCATCCCTCAAGATCCTCCATCGCGCTTCTGCCGTGGGCTCTCACTCCTGGCTTCATCTGAATCCCCCAAAGCCTAACGGCAGACAGAATCTCTACGCCACAGCCTGGACAGAACCACCCACGGTCGTAGCATATGCAGTCAACTCCGCAACCGACATCCAGCTTCTCGGGAGTGCTCCAACGAGATCACGCAGCGGCTACGTCACCGCCAGTGATGTAGCGCTATACTCGGCCGGCGGAGCGACCGGCGAAGTATTCAGCTTGGATCCAGAAACCGGCAACATCGTGCCTCCGCCTGCCTCGAGTGGAACGACAGCAACCCAGTCATCACCGCAAGTCCAGCCTCTTCAGCTCCTCTCCTTCCTCGACCAGAATGCACAGCGCGACGATGGCAGCGTGATGGATTTCGGCGGTCTCCGCCATGGTGCCCACTCTGCGGATTTGTCGCCCGACGGCAAAGCAATCTACATTGCGGACATAGGACGTAATTGTATCTGGACGTTTTCTATCGATCCGAAAACCGGGGCGCTGACACCAGGGGAGAAGCACATTTCACCGAGGCCCACTGACGGCCCGAGACACGTCTGGCCGCACCCGAGTGGGGAGTTCGTGTATTGCTTGCAAGAGCATACAAGCATGGTTGATGTCTTCTCTACGAGCGACGGAGGGGTGAAGTTGAAGCACGAGCAAGGCGTGCGGATCATCCCGGCGGAGGAGAAGGAAGTAGACTACTGGGCTGATGAAGTGCGGACGAGTTTCTCCCATGGAGACCAGCCAGAGTACTTGTACGCCAGTACACGAGGCTTGAAGGAGGGGAAGAATGGTTATGTTGCAGTGTACAGGTTGACTTCTGAGGGTCGAATCGACACCTCAGTGGCTCCGCATCATTCATACGCCAAAAATGCCGGCAGCGAGTCCAGGTCGAGCTTATATGCGGGCCTGTTATATATGTGGGAGTCACCCACGAGTGGGGGATGGGCAAACGCAGTCCAACCTGGTCCGACTATCGATGGAATCGAGTATCTTGCGCTGACGGATAGTGAGCAGGGCTATGTATTCGTCTTGAGCTGGGATGGGCAAGTGATCAAAGAAGTAGCAAGGACCAAATTGGACGACGGCGCAGGCGCGGCGACAGCGGTGTGGCTGTGAAGAGGCGAGACGAGGAAGAAAAGGGTCAGCGTTCAACAACATTCAACAGCTCCCACCACGGATTCGAGGTACGAAGCCGAAATAGGCATGGAGGCCTGTCCAAACGCCGGGGAAAGTGTGTCTGTGGCTTTCGACTTTGTATCCCATCGGTCGTATCTCCGAGATACAGTGTTTGGAGACAGGCTCACATCCTGCTTGGTGTGATGAGGGATTCTTCCCAGGCTTGATTGCTCTTACTTTCTGCTCGACTCGTCATCGACGAACAGACATGGGAATCAAAGTCATCGGATCTTTATCGACACGATAGATCTCAACTTGGCCTAGGGGCGAGGAGTCGCATGCAGCGCGCTCAAATCGTACCCGATACATGTACATCGGGATCGATCAAGGGCGGTGCGAGCCGGCCGCTGACCCCTTGTGGCAAATGGAATGGATCTCTGATGTTAGTAAGCATGTAGAGCGTCTTTTCCTCGCCAGACATGACGGTATTTGTAGCCTCTGGTGCCTCTGCTTCCAAGCAAGCTCTGCCGATTGTTCCGAATTCCTGTTAGGCCCTCGCTGCATGCTAGCTTCAAGACATCGATTTAGCCCTCGCTGTCTGACGTGCAGTGTCCAAGCGGAGTCGAAGGGGCGGATTCCACACGGCGCTGAGTAAGACCGGAGCATACACGATCAGTCCACATACAGGACCTACAGGCCACGTCGGTTCAGAACTTGGGCAACGCTCTCGTAGGATCACGACCTGCTCACTGACAACAAAGGAGGCTCCAGAATTGACGGAGGGAGTCCCCGGGAAAGTGCAAAATGCGAAAGCTGCTGGCACCTGTGGCCGTGAGTAGATCCACTGGCACATCCACAGGTACTGAAGAGGCGCAGGGACAGAGACTTGCCTGGGGAGCGTCGGAAAGATGAATTACGATGAATTACTCAATCTGGGTGATGAGATTGTTTGATATTGGAGGTGCTCGTCCGTCCGGACATGTATCATCAAATTGTCATGTCCCTTCATCTAGAACTCGTTGGTCCCTCGTACCAGATCAAGGTTTAAGAGCGAATAATTATGAGCCTGGCACATTAATTAGATATTTGCATGATGCGCAGTGATCAATCGATTGTCATAGAAGTGATTTGTCTAACGATAGCTGGAGCCAGCAGAAGTGGAAGGTCAACCGAGACGCGCTCCTTCACGCGGATATTCAAGGCCTGCCACCCATCAGCCCATGCGACGCGGGACAGCAAAGTGAATATTTCATTCGCATCGCAAGACTTGCATCCCTATGCTGTACTAGTCTGAGGTGTGTCTCGGATGCGATGTTCGGAGACAAGACACTTGAGCGACAGCACGCATTGCAAACTTTGCGATGAACTGACGACTTGTTCGAATATTCCGTGTTTCCCTCTTGCTCAATACTACGGAGTGCTGTGCAATGCATACTGCAAGTATGTCTCGCTCTCCTTCTCCACCTCCCAAGACTACCATCGACCGCCAAACCACCACGCCTTTCCTGCTGAATTTCTGCTATCGCGCATCCGCTTTCCACAGCCTGACGGACTTTCCTGTGCCGACACCCTCGAATCCACATCCGCATCTACCGTCACACCTGCAGATATACACATGGATGAGCTGCACGTTGCGGGAGCTTGCGCTTCTGTTGACACAAGCGCTTCCAAGCATTCTCCCTGATCCCGCCATTGGGACAAGGCTGAGCTTCAGATTGGTCTATCCTGATTTACATGCTAGCAGAGGCGGGGGAGGGAGGCTTGAGAGTGAAGGACGGGGTCGATATCTGAGCAAAGAGATGGGCAGTGTGGTAGTCGCGGCTCCGGAGAATTCCAACGGCGATGGCCCTGGCGCTATTCGCTTGCAGGGCGAGGAGGCAGACAAAACGCTGGAAGAAGCCCGCTTTGTTATCGGCGACTTTATCGACTGCGCGGTGTTTCCTCCGCTGAGCGATGGCACCGTGGTCTCTAGTGGAAGCGTTAGTGCGAGGAGCGGTGCTAGAGAAAACGGCTACGGCAGAGTCAGAGGTGGCGGTTATGGTTTGAGCAGTAGAGGCAGCTACAATGGTTTTGGACCAAGAGGCGGCGATTTCGGTGGACCCGGCACAATACCAAGCGGTGAGTGGAGGCGAGGGGAGCGGTTACCTGAGTCTAGTGGTTTCCGAGGCGGGAGAGGCGCCAGACGAGGCTACTGATTGCGATCGTCGCGTATGACCAGATGAAGAGCTCGTCGTTGTGCCGACATATCGAAGACTACGCAGCTTTGAAGGTGGTACCTGCAGAATGTGTACACCAGATTTATTGCCCCTTAAGAGCAACGCAGGGCTCGATTTCGCTATCCTGAAATCTCCAGCATGTCAGCAGGTCAAACTCGGGCAGAAAGAGTGACTGGGTGCCAAGCTGCATAATTTGGAGGCGTTGCTAACTGGCACAATCTTTGATGAGGAGAATTCCAAGTCGAAAGGAGCAACAAATCTCAAGGAAGGGATGGAAATGTTTCCCCAAAGGGAGATATACCCAAGGTCACTGCTGGGTCCGAGTGAAAGTCTCGAGGCTACGGCTGCAAGTACCAGGCTTCCGTACGACGGGCAACGGACCAGATGTTCTCCACGATGATCTAGACCATGGAATGGCCGTTACAGAAGCTTTCTGGCGGAGATGTTGCTAGAGAAGGACTTATTTCAGTATTGGAAAGCTGCCGATATCCCTCACCGCCATATTACTTGCGGTATGCAGTGTCCTTGCACGTGGTGCAGGTGAGGCGCCTGCGAACAACAGAGCAAGAACGGTTAATCGTATGACGTCGCATGGCCAATGACGCAGCTTGAAGCTGTCCCTGAGCTCCACTTTTGAGCTTCCACCTTCCTGGTGCCCGTTACTGTGTGGCGCCTTTCCCCAGCATCGTCCCGCCGTGCCCAATCACTGCAGATCAATGCCCGATCTCTATTTCCCCTCGAGCCCCTCTAAAAAAACAAAACTTATCAGTGTTCCATCCCACTCTCACTCTCACTCTCAAAACACAACAAGTTTCTCCTTCGTGCACCCTTGTTATAGACTTCTCAGTTTTCTTCCTTCACATATTCGGCTCAAGTACATTTAAGAACACTGTCAAGATGGGCAAGGTCAGTTCACTTACCTTTCACCGGGCCTTCATCTACCCCTCGATCGGTCTTGAACGCCCATCGTTGGACGAGCACTATCAAAGAGGCCTATTGGGACTGGCAAGCTAACGGCTCATAGGTCAAATACATCCTCCTTGACTGCGACAACACCCTCTGCTTGTCAGAGCGTCTCGCTTTCGAGGCCTGCACCGATCTTACCAATGAACTCCTCGAGAAGTACAACGTCTCCGACCGCTACACCGTCGATGACCTGCTCGAAGCCTTTGTTGGCCAGAACTTCCGCGGCATGATGAACGGGCTGCAGAAGAAGCACAACTTCGAGATGCCTGCAGACCAGCTTGAAGAATACGTCGGCAAGGAATTGGGTGCCGTCACTGCCAAACTCAAGGCCAAGTGCCAGCCCTGCCCTGGCGCGCCTGAGGAGCTTGAGCGCTTAAAGCAGGCCGGGTACCCCATGTCCGTCGTCAGCACGTCTGCCAAGCCCCGTGTCGTCGCCTCCCTCGAGAAGACCGGAATCGACAAGTACTTTCCCAACGAGCATGTCTACAGCGCAGCCACTTCCCTCAACCCTCCTTCCAGCAAGCCAGACCCCAAGATCTACCTCTATGCCTGCGAACAACTCGGCGTCAAGCCAGAGGAGTGTGTCACCGTCGAGGACAGCAAGAGTGGTGCCACCGCCGCTATGCGTGCCGGTATCCCCTGCATTGGCTACGTTGGTGTCTACAAGTTGGAGGACGGCGAGGAGAAGATGAAGCAGATGGCGAAGATTCTTCAGGAGCAATGTAACTGCGTCGAGATCATGTACGACTGGAAGGAGTTCCCAGAGCTCTTGAAGAAGGTCGAGGCTCGCGCCTAGGCCTGCAGTCGATACGCACAGTCGTGACAATAACCAGTTGATGAGAACTATGAGGTGAACTCCGGGATCTCCATGTATGGAACGAAGGGTCGAGCAGCACACGCAATGAGATCCAGCGAGACGGACAGCTGAGACGACGAGGTCTGCTCAGTGGACAGCATTCAAAGAAGCTGCCAGGTTCCGGGGTAAATTACCCTCTCCTCGGGTTAGAGCACTAGCCTTCGGCTTAGAATAGAAAATCGAAGTAACATTCTCGAAGCGCTTCATTAGCCGTCCTTCCGTCCTAGTAGTGCCATGAGTGGCCATCAGAACCCGATCCGCGTGAGTTTGACCGCTTATCGGTGACCTAGATTTCTTTTCGCGCCCGCAACCACCAGACTCGTGGTCACTCGATCTAGCGAAAGCATTAAGTGGCGATGCTACCATACCATAACTGCGGGCTCGTCTGACAAGAGCCGCGACACGGACTGCAAAGCAAGTCTGTCAACCTTGACGACTGTCTCTGCCACCGAAGTTCGAAGACATCTACTGTAGCTGGCCCCCTCGATTCCGCGAGCCGAGTCCAAGGTCCGAGGTGCAATTCGACTTTAAATCTCGTAAAGGATGCACGTTGTTCAGCGGTGGCATGAAGCTCGGCGAAAGGAAAGAAGGGGGCACGGAAGCAAGCCTCGAGGCAAACGTACTCAGTACGATGGAGGTACGGCACCCAACCTAATCTAATTAAACTAATTAATTCAAATATTGCCACTTTTCTCTTTCCTCCTGACCTTCTCGACAAGCCGGCCGACCATCTCCCTCATGACGTGCTTCTCTCCAGAGTAGTCCATGTCGAACCAGTAATTCAGGGCAACACACGGCGCGGGCACTACTCGTAAGTTTCCATTTCCGTCTTCGGCCCGGTCCTCCCACTGTCCGCACTCTTGCGTTACGTGGTGGAACCACCCGGCCGGGAGGTAGAGAATTTGTCCTTCCTCCACGGTGACGGTCAGGGGCCGCGCGTATTTGTAGTACGGGTGCGTGTCTGATGAAGGTGGTGGAGGGTTGAACGGATCGATGGGGATCCAGGGGATTTTGGCGGAGTGTGCGTCTACCGAGGAGGAAGCTGATGAGGGCGAGGGCGAGGGCGAATTATCATCGAGTGGATATGCCTTCGATGCAGAATTATTCCCATCCTCACCGTTGGCTCCTCCGTCGTCTGGCGCATCTCCGTCCGTGTCCATGTCCGTGTCCGTGTCCATGATGATCTCAAATTCCTTCGTCTCCTCGTCAAACGCCCATCGTCCGGTCCTCACCATCGTGGCGTGCAGGCAGATCTCCTCGATGGGAGGGTACAACACGAATTTCTTCCGTCCCTTGACGACGAGATAGAGATTCTCGTAGGGATCTCGATGCGTGGATGTCACGCTCTGGGCGCTACCTATCCAAATATTCGTGGCGTCGGGTTCACCTAGAGCGGGAAACGCAAACGGAGGTGGCGTGGCGGGGAGCTGGGCTCTGAGCGGAGCCAGCTCTGGGCGGGAGAGGTTCGAGTCCTGCGATTGGAGATAATAGATTGGCCTTTTTCTCGTACAGTCTGCAGACAGAGAAGATGAGACCGGAGGACAAAGCTCGTCGATCAGCTTGGAAATCGTCATGCGGGTCGTGGCAGGTTGGAGAAAGACGTGCTCTAGTGCGTCGTCCTCGTCGCTGTCGTCTTGACCAGCTACATCTTCGAGCGTCGTGTGTGGGCCGTGCTCTCCTTCGCTTGGTCCCTCTGTAGAGCTGCTCACTCCCGTGCCTATGACTGAGGTGTCTTGTTGCCTTGCACGCCGTTTTGGGAGTACATACAGCGAATCAGCCCGACCATCTGGCGTGACAGCCACTTCCACCTCGCTCTGCACAAGCGAGCGGAGTGTCCTTTCAGTCCATCGGAAGCACGGCGCACCGAGAATAGAACGCTGCTCCTCTTCGAGATGTGCCCTCTTCCGGTCGTTCACTGAAACACCCGCGTGGTGCGGCTTCGCTGCATCGTCGGTCTCGTGGTTATGACTCGCGCCATTCGGAATCTGCTCATTCCCAAGTGTATTTTCGAGCACTCCTCGGTCAAGCTGATACACGCACGGTCTTCCACGGGAGATTTGCTGGCTGAAATGTAGTGATGTCGGGTAGGGATAGACCGGGACGGTCATGTCGGGGTTGAAGTCGTGGTAGTCTTGAATCAGAGCGAGGAGCTCATCAAGCGCAAAGTCTGCATCTCTTCCATGGCTAGTCTCGCCTCTGGAAGGCATTTGCGAGACAACCGGACAGGGAGTTAATTATTAGCGGCATATGCTGTCGTTGTATTCTGCGGTGAGAATCCAACGCGAAAGCGATTAGTTTCAGGACTGATCGATCATTCCCGCGCCAGACGCGTGCTCTACTACGCACTCAGGAATGGATTGTGCTCCGGCAAGATGCAACAAGAGTCAAGTCCCCGTCTGGGCAGTATGGAGTATGGTCGTCGATGAGCTCGGAGTTGCTTATAGATCAAGGTCTTTTTGGAAAGCGTTGGTTGGAGTCAAAGGGAAAGGCGAAGTCCTTCAGTGAAGATAGAAGCAAGCTGTGAGCAGACTCGGCGCCTTCAACCATCTGTATACGCTCTACACCTTCTCTTCAAAGCCGGCAAACTTCTTCACTTTGACCTACTAACACGTTTTATGACATTGTAATCTACGCAAATACCTGCAATGCGCTGTGCACGTATTACTGCCAAGATTTATGGTTTCTCTCCACACGATTGGCTGATCATCCATGTTCTCACCTCCCTCATTCTCGCCTGTTGGTTGTTGTTCATTTTTACCATCTTCAGGGCCTCGGCAACGGGACAGTATGAAGTTTTCTTGACCTCTACCAGCTGGACTCCTTTCTTCTACGGAATCTCAAGCACGGGATTGCCCCACGTTGTGTTTGCAAACTTTAACCCATCTGGCCGCCTTGCCAATGCATGCTCCGTGGGGTCATCCATGTGGAGTTAACACCTTCTTCCAATGCCGAGTGTACATAAGCTTCGTGTTCACCTCATTTCCGGACGGTCCAGTATGCTCGACACGCGTTTGCTCTCGTTTCCGTGTGAGCATGCTCTGGCCAACGAGGAGATCAGGCACCACTCAGTGGTAGAACACCTTTCGTTGTTGGAATTCTACGTCTAATGACTGTTCTACGGCAGGGAGCTAACGCTGAGACGGACAGTTAGAGAGAAGGGCACCTCCAAGCGATATAGCAGAGTCCACACCCTTCCGAGTCGGTGCTTGACAATATGAGAACGACGAACTCGGATTCGCCCGCAAGCTATCCGGTCGCCATCGTCGGAGGCGGTCCGACCGGTCTGTCGGCTTCTATTCTTCTCTCGCAGTGCAATATTCCGCACGTCTTGTTTGAGAGATACCCGTCGACATCCATCCATCCCAAAGCATGCGGTTACAATCATCGCACCGTAGAGATTTGGCGGCGCATGGGGGTCGAAGACGAGTTAATCAAGAGACGCGCCCCGGCGGACATCATCTGCAGAACAGGGTGGTACACCAGCTTTGGACCGTCCGGGATGGAGATTGTCAGCCGAGATTCCTGGGGCGGTGGTGCCTATGAGGAGGAATATGCGTCTGTCTCGCCGTGTCAGTATTCCATACTGCCACAAATCCAGCTTGAACCTCTCCTGCAGAAGCGGGCATTAGAACTAAACCCCCGCGGCATTCTCTACAACACCGAAGTCACCAAAGTCAAGGAAGCAGACGATCACATCCTCATCACGTATCAGCGCAAGGGCCAGCCCTCCGAGACCATGCGAGCGAAGTACTGTATTTGTGCGGATGGCGGCCGCGGACTGACCGAACAGCTTGGAATTGGCTGGGAAGGAGAACGCGATGTCATGAACATGGTGTCCGCACACGTCCGCGCTCCTTTGTCTCTATACCACCCCGACATTCAAAACTTTATAACCTGGTTTGTCAACCCACAACTCGGCGGCACCATCGGTTCCGGCTACCTCTATCACCTGGGCCCATACCCCATATCTCCCGATACCGAGGAGTGGGTTTTCGCGTGCGGCTTGGCCCCCGGGGAAAGAAGCATGGACGGGCCGGCTGTACTGAACAGGATGCACATTACGCTGCAAATTCCGGACCTCAAGGCAGAAGTTCTTTCCACCAGCTATTGGTACGTCAATGCACTGACCGCAAGGCGCTACCGCAGCAAGCCGTCGGCGGGACGGGTCTTCGTTGTCGGGGATGCGGCCCATCGGATTCCCCCATGGGGTGCTCTAGGTCTCAACACTGGCGTACAAGACGTGGACAATCTCGTGTGGAAGCTGAATCTAGCAGTGAATGGCGTTCCGTCATCTCTCGAGCCCGGTGCAGATCTCAATGCATTACTCGATACGTACGACTCTGAGCGTCGACCGATCGGCCAACGAGTGCGCGATAACGCATTGCACAACCTCCGCTCCCACGGACTGGTCATGGACCGCGCCATCGGCGTTTCTCCCTCCAACACCCGGGACGAGAACGTCGCGAATATGGACTCTTTTCTGAATGCGCCGGCGGACGACCGTGAAGCCATCACCCGCCGCGAAGCAGTTGATCGTGCGCAAAAAACACTTGACGCCGAGTTCCACGCGCTAGGTGCAGAAGTCGGGTGGTTTTACCCTGACGTCGACGTCGATGGAGAAGGCAAGGCAACAAATCATGACGGCCAGCTTACCGAAGACGGACAGCTAGACTCGTTGTACTATCATCCTTCGACCATTCCAGGACATCACCTGCCGCATGCTTGGCTTGAACAGGATGGGCGGAGACTATCAAGCAGGGATCTGGTCCGCTATGATGGATTCGCTCTCTTTACGTCGCGGCCTGAGCTGTGGAGCAAGGCCGTAGAGGATGATGGTCACGGGTTAGTGAGTCTTGTGGAAGTCTTAGACAAGGATATGGGGTCGTCGGGTGATCACTCGTCTGGATGGAAGGACGTTGACGGTAAATGGGCCGCCGAGCGCGGTATCGGAAGCTCCGGCGCCGTATTGGTTCGACCGGATGGGATCGTTGTCTGGCGTGCCAAAGAGTTCGACCCAGATAATTACTCTGCACCGGGCTGGCTCAGTACCGTACTCCGCAGGGCATTGAAGCTTGCATAGATGGTCTAGACATGAAATATAGATCTGGAACTTCGTCGTCGCTACGTCCTCAGCACGGATGGCGGCCGCTATGCGATCTCTCACGTCAGGAAGTCCCCGACGGCAAGTATCCGCACGCTCGGTCTGCCGAGGACGTCGTCAGGACGGTCACAATGCTGCGGTGGGTAGGAGCTGTAAAGATGATGGTCAAGGTTGGCTCACCGGCTCACCTTCTGGCTTGAAGCAGAAGAACAGGGATAGTACTCCGTACAGTATGCAGTTGGGTGGCCCCGCATAGGATTCGTACATTCTCCGGCCCGATCTCACCGTATCCGCCTTACTAATACATCCCCGGAGCTCGACAGCATTGCAGGTAAGCACGTCATGACCGCAGTGGGAGAGGATATGTATATCTAGGTCATTTTCAGTGCTTCAGCATCATCCGATGCCTGACCTTCCGCGACCACATGTTTCAAGATGCAACTTGTCAATTACGCTGCTTGGATCCCATCGGAAAAGGCCCCCTTAGTGGTGGCAACGGCTCCATTCCCAGACCTAGCTCCCGACGAGCTGATTCTGAAGAATGCCGCCGTGGCCATTAACCCTGTGGACTGGAAAATTCAAGCGTCGGGCGGGTTCGGCCTTTCTTACCCAGCCATCCTCGGAGAAGATGTCGCCGGTGAGGTGCTCGAAGTGGGCAAGGACGTCAAGGCTTTCAAGAAAGGTGATCGCGTCATTGCCCACGCGCTGGGGTTGGGAAGTGGCCCCGCGTATGGCGGTTTTCAATTATACCCGAGGGTAAAGCTCCAGACCGTGGCTAGAATACCTGATAGTCTGGAATTCAAAAGCGCGGCAGTGTTGCCTTTGAGTGTGAGCACCGCGGCGGCAGGGCTGTACTTGAAGGAGACTCTCGGGTTGCGGTATCCCCAGCTTGGAGGCGGCGGCAGTACGATGTCTGGCTCGATGACGACGAAAAAGAAGAACGAAGTGCTCCTCCTCTGGGGCGGATCCTCGTCCGTCGGATCATCCGTGATCCAACTGGCCGTGGCTTCGGGCTACGGCGTCGTCACGACTGCGTCTCCGGTGAATTACGCATACGCCAAAACCCTGGGCGCTTCGCTTGTGCTGGATTACCATAACCCGGATGTTGTGCCGATTTTGATATCCCTCCTGAAAGAGCATGGCGCGACTGTGGTGGGCGCTTACGATGCCATTGGAGCGGATGACACGGTGCGCCAGAGCGCCGCTGTGCTGCATGCACTTGGTGGAGGGACTGTCGCGAGCGTTGTCTCCACGCCGGATGATCTGCCAAAGGGAGTCAAGGTCGTTAGGATAGGGAGCACCAATATCGTGAACCAGGAAGCTGGAGCCGTGGCGAAGAAGATCTGGGGCGACTATCTGCCTGCGTCGTTGAAAAATGGGACGTTCAAGGCCGCGCCTGAAGAACTCGTCGTCGGCAATGGCTTATATTTTGTGCAGGGTGGTCTGGATAGGCAGAAGAGTGGCGTCAGTGCTAGGAAGGTGGTGGTGACGCTTTGAGATGGGCAGAGCAATTAAGTACTGTCTAGTCGGCGTTGAGGCTTGCTTGTCTCCTTATCGTGTCCAAGGATCGTCAACTCGCCTGCTTGTGGGCTGGCAACGTCGAGGTCCTAGGAATTCATGTGGGTTACCTGCGTGGATAGGCCCTCAGACCGTGAGCAGGGAATGTACTGAGTTGACCCAAGCAGCTTTGTTAGGACATACCCAACACAACTATCAGGCAAACTTCCACCTCTACGATTCAAGTCCTACGACTCCACAAACTCGTTGATATCTACGAGTTTGGCCTGATTCGCTCTTCGTTGGCACGCCTTGGTCGGCTTGCCGCTCTGCTGTTACGCGTTGTATCAGCATGGAGCGATCTACTGGAGCTGGACCCCCAAATTGGAGATATGTGCACCTACTATACGATGTCAGGCCAGTGAACGATGTCCCATGCTCAGACCGGCACAACATCATGCACATCAGGCGGGGAAATATTCAGTTACACCAGAATAATACGCTTACCGTTGTGTGGATGACGGTATAAATGGATTGACAAGAGCCGGATGACTGACTGATCCACTGACTTACTGAGACAACCCGGTAATTACTCCTCCTTGCTCGTTGCCGATAGGAATGTATCCAGCATTCGCGTTCTTCGTCTTTGCATCTGTCCTCGCACTGGCATGGCGGTGGTCAACCAGAACAGATATCCCCAAGATCAAGAACCTGCCTGAACTTCCGGGAGTGCCTATCTTTGGAAGTCTACTTCTCCTGGGCAAACACCACGCGAGAAATTGTGCGAGGCTAGCCAAGACATACGGCGACGTGTTCCAAGTGCGTCTGGGGAACCGGGTGAGTAGGCTTGCATCCTGCACCCAAGGGTACCCTGTTATGGTACCCAGGGTATGAAGGTCCCAACTGACGGTTGCGTTCGGTGTCCAGCGATTCATCTACGCCAACTCCTTCGAGGCGGTCAAGGAGCTGTGGATCAAGAATCAGTCAGCGTTGATCTCCCGGCCAAAGACGTGGACGTTCCACGACGTCGTCTCCGAGACTCAGGGCGTGTACACGCTTGGCACGTCGCCTTGGAGCGAGTCTGTCAAGCGCGCCCGAAAGGCCGCCGCCACGGCGCTGAACAGACAGGCCGTCCAGACGTATTTGCCCTTCATTGACCTCGAGTCCGCGAGCAGCCTGAACGAGCTGGCTCAACAAGCGAAGCAAGGCTACGACATCGACCCGAACGGGTATTTCCAGCGGTTTTCGCTCAACATCAGCTTGACGCTCAACTATGGCATCCGGATCCAGGGCGGCGTGCACGACCAGACGCTCAACGAGGTGGTTGCCGTAGAAAGAGAACTTGCAAACATCCGCGGCATTGCGCACGGCTGGCAGGACTATATCCCCTTGTTGCGCCTCTGGCCGGGATACAAGAAGAATGCGATCCGCTTCCGTGCCCGACGGGACGAGTATATCCTGCGCTTTTTCGATGCTCTCAAGGACCGCATCGCGGCTGGGACAGATCATCCGTGCATTGCCGGCAATGTGCTCAAGGATCCGGAGGCCAAGCTGGCTGAGAGTGAGTACAGTACACCGCAGATGAGATGCCTCCCCTTCCTTGCGCCCCTTTCTTTCCTCTCTTCCTCTTTTGGTATGTCTATGCAGCTTTGATAACACCTCCTGCAGACGAGCTGAAATCCATTTGTCTGACCATGGTGGCGGCCGGGCTCGATACATTGCCCGGAAACATCAATATGACGATCGCATACCTGTCGTCCCCTCATGGCCAGGAGATCCAGCAGCGTATGCACAAGGAGATCATTGAGGCTCACGCAAACGAGGATCCGTGGCACGGGTGTCTTCTAGAGGAGAAGTCTGAGTATGTCGTCTCCTTCGTCAAGGTACGTGTGCATTGCTCATCGGCCGGGTTTCCGTTGCGCTGTCTAAACGGCTGACAAATTCCGGCACAGGAGGTCCTCCGCTTCTGGTCCACATTGAATCTGTCCTTCAACCGCCAGAGCGTCAAGGATATCAACTATAAAGGTGCGGTGATCCCGGCTGGGACGCCGTTCCTGATGGTGAGTTACGCGTCCCCGTACCATTGTACCCGCATCGCAGTTGTGCCTGGGTAGCTTCGTCGCGCAGACTAACGACTCACGAAAACCGTGTAGAACATGTGGGCCGCCAACCACGACGAGACGGTCTTCAAATCGCCGTTCGAGTTCATCCCTGATCGGTTTGTCGGCGTTTCCGAGGCAGGTCAAGGGACACAACATTTCGGCTACGGCGCTGGAACGCGCATGTGTGCCGGTGCTCACCTGGCGAACCGCGAGCTGTACGCCATATTTACGCGGCTGATCCTGGCGTTCCATATCAAGGAGACACCATACGTCAACGAGAGGCCTATTCTTGATAGCATCGACTGCAATTCGATCCCGACCAGTATGGTGACTCAGCCCAAGCCGTTCAAGGTAAGGTTCATTCCTAGGGATGCCGCGAAGCTGGATCAGTGGCTTCAGGAGAGTTTCGATAAGACGGCCTACCTTTGAGTGCTTCAGACCGAAGGGACTGGACCCCTTATATTACTCGAGAGTGGGCTGTGGTACGTGACTTTGTTCGAGCACTGGTTCAAATTCAGCTGGGCCGGATCAAGAGGAGCAGCCAGAGACCTATCTAGGTCACACCCAAGCCTTGCTGCTTGACATAACTCTGACCATAGTACCTTTTATCGAGTTCAAATCCTGATGAGTGTAGCAGTAGGTGGATGTCCACGTCGTTTGGCGTAGCATAGTGGGAAATGGACCGTCGGTTACCGTATGAATCGAGATTGCAACGTCTTCGGCCGTCCTACGCACTCGCTGATGAAGTCGACGCGCTGACAAGAGATGTAATTAGCTGGCCTTGATGCAATAGGTCGCCTGAATGAGACATCCCTTTTGATCGGAACGCCGAACTTCTCGCCTCGAACGCATCCGCGGTCTTTCACCATGACCGGCCGGAACGCACAGGGGGCACCGATGGGTTCTGGCTTACGTCCTCACATCAACAAGCGACTACTATGCTCACCCACAGCTGTTCCGAACGTTGAGGATCAGCGTACAGTAGCAGGACTGGACAGACGGAGCTCCAATAAGCACATTGCCGTGTCGTTGATCGCGATTCTTATGATCTCCAAATTGGAGAACAGATGCAGATGGCCTCGTGGTTAGCCAGCGGGATTCTGACAAGGATAGCCCAGTAGATATAGTTGATCAGGTAAGGCACACGTGGAAGGAAATATGTCCACCACCGACCCATCGTAGATCAAGCGTGTTGCTTCCAAGCTCAGGTCGAGACGGTTCACCGGCGAGATTGCCTCTGGGAGGATTAATGACCGGTAGGGAGCCGATTATTGTCTCATGGTGAACGCGAATACATTCCGAGCAAGAGGTATATCAAACGGCTCCTAAGGAAGCCTTCGATGACTGGGCAATTCCGGGTCCGCTGTCCGTAAACCCTCAGGCAGACATGTCCACTACCAGATTCCCACTAGGGCCCTTGTCATAGTCTCCTGCCACCCGGTTCAGCTTTTCCAGCTTGGACGGAGTACGTCTTGGTCCTTGCCCTGACGCCCTCCCGAGTTGTGAAGTCTACACTGACTTAAAGGCGGTCTTCGGGCTGCCGCTTCCCCGAATTGGAGACTCGGCGGCCCCCATGCTTACCTAAGAGACCGGAGGCCCCCCAGCGGCTATTCTGGGGCCCCGCATGGGCGTTGTTAGTGGGCATGCTTAGTGACGAATCCTCAGTTTGGGCGTGCCTAAGCACCGACCAAGCCTCGCCCGCCTTATGACTTCCACTTAACATCGCCTCGCCGTCTCCTCTTTCCCCGACTTTTCCTCCCAGGTTCTAATTACCAACCACAGTCGGATGCTGCCAAGTCATGGAAAATGGCAGAGTAGCTTTGAAGACGTTTGTCTGTCATCGATGCGATAGGAACTTCGCCAGGTTGGAGCATCTCCAACGTCACGAAAGATCTCGTAGGTGATCGGGGTGAATCAAAGGACAGTGACAGGCTGAAATGACTGGCAGATACCAAAGAGAAGCCTTATCACTGTGTTCTATGTACCAGAGCCTTCACACGCAAGTATGTGGCATGCAGCGTATTAGGGTGACGACAAAAGTCGCTTACTGATTCGCAAGAGACCTACTGACGCGACACTTCCGGCTGCATCATCATGGACCTAAGGACGCTGGCCAGCGAAACGAGTTCAATGCCGATCTGGATCAGGGCAGCTCCAGAGGCGACGACGTGGATGAGTTATGGACCGACGCCAGAGCTGTGACACGGCTCGCCTTGACAGCAACCAGCATTGAAGAGCCCACGTACCCAAACGAGTCTTTGACCGTCAGAAGCGAGGAACAGCGACTTGCCGATGACATCTTCGAGGATGTTGCGGCTCCATCACAACTTCATGCTGAGGTCGGAACAGATATGGGGAGCACTGGCATCGACGGTTCTTTCTCTGATCTTGATTCAGGCATTTCCAATGTGATACCCAGCCAATTCGGGTCATTCGCTCCTGACTTCGCAGACGACTTCTCGGCATTCATGGACGCAGTGCCTAATCTTTCTTACACGTTCTCACCTACATACCAACCCTTGCCGGTGTTCTTCAACGATCCAGACCCGTCTCTGCAGGCCACTATCATGGCGGGTAATGCCTCAGTGGGCGTCGAACAACACAATGGTCCTCGACTCGAGAGACCGTCATCGTCGCTACAAACCGACTCCATGTTGTCCCGTTACGGCTCCCGGCTTCCTTCTCTTCAGCCCGAGGACAAGCCCTTAGCCATCACTACGGACAAGCACAGGCTGAAATTGAACGATCGCCACTTCCTTGTGACGGCAGATTGCCGGCAATGGCTCATCAACCATTGTGTAGCCTGCTTCGGCGACTCTGTCGACCCTGGCTTCACCCTCCCCTCGCGACATGCCCTATCCCGTTACATTGGCAGCTATTTCAAGAACTTCCACGACCACTACCCTTTCTTTCATGTTCCCACAATGCGGATGGAAGAAATGAATGCTGAGTTGCTCCTGGCAATCGCAGCACTCGGAGCTCGATACACACGGGAGGAAGATGCTGGGAATGATCTGTACACCACGGTAAGGTCGATAGCAATGGAGAGACTTCGCAAGCATCGAAACACTGGGGTAGCCGAGCATCGAAGCCGACGTGGTTCAAAGTCCAGGAACGGCGTCAATCAATTCGACCATGACCCGTCCATCTCTGAAACTGGTGAGGGCGAGGCTCAGATTGTACAATTGATGCAAACATTGTTGCTTCTGATCGCAATCGCCACGTGGTACAAGCGAGAGCCGGCTGCAGCGGAAGCACTATCCATTCGTAGCGTTCTACACTCCCTTACCCAGGAAGACGACGCGCAACAGAAGCAGGTCCCCCTAGCAGGTGATTGGAGAAGCTGGACGCGACACGAGACTCTGAAACGAACCCAGCTTGTGATATTTTGCTTATTCAACATTCACACCATCCTCTTCGACCTCCCGCCTATGACGCTAGCAAGCGAACTGGACCTCGATCTGCCATGCTCCGAAGGAGAATGGAGAGCAGCTACTGAGCAAGATTGGCATGGTCTGAGAAATGCTAGCATTCCGGAGGCGCCCCACCAAAGTTTCAAAGAGGCTCTTGTCGATCTGTTTGCTGGCAATGAGGACTCGAACAAACCATCTCAGCCAAGTGGAGCAGGGTTCTCAGCCTTGGCCGGATGTGCGCTTATCCACGCCGTTATCCAACAGATCTGGCTCGTGCGCAATTCTCGAATTCCCTCCCTCAAACACGGCCGGAGAAACCTTACGAGCGAGGAAATCAACACATTCGAGTATGCTCTCAAACGCTGGGCATATCATTGGGAACGGAACCAAGAGTCGTCGATGGACCCTCTCAGCCCGGATGGACCAGTCACTTTCACGTCGACGGCTCTTCTACGACTAGCGTATATCCGTCTCAACATGGACCTTGGGCCCGTAAGATCGTTGACCAGTTGGGATCCGGACGTTGTCGCGCGGTCGTTGCATCAGAGTGCGAAAGCCGAACGGAACGAAAAGCTGACCAGAGCTGCGCTGCATTGTGCTCATGCCCTCAGCATTCCCGTCAAGCTTGGCATCAATTATGTTGCCCAGACACAGCTGATACATTGGTCAAATCAGCACGCCCTGTGCTCTCTAGAATGTGCCCTGCTGCTGGCGAAATGGCTCCAAGAGGTTAGCACGACAGAGCCCACTCCACCTCTCACCGCCTCCGAAAATCGAGTCTTGGAGTTCGTTGTGCAACTGGTGGCCGAAACCGAATACAAAGTCAGCTGCCAGCAGATCCTGCAACAAAAGAATCGCTTGAGCGCCATGACTGTCCGCTTATGGGCCAAACTATACCAATCAAGCAGCGTCTGGGAGACGGTAAATCTCATTGGGAGGTCGCTGCAGATCTATGCAGAGTTGTTGGAAGCCGACGGTAGGTAGGGTTATTACGTCGACATATATATAACCTGAATTGTGTGCCATCGTAGGAATGGGTCCGTTTTGTCACGGACATCTGGTGGTAAGGTCACCGTTGCAGCCTACGTGCCTATGTACCTACCATAGTCGTTCGCAGAGCAGATCGTGGACCTGAACCTGGTTTAACAGGCTTTGAACATAGCCACAAACTGAAGTCTTGCCGACCAATAAATACCGACACGCCTCCCGTTGCTGCGCCAAGATGTGACTCGGTGCAACAATGAAGCGGGAAACGGGGAGATCGGGATACGCTTCAGCGGCCACCGACGTGTGCAAAGCCACAAGGTACGTCCTATCGTTGTGGGTCTGTTTAGCTCGATATGACACTGATGACTACTGCAAGCTCAGGCTGCTTGAAATGGTTGGGATAGGATATCGCGGTGTGATGACAGACTCTATCACTTCGTTTAGGTTCTGCGTCTCTTGGTTGTCTTGGTCCGAGACTATCTGAACGGCGCGTCTATGATCTATCTGGCAAGTAGATCTCTCTGGTTCAATGGTGACCAAAATCGCCACCCTTTTCGCTCGTGTCCCCAGTCCTCTCTCCTTGGGCCCCCCCCTTCTAGGCTTTAGGCTTGTCTACAATGTGTAAATGAAGTCCGGCCTGTTATCACCCGCGACCCAAATCTGCTCAGGCGTCTTACCCTCATGCATACGGTCCCGCTTGCCGCTCTTGCGTTTGGCATTCTCCATCCTCAGCATGACGTGCATGAAGATGGTGCCGCCCAACAGGCAAATGACCTGATAAGCCAGCACGACACCGTGGCCCGTCCAGAACCGAGGGGCCTCGCCCGTGATGTAGATGTTGGAACTGACGACGCCGTTGAGATTGCCCCAGCCGACGACGATGCCGATGACCACGCCGCGCTTGTACACGCCCTCGATGTTGTTCGCCGCCCAGGACAAGGTGTTCGCAATGGTCGGGTAGATGCCGACGGCGCCCAAGAACGTGCCCGCATACTGGACGTGCGGATCCTCCGTGGAGATGAGCATGACGAAGCCGACGATGCCGCAGCTCACGACGGCCATGTTGCAGTAGCCGCGCCAGCGCGTGCGGTCGGCGAACCAGCCGATGAAGATGGTCATGGCGGCCGCGACGGCGTACGGCGGCACGGACAACAACTGGGCGCGCGTGCCCTGGTAGCCCATGCCGCGCAGGATGGTGGGCAGGAACAGCGAAAACGCGTACAACGGACAGAGACAGCCCATGTAGATGAAGGCGTAGCCCCAGGTCTTCCAGTCGCGGAGCGCGGCGAAGATGTGGCGGCGGTCGTACTCCTCGGCCGAGCTGGCCTGCTTGTCCATGGCCAGGCGGCGGCGCACGCGGATGCGCTCTTCGGGATTCAGGAATCGCGCCGTGTCCGGCCAGTCGAAGACCATCCACCAGCAGAAGCCGCCGACGAACATGGTCGCCAGGCCCTCGATGATGAAGATCCACGCCCACCCGGGCTTGCCGCCGAGGCCGTCCATCTGCGCGATCGCCGCCGCGAGGAGCCCGCCGAACGACCCCGCCAGCGCGGCCGCCGAGAAAAACGTCGCCGCCCGGATCCCCAGCTCCGTGCGCTTGTACCAGCACGAAAGGTAGTAGTTGACGCCGGGGAAGAGGCCCGCCTCGGCCAGACCCAAGAACCAGCGGCATGCGAGCAGGCCCGCGTAGTTCTGCACGAGGCCCATCAGCGTCATGATCAGGCCCCACAGGAAAATGATGGCCGTGAAGAAGATGCGTGGCGTGAGTCGTTTCAAGAGGATGTTGGTGATCGGTTCCGCGAGAGCGTACGAGATCTGCGTTGCGTGGTTGAGTGTGTCAGTATGTATTACGTAGAAGCGTGGACAACCACTTGTAGATGGGTCGCGTCCGGCTCATCACTCGCCAGCGTACCACTTTCGACGTGAAATTGCATCCCATCCCAAGGGCCAAGGTGAGGGGACACTCACGAAGAAAATAGTCAACGTGTTATTGTAGTCGTGGCCCGCCATGCCGAGGTCGTCTTCCATGCCTGCCAGTCTGGCGTTGCCAATGTTCGTCCGGTCCAAGAAGGAGAGCAAATACAGGAGACACAGCCAAGGGATCAGCCAGCGATCGACTTTCCACATGAGCGCGCGGTCCTGGGGGAAAAAAAACCAAGGAGGTTAGTAGGTACGTACTAAACTCTGGGGAAACGAATGACATCGGAAGAGGGGCAGATAAAGGCGGGAACGCGATATCACGGGCTGAATAAACACTACAAGTACAGCACGTACGATTTTCTTCCTCTCCTCCTCGCTCTTCCCGGCGTCCGGGTCAGGGAGGCCATCTAGACTTTCGGACCGTTCAATGCGGACTTCCTGGTCCTTTTCGTGAGAGAAACGGTCCTCGTCTTTGACCTTGACGTCATGGGGGAGGGAGGACATAGTGAATAGCGGGTTGAGGAGAGGTGAGAGGTGACGTCGTGGCGTGAGGTTGAGTAAATGGATACTGTGCCAGGCTCAGTAGGGCAGGGCCAGGTCAGACAGGCTCCGAGAGAGAGGCCTTGAAGACAGAAGAGAGATGACAGAGTCGCAGAAGCAGGACGCCAGAGAAGGGGTAAGCGAGATACTGTAGATTCCCGCGGTTCCGGCCTTCTTATGTAGGACGCACGCTGGATCGTAATCTCTGGACTGTGCCCGGTGGACTGGTCGCATCCCCCGCCCATGCCAGGATCTCAATCCACATATGTACGGGTGCATGGTGCAGCAACCTCAGAACCTTCCACGAAGATCCGGGGTATCTCGTGCACGCGAAGGCGCGAGGACAATCAGATCGGCTCGCGGCATTGCACGCCGATGACGTCCCCTCTACCGCTCGACGCGCCCGTCCGTTGGCCATGGGAAATCAAGTCGAAGATGCAATGGAACGTCTTGGTGGTCTTGGTCCAGAGTTAAGATCACGGCACTACGACGAGGCGGAATGCGCGCTCTATGATTGGGCCGTGAGAGTTACACAGGGCAATCTACCCCGTCAGCCGTGTCTTGTTGTCCGCAGCGTTCAAGGCTTGGATTTTCTTGGAAGTCCGAGACGTGTGGTCGCGGAGGACGTCTAGTGGCTTGGAGGCCAAGACGAGAGCAGCCCCCAGCCCGTGATAGTCGGTGTGGATGCCGGATTTAGCGATTTCGGCACTTGGAGCTGCAACGTGCAATGCGCGTGGCGATCGAGAAGGGGCAGAAGGGCAGGCAGACACATAGGCAGGGCATGCACAAGAGATTGGCAATGTGCTGATTGCCAAGACGAGACATTGTCTGTACTCGGTATATAAGAGTGCGTGCGGGTTCGGGCGCCCAGATCTCTGCCAAGAATACACCACGCACAGGATCAGTACGGTAGCTGACAACGCCAATTGTCGGCGATATCAGGATCTCCTTCGCCTGTGTACTTTGCCTGCATGGGAAACATACAGATCGGTCGCTGCCGATGTATGCCGGCCGTGACGGTGTCATTGTTAAACTTGGTCGCAATTATAGACTCCGGTGCCGTCCCATTCTCTCGCCATTCCAAGAGGGCCAACAACGCGTCGTGTTTAGAATCACTATATCCGGGTACACTCCAAACTTCTGGGCCCAGCTCGAAGGGTTGTCCGCTCGAGGCGATGTACCACGGTGCATCGACGGCTGTTCCTTGACAGTGCTGCATGCCTGGAATCAAGAATAGACGATACCAATCGTCCAGGACAATACCTGCGGCACCCATAGTTCTCCAGATGTTCTTGTACAGAAGCTCAGAGCTTGCAGTCGGTATCAGACCGTCCGCCAGGCCGTGATATTGGATGATCTTGCCACCGCGGTTGTAAAAGCCGGTCAAGTCGAAGCCGACGTTGGCTTTGCCTGGATTGATTCTGTCCGCGTCGAGGATCACTTGATACGTGAAATCGTGCCAATCCCAAGTGGTGTCGTTGTAGAGAAAGTTCTGGATCCAAGCAATGCCAGGCTGTGTCGGGGCTCCTGAATCGGCTGTACACGCAGGATACATGTCAGCAAGTCGGGAGCGAACATGCAGGGACCTTGGCCTTCTCGTCATGAAAGAGGGAGCCGGCGGACTTACTGTTCAGCAGGAAGCCGTACTGGGCCTCAGAGCCCAGCTCGTAGTGTGGAAAAACGAAGGTCTGGTTGGCCTCCCACCAATCATTATAGATGCGGTACAATGTGTCTAGCTGAGGTGCAGTAAGGCATGCACTCTGATTCGAAGACGGGGTGCAAAGAAGCATTTCTGGCACGAAGTTGCAGCCTTCGGGGTCCGAGATGATGCCATCCTTGAAGCCGTCCTGAGGGTCGCATTGTCGGAGGACCTCCGCTCCAATCACTGGGAACAATGATGATGGAATATGCGCAGGAGCATTGGCGGGGAGGTTGGATAATCCTACAGCGGTGTTGTCTGGTTGAAGATGAGTCGTCCACCAGGCAGGTGCTCCCGCCAGGATGCCGTCAAAGTCCTCTGGATACAACTCAATGTCTCTGAAACCTTGTCGACCACCCGTGGAACAGCCAGAATAGTACGAGTAATCGATGTTTGTGTCATAGTATGCATTGGTGATCATCTTTGCGACAACAACTGAGCCGTGCATTGAGCGATAACCCCAGTCGAGTTGAGCCTCGGGATTGTTGAGTGCCCAGCCTGCGTCGAATGAACCGGAAATGTGGCCAGTGTCCGTCGACATAGATGCGAATCCATATCGAGCGTTCGTGCCCATGTCATTCCAGTTGATTCCACCTGCATATCCCCCATTTCCAGAGGCTATAAAGCGATTGTTCCACTGATTCGGTAGAAACAGGCCGAAGTTATAGGACGAGGTGTTGGAGGATTTGACGTTGACCGTCACCACGCACAAGGCTGGTAGACCTGTGTCATTCATGGGAAACTCAAGGTCGGCCGCGCCGCCACCGAAGGTAGCATTCTGCTGTAGAACCTGAGCCAATGTGACTGTTGCTCCCGCATAACTCGTAACGAACTGTTGTATGGGCGGAATGTCGCAATCAGATAACGCGGCCATGGCGCATATCGCATGCAGGCCAAGGAGATACCAAGGAAAAGCTTGCATTGTAACCATAAATCTTGCCGACACAGTTGGACGCAGGTACTGTCATGGCTGGGCGGCGCTTTTTGTATAAAATAACCTTTGCAGCTGTCCGACTCCGCGAGATGGGACCATTCCCCGGATTCTTCCCCCAGGGTGCTTCCCCAGGTTTCCAGATTCACTGTAGCGCCCGAATTTTGCAGAAATAGCGTGATACCGAAATACCACATGTGGAAAAGCGCGTTCAGCTGCGTACTACGTGTCTCCATCGTAACGGGTGAAACTGCCGGCTGTTTGTGCGCCGGCTAATTTTGGCGAAACCTGACTGGCTGATATGGGAGAAAGAGCTCGACTGCGTGAAAAGCGACATGCGGGCGGTGGGGTACAACGGGTATATGTCGGTGGGAAATTCATACACCTAAAGCCGGGTAAAGCGGTTCTGCGTACTGCATTAATGTCACTGGGAGTCTCCGCAAGACCAGACCGGAAAGATGTCCGAGCATGCCACCAGGATAGAAGTTACAGTATAGAGGCTCCGCGGTTGTTTGCAAGGCCAATGAAGGTGAAGATCGTGCCGTCACAAATGGAGTAACTCGAAGTGTCCGTGACAAGTGCTTGCGAAAAGACAATATGCCGAATGGTTGAGTACGGACACAGAACCGGAACGCGGCATCTAGCGACCGCGCAAGTGTCTTCATTTCCGGGTCGTCCGACAGGCGATCGCTTCATGTTGTGGTGGTCGAAAAGAACAAAATAGCTCGGCAGCGGTAGGATTGGTTGGCAGTCGAGAAGACCTGTAGGTAGAGACTCGGGTTCTGCAGTCTCTGGGTAGGCTCAGCAAGTACCAACCGTTCTTCTCCTCACTGCTCATGACCCTCGATATCTTCCATATCCTCATCCTTATGTGGCCATAGAATCTGCCCACCCCACACGGCCTTGATGTTCAATGCCGCCACCCACAGCCAGACAGCGCAAAGTATAATTGTCATTGCCGAGCAGACAGCCTTGATTGCATTACTTGACAGTACGTTGCAAATGTGTATCAGGGCTATGGTTAGTCCAGCATTCGGAAAGATAAGAGCCCACCAATTCAGCGTGAAATGCGCGTGTTTATAGCCATGGACGAAGCCGACCAATGAGATAGCGAAGAACCAAAAGCCCACAAGCCAGAGGAAAATGCCCCCTGCCACTCCAACGGCTTTCCAGATGTCCCCTACTGGGATGGTGGTGATGCCGAGAAAGCCTGACGGGAGAATGACCTGGGCTTGGCTGCCGAGATTGATCAGGGCCTGAGACGTGTACGCTGTCAAGGTCAATAAAGCTTCGGAGAACGGGCAGAACAACATACCTGCGGGTCCGACAGCCACAAACATACCCGGTCGTTTGGGTTCATCGGGTAGCAGTCCACTTGTAAGCCTCGTGATGTACAAGGTGTATTGCATGAAAGCAAAGCACCATCCCAAGCCTTGGAAAGCAATGCCGCCAATGAGAATTGGTAGGGCAGCGGACGGCCGTGGCTGACTGTACAGCAAGGTGCCTGCAAGTGGTCCGAGAACGAGGAACGGGTAGACTGGAAGAATCCACGCCGGCATCATCTCGTGCACAGGCAGTTGCTCGAGATCGAAGATGACATGATACTGGAAGATAGAGACCAGCATGACGCAGGCAGCATATAGCCAAAAGAGGACTTCTAGCGTTGTTACGAGCCATTTCCCACAGGACGGGACGCCATATGCTTGAATCGAGTAGATGATAAGGGCAAGACTGACCCAAAAGGTGCCAAAGAAGAAACTCTCATTTCCGTGGTGTAATGACCTGCTCAATGCTCCTCTCTTGAGGCAGAAACGCAACGTGATAAGTGCTGTAAACGTAGCGAAGAGGACCAGGTCAAGAATGAAGACAATCTTTCCGATAGTTTTCAGGCCGTGAAAGCCGTACGGTTGCTGGGACAGGAGAGTTGCCATCGCGCCAGTCGACATTGTACATTCGAACCATGACCATGTGAAGTGTGATATTCGTTCTCTCCAGGTGACGCGGTGGCCCTGGTAGTTCATCGATATGGAGTCGAGGGTCTTCCGAGGCATTGCGCTGGTAATGGAGGTTGCTGGGTCAAACGAGGCTGAGGATTTCGTCTAGTGGCGCGTAACGTGCAGGGAAAGGGCCGAGTTTCGCTTTTGGAAACACGAATGATAGTCGAATGCGCAGGGAAATTTCAAGCGCATGCAATGAGAGGTAGTCGTAGAACTCACGGAAAGGGAGGAAGTGACTTACTTACCTAAGTCGTCGGCCATGGTGAAAGCCGCAACAGCATGACATCGTGAGCTCGAATGAGGGCTGGTCCAGCTCCACAACGACCTTCACGTCCTGGTTCCACAAGGCTGAGACCCGCCGAGATGGTGGACACGAAGGGAGAAGTCGTGACGATGTGCATACCCATTGTCGCTTGGCACTGGTCTGGTCTTGTCGTCATGTAGCCGGACATCGCTGCCCACCCCCACTGCCCCGGCTTCACGAGCGACACTGATCGCAGCGTGACGCAGGGGCCGAGAAGTTAGCAGACCTCTCTTAGACACTGTGAATATGTCTCGCATTGTTATGCCGTCGAATCGGGAGTAGTATCGTGGTGTGAAATGAGCTGATCGAAAAGTGAAAGTTGAGATTTTCTCCGTGACGAAAGTAAAATCAATTAAGCATCCGCAGTGGAAATTGCAGACCACGTGACCGAGCCGCGCTGATCTGATCAGCTCCGTCCTTTGAACTCTTTGTCACTCCTTCATTTCTCGGATCACTGGCATTGCCGCCTTCAACATGACCACCACGAGGTCAGCCTCAAGGCGAAGTAGAAATCACCGAGGTGTTTATAGATCTCCGCATTTTCAGAACAAGGTCCTTTACTGGTAGAACTCCAACATCATGTCCAGCTCGTCAGACCCGGGCGGACTCCGCCTTTCTCCAAGTTTCCGAGGACGTAGGATCAGACGACTTGATGGAGATGAAAACAACGACGTGACGCTACCTGACTGACTGGCTTTACAATCGACAAGTCATTCTCACGACGTGCGGTACGTTGGACGGACTTGCAACCACGTCTGTCCCCCTCACCAGATGAGCGGGGGTGACCAAGATGCCACCGTCCCGGTCTCCCGCTGACAATCAGGACCGTACAGTCCTTGTACCTTCACACCTCGGCCCAAATGTCCTTCCTAATAGCCCGTTCTTCAGCAAACTCCTGCGCCATGCGCGCCGCGACCGTCTTGCCATCCGAGATGTCGACCTCGGCCTGGAGAAGACGTACACCGACATCCTGTCCGACGCTCTCTGCTTCCGAGCTGTTCTGGAAGGGTCGTTGGCCTCGGACACTCTGAGGGCGCTGAGGGACGGCGACGAGGTCTATATTGGCGTTCTGGCCGCGGGTGGGTATGAATTCACCGTCGCGGTGCTGGCGGTGCTGGCGATCGGGGCAGCCGTGGTGCCAATCTCCACCGCCGCCCCAGTCAAGGAGGCCTCCTACTTCGTCACCAAGTCGAGACAGGTTCTCCTCCTGGTAAGCGAGGAAGTCGTTCACCTCGGTCGCGATATCCAACACCATCTCCGTACTACTGCAAATCTGCATCTCCCCTTCATCCCGATCCTGTCCAATCTTCCCAAACAGTCCAAATATACGGCCTTTGATATGGTCATATCATCAACCCATTTCCTATCCGACACTGCCCCCGGAGTCGTCATTTTCACCTCCGGTACCACAGGACTGCCAAAGGGCGCTGTGATGCGCCGCTCCTACGTCCACGAAACAGCCCTCGCAATTGGCGAGGGCTACGAGGTGTCCCATAATGATGTCCTTCTCCACGTCCTCCCAGTCCATCACACCACAGGCCTGCAGACCTCCTTCTTTGTCTTCCTGGTAGCAGGCGCGTGTGTAGAATTTAAGCGCGGGGGTCTCGATCCCGCGTGGGTCTGGAACCGCTGGGTACAGGGAGGACTGACGATTTTCTCGGCCGTGCCCACGATCCTGCTACGCCTGAAATGGCATTACGACAAGCATCTCGCCGTGCTGCCTGCCCTGGACCGACGCCGGTACGACGATGCAGTGAACCAATTCCGCGAGATCATGTGCGGGTCTTCCGCCCTGCAGGACAACGTGCAGGAGTTTTGGACCGATCTACGTAGAGGACGCGCCATTCTGACGAGATACGGCGCGACCGAGTTCCCGGGCTGTTTGAAGGTCCCGGCCAACGCGCCTGGTGATCTACCCAAGGGTTGTGTGGGCTTGCCCGTGCCAGGCGTCGAGGTGCGGCTTTCCGAGGGAGATTACGGCGAACTCTTAGTCCGGTCGCCGTATATGTTCAGCAAGTACCTGTTCGACGTGGAGGCTACGCGGAAAGCGCATGACGGCGACGGCTTCTTCAAGACGGGCGACATCCTACGACGAGAAGGGAACTATTACTTCGTCGTGGGACGGGAGAGTGTAGACATCATCAAATCGGGCGGATACAAGATCAGTGCGATTGACGTTGAAAAGGCGTGTCAGAAACTACCCTACGTTGACGAAGTCGCTGTGGTGGGTGTTGATGACGAAGAGTTTGGACAGAGAGTCGGCGCCATTGTTGGCTTGAAGTCGTCCGCAGAGGCCAAGGACCTTACCATCCAGCGACTCCGCACGGACTTGAGAAATGGTTTGGCAGCGTATAAGCTTCCCACGATATTGAGAGTCGTGCAAGGCGAGTTACCCAAGGGCGGCACAGGAAAGGTGCAGAAGAAGATGCTGGGCCCTGCCATGTTCCCAGCGGACTGGCGGTCACGGAAGGAGGTCCAATACTGGGACAGCAAGGAGAAAGGAGCGAGGCTGTAATCCAGGCTTGTCAGAGCCGATCTCGACGCTATGAAATCCTTGAATGGTCAGGTCTCCACCACTCGCTCATTCAACCCTTATGCTTCTCCTTCCCTCGACAGCATTAAACCCCACTCCTCTCAGGTTCCAGTCTCCGTCCGGCTTTTCGACGTCCATGGTATTCCCGCCCTTGTCCGTCGCTTTCGACCAGATACTTATCCCCTCTTGTGGCAAATTTCCGTCAACGGGAACGCGGCATTCCCAAACAACCCATGCGAATTGCCCCCTCTGCGTGGTGTCCCCCCTTGGCACGGAGGATGACGCGGTATTCTCATCCCCCTCATCGAGGATCGAGGCTTGATGCCAGGTCCCGCCGCGGTCTATGGATACCTCTACCTTAACAACCGGACCATCCTTGCCCTGAGGGATTGCATATCCTCGCACATAGACCATTCCCTGGTCGTCCCTATGAAGAACATCCCCGTCCTGTCCAGGAACCGCAACGACCGAGTTGATGGGGTTATCCATCAGGGGCTCAGCTTCCTCCTTGATCCGCCCTTTCTCTTCGTCGTCTTTGGCCGCCTCAATCCTCTGGGCAATCTCCCCAGAGAGAACCTTGTAGTCTTGCTGTTGATAATGATTTCTTGATTCCTCGGCCGAGACGGTGATGGAATCGAGCCATTTCACGGATCGAGCACCGATAATCCCCGGGACGATCACTCTCAGCGGGTATCCATGCTTTGCCGTAAGAGGTTTGCCATTCATATAGGTTGCAAGGAGACACTGTCTTTCCGGATCGAGCGCCGTGGAAAGCGGGATGCTGGCCCCGTAATACGTATCGTCCTGAGTTTCTTGCGCGGACGCAAATTGGACGTGCAATCCATGGAATTTCTCCTCATTTGTTGGCGACGGAGCCGTGATGCCGGCCGAAAGGAGCACATCTCGGAGTAATACACCTCCCCAGACGGCGTTCATGACCGCGCCATCACCCCAGTCAATGCCCTGAACTTCCGCTACTCGCTCGCGCATTTCATGACGACGGTTCCCCGCGCATTGCAAAGCGGCCATGACACTGCGGTATTTGAACCGCGTTGTCAAATCGCCAACTGAGAAGGACACGTCGATGCTGTTAGGTAGAATTTCGCTCGACGCTATAGATGAGTCGGACCTGATGTTCAGCCTGTAGTCTGTGGCGTCCAGGTGTCGGATGGGGCCGTGATTGCGTTCGTACGCCATAGCCTGAGGATGAGATCTCGATTCAGAAGGGGTCAGGAAGCTGGAGGGACGAGGTCAGTCAGTTCGTTGGAGGAGAACACGCAGCGGCTTCCTTTCTCCCTTCCGCGAGGTCACGACAATATCTGTCTGCTCTAGGAGGGCGGATACCTTTCTGTGAGCTTTCCAGCATCAGGTTCCCTGTTGATGGGCTTTTTGACGGAACCATCTTCGCTTGAACTCATCCTCAGAAGTCTCCGGCTAGACACGAGCGGGTGGGTAGGAGTTCGTCTTTGTCGCCAGCCTCAATGAAAAAGTTAGAGCCAAAATGGCTGGTCTCAGCATCGATATGAAACTTGTTCCCAAGTCGATCCTCTCGAGAGCACTGATGTACTCAAGCTAGCATTAGCAATGGATGGTATTCGAAGCATTGAAACACACGCGCCACTCCGCATCTATTGTGCTTGACGTCACTGGATTCCGACGAACTTTGATTGGCTGACAGTTTTGCCATTTCGAGGTAAATGGTTCGCAGCAGGACCCAAGGGTAGAGCAAAGGCCCCCGGACGGTGAACCGTACGGCTCACAGCTATGTTTTCCAAGAGACAAACAGACACAATGCGCGCGCATAATTCTTTCCAACATTTTCAGTAGGCTATTTCTTCCCCTTCTTTCCCTTACCCTTCGCCCCTTCGTCAGTCGTGCCCAAGATCGCGTCGAAAGTGATGTTCGGATTGAGTATCGGTGGCGGTCGTGAGCTGCTGCGCACCGATGGCGGAGCCTCTGTAGCCTCCAGCCCTAGGTTGACCGAAATTCGATCTCGACTCGAAGGACGGAACCCTGGAGAGCCAGGCGGCGATATCGGCCGCAACAGTGGGGAATGTAGAGGACTGGCATGCGGCGATTGCGCAGGGCTGGCGGACGGCGACTGAACAAGGGCACTGGCAGGCCGGGGTAGTAGGCCATTCGTATCGGCACGATGGAAGGTATCGATCACGGCATGCTGAGGTGATTGTTGGGTCCATTTCGAGGCTTCCGTCCAGCAGTGACTGCGCCGATAGACTCCCTCCACGCTATGGTCTATCAGGTCCGCAGGGAGACTCACGTAGCCACCACCGTTGCTCACGTTGTACCACGCTCGCGAAACTGACTGATCTTCTTTCAGCCATGGCCTACCTCCCCGTGGCGCCACGCAGAGGTAGTATTCCACCCCTTCGGTATGCTTCAGGTCTCTCGCATCCACAACAGTCATTGGCAGTGCCTGAAGAACTGCATAGACGAAAAGCCACTGCCCGCATCGTGCGTCTACAACCTGTTCCAATGTTTTCCCCTTTCCCAGTTGACGCTCATAGTTGAAGAAGTCTTGAATGAAGGTGCTTGCATTGATCGACTCGCGATTGTATGAACCCAAGAGCACTTCATTGATTTCATTCTCCTTCAGCTTTTTATTCGAGGCAGCTGACTTGTCAGACATCAGCACGTGCCGGCGATTGAAACTGTTGGAGAATTGTGGAATCAGAGGCGTGTCGAAAGGAACTGGAGGCAAGACTGGCGGAGTTGCTCGGTCATACTCGCTCTCGATGCGTCTGATGGCATGCTGAATGGTCTCGTTCTGGTCGCTTGTCTCTGCGTCTTCATCCATGGGCGGCATGTCTGCTGTACGAGTTGTAAAAGAGGACCGGTCGACGAGGATGTCGTACAAGTCTGTAAGATCCTTGTACAGCTCCCGTAACAGAATCCGGTTCAGACCGCTTTCTTCAAAGTTATTCTTCTTCGAGGATGCCTTGGGTGGCCAAGCACCGTATCTCCGCCGCAGATACGACAACATGAAGCGCCGGAAATCTAGAAAGGCGGCTTTCCACTCCTTGAAACGAATCAACTTGGCTTCTGTAGCAGTCTGCGAGTTGGCGATTCCTGCAAACATCGAGGGGAAATCGAAGTCCTCCAGCTTGCCTCTGACCACCAGTAACCTCTGCTCGAGGTCGATCTGTGCACGCTCCAAGCGGTTCCTGGTGATGGGAGACATCATTTCATACTTCGGGCTCTTGATCGATTTGAGATCGGCCAGCCTCCCAACAGCGTGGCAGAACCCCTCGTTGTACAAAGGCCAAGATTTGAGATGTTCGCCCAGTACGATTGCCTCGATTGTCTTTTCTCGACTTGATCTTACATCTGCCAATCTCAGCTCGTCACAATAACGTGAGAAGCTGTTGTACGGCACATCGCCCCATGTGGAGCCGTCCGAGTTTGAAAACCCCAATCGCTTGAGAATGGTACTGATCCCCATAAAGATGGAAAACAGGGACAGCTGCCTGTGCGTCGACACGAGGGCTCCTCCAACAAGAAAGGCAAAGAAGTTACGGTAGAGTACGACAAGCTCAAAGTCGTCGCCTTGTGGTTCTGATTCTGGCTGAGACAGGTCAGCGTCGAAGGCCATAGGCAGGTAAACATGCTTTTCCTCAGTGAACGAGGTGACGATGTTCGGTACCGAGAAGTTGGTGGTGCGATAGGTTGAGCTCGAATCCTGGGATGGAGGACGAATCTGTTGAGGGCTCATAGACAGCGCTGAGAAGGGTGTCTGGATTTGTGGAATGTCACCATTTCTATCCACCGGAGAAGTGGGAGACTGCCTGCGCAAGTTTATGAGCGAACTTGAGTCAGCAAGGAGGGCCGAGTCGATCCGAAAGCAAGGGCCTTTGCCTGAGGAAGGTGGGTAGAGATAGATAACAGTATCCCCGCGGTCGTTCCATAAGTCAGGGACTCTCTCGCCTTTGGACAGAGGCGCCAAGTCGTATGGCATATGATCACGGATACCTGCTATCCAGGCCTTAGATGATCTTGGACCATCCTCGAATCTGTGTTTGTCCGATTTCCCTGGAAGCCAACTCTTCTTCTTGGTGATCTTGGCCACGGGAGATGTAGCGGGGAGACCTGGCGAGCCGGTATTGCCAGGTGGTATCAATAGATTGGGTGTCTGCGGCCGACTCCTGCTTCCGTCTCGACTATGTGCGCTGCTATTCCTACTAGTTGGTCTACTGTCGGTCCCGCTTCGATGGCTACTCGGAGGGCGCACCGAGCCGGACTCGGTCAAGAGAGGAGGAGGAGCGAGGGGAGGAAGGCCATCATTGAGGTCGATCTGCGAGGATGAGGTAAAGCGGGATTTGTGTAGCTTGTGAGGTGACTGAGGAGCAGTTTGAGGCGAGCTGGCCGTCGCTGGTGTCGCTTCGGTTTGCTGGTGGTGATTATGGTGGTCGCCGTCCCGCGACAAAGAGAAGAGCGACGATAGTCTTTTCGCCATTGCGTCTGTAGTAGATTGTTCAGGTAGCTAATCTCTGACGTTCCAATTTCAAAGGCATAACGTGGTGTGAAGCTCAGTCAGCCGGCAGCCTGTGGCACTGCAGCATGTCATTTGCGCTGTGAAGCGTTCAGCGGCTTATGCGGTTCCATGGAACGCTCACTTCGGTGCCATTATCGTGTCACCATGTTTGTCCAACGAGGACTAAATATAGGATTGGATATCCGGTGAACTTTCGAGCGGCCCAGTCCAGCGCAAGTCATGTACTGTGGCGCGGTCAAAGGTTCTGCAGCAAGGATGCCGCGCGTCGTGGTGGAGTGGATATGAATAGGTGGATAGGTAATACAGGTGATACAGGTGAGCTGGTGTTGATGCTTGAGAACCACTCGAGGAGATTGTTGCACAAGACACTCGAGGAATGTCCAGGCACGGTCAGGTTCATCTCCCTCGCTTGTGCCCCTTGGTATTTTGTGCCTGCGTCACCCAAACCATCTCTTCCCCTCGTTGACGTCGCTTTCCCCAGTTGTGCCCCAAAGTTTAGGCATAGCTTGCCCGTTGTCGCCTAGTTCAAGGGACCGCCACTGCCGCTAACGTCAAGCTCACAACAGGCGTCGATTCGAGTGGAGCAGCAGTGAGGCATCGGTAAAGAAAATTTCCTTCCGGCGGACCTCCAACACAGCCGTGTATGTATGTACAACTCGGCCGTGGAAAGAGCTTATATCAGGTATATGCTCAGAAATACATGTGGACCGTCCGTCCAGCGCTCTTGCCACCCCTGGCTGCTCTAACTTGTCGGCAATCTCCCTTGCGCAGAATGACTCGACTTGCGCCGGTGACAGGGACCCCTCGAAAAAATCATAGCAGTAGCATACCTCAATCGAGGCATATCGATCTCCTCAAAGGGTGGCCACATCCGAGTCTTCTGCCGCCTCTGCAATTAGAGCAGGCATCCTCTCGCATCTTATCAGACCCAGCAAACACAGATGTCCTGTTCTACGGTCCAGACGAAGGATATGAACCACTGAGGAAAGCAATAGCTAAATGGCTCCACCAATTCTACAACCCAAACAAACTCATCACAAGTGAGAGAATATGTATTAGCGGAGGTGCCAGCCAGAACCTGGCATGCATTTTGCAGACTTTTACCGACCCCATCTACACTCGAAATGTCTGGATGGTAGCTCCTACTTACTATCTGGCATGTAGGATTTTTGCCGACGCGGGCTTCGACAATCGGCTGAGGGGTATCCCCGAGGACGAGGAAGGAATCGATCTCAGGTATCTTGAGCAAGGCCTTCAGCAGAGTGAGCAACAAGCATTAGCGGAGAACAACACACAACCCAGAGTAAAGACGCCGAAGCCATGGAGGAAGATTTACAAGCACATTATCTACGCGGTGCCTACCTTTGCTAATCCTTCCGGTCGAATCATGAGCCTTCACCATCGACAACAGTTGGTACGCCTGGCGCGCAAGTATGATGCTCTCATCGTGACAGATGATGTATACGACATGCTACAGTGGCCCTCGGATCCAGCCAAAGAAACCCGTACGATATGCAGAGCAGTTTTGCCGCGGATTGTGGACGTTGACCGAGAACTTGATGGTGGGCCAATTAGTGATTTTGGAAATGCAGTAAGCAATGGTAGTTTCAGCAAGATTGTTGCTCCCGGCTGTCGAACAGGCTGGGCAGAAGGCACTCCAGCAATGGCGTATGGCATCTCCCAAACAGGCTCCAGTCGATCAGGAGGAGCTCCTTCGCATCTGGTGGCATCCTTCATCTTCCAAATGTTGGCTACAGGTACCTTAGATGACCACATCTACAAAGAACTGCAGCCTGCGTACGCGGCACGATACCACACAATGATGGAAGCAGTCAAACAGCATCTTCTCCCACTAGGTTTGACCATGCCGCAGGCAGATAGAGATGTTGCGGGAGGATATTTCATTTGGTTGACTCTGCCAGGGTCGCTGGACTCGACCCGGATCTACAAGCGGGCATTGGCAGAAGAGAATTTGACCATCATCTCGGGACCGTTATTCAAGGTCGACGGCGACGAACACAACGAGCAAACCCGGTTCGAGAAAGATCTCCGGCTGTGCTATGCATGGGAAGACCAGGATGTGCTCGAAGAAGGGGTCATCCGGCTGGCCCGTGTGATCAGAAGTGAAATGGAACGTGATCAAATCAGATGAGCGACGGAAATGGGCCATAGAAACATGCTGTTGACTGTCGATGTGACTTGTCACTACCACTTCGCTTGTCAACTGGATATCCGGCCTAGTTTGCCGACTTCGCCGGCTCTCTTGTCCTCGACCAAGTTTGACAGACGAGCAGGGATGTATTGCATGATCGGCTAAATTCTGCCGTGTAGCCACAGTTCCAGCCTCGAAGCGCCACCAACGTGACCCGATTTCTGCATTGTCAAACCTTAGCTGTTTCGAAGCTGTTTCATGGCAGATGACTACACACCCAATCGGATGTTTCGCCGTTGCCAGCTCAGCAGTATTTCGAAGCCCGCTCTGTGTCCTGATCCCTTCTCTTTCTTCGCTTCCACAGCCTGTTTCCTGTTTTGCATCGCTTCGTCCCCGTTTACACACCTGGTAGGTGGAGTGGAGTTGTGCCAGCTGCGTTCGGATCAAAGAGGGGCCTGGGTGCTCTTGTCCCACGAATGAAGAGCTACAGACCACACTTTCCAGCCTGTGCCTGAGTCGGACGGCCACGCGGCTGCTTCCCAACGGGGCGGCGCGAAGAATACAAGCTTCCTCAGTCGATCTGGTCCAGGGCGTGCTTTCGGTAGTGTAAGACTGGAAACAGCTAGTAGTGGTGATAGGACTGATCTTCTTTGTTAACGATGTATGACGGAGATAAAAAGGATTGTGAAGAACCCACTGCGGCAATGCCTGTGATGCCCAGTGTCGAGATTGAAGGAAGCTGGAGCACCACCAGACAGGTTGTCCTGCTGTGCAAGTACGTACACCTGTTCGTCGTCTGTGCAAGCTGACTGCAAATTGAGATTGGGCCCAATATCAAGGAACAAGCGACCTGGTTCTCGTCAGACTTTACCTCACTGCGCTGCGATTGTGCGGTGGTGGGTTCGAACGCTTGCCAGCGCACATATCACTTCACTGTGACTTCGTCTCTCTGACTTCATCCACCTCTTCCACTCTCAAGACAGCAAGTTCCTGTTCCTTGTTTTTCTCTCTTTGTCGCATTCACGCTGGTTGTCGTGGGCTGTTCACCTTTGTCATTCGTTTGAAGAAGAAAGAAGAAACAAGTGGCACAAAAGACTTTCTCTGTCTTGATCGACTACCGGACCGACGGCGACCGCCTTTGAAAATCTCGCCGATGAATCATTGTTTATTTTCTTGTCTTCGAGAGCAGCTTGATTGTTGTCTGGTCTTCTGACTCTCGTTGATCTGTCACTTCCAACTCACTTACTCTGTACCCACGCAACTGAACTCGTGGCTTCCTATTCAACGGTTTCCCCATTCATCGCAATCACAAAAAATCTCATTCCGGCGTCGCGTGCTACACACCAGTCACAAGGCAGCTCTCCCGCCGACAACTTCCTCCCAAACTTCAATACACCAGTATCGGCTCAGAAGACATAGGCAGCGGACATCACTGCTTTTATCACTGCCCACTCTTTGTTTGTCTCGGTGCTGGTCGCTCGAAGACTTAAAGCTCTTCCTTCGACACTTCGAATCCATTCTCCTTCTAAAGTTTCCACCAGCAAGATTTGACAAAACCAAGACCGACAACTGGATATCGTCAACTTCGACGTTCTAAGACGCACAAAACACACCTAACCTGAACAAAATGCGGTTCTTCAGCTACCTCTTGCTCACTCTGCCCTGGCTGGCGAGTGCGGCTCCGAAACCCAAACCTGTCGAACTCGAGGCTCGGCAGGCCACTTCCTCATACTGGCTAAGTCAGATCCAGCGTCAAGGCACGGTTGCATACGGCTCAGACACCACGTACAAGGTTTTTCGCAATGTCAAGGACTACGGTGCTGTCGGTGATGGGTCCAACGACGATACTGTTGCGATCAACAATGCCATTACCGACGGTGGTCGCTGTGGCCAGGGTTGCGACAGTTCGACAACCGTGCCTGCCATCATCTACTTCCCTCCTGGTACTTACGCAGTCTCCGCTCCCATCATTCAGCTGTACTATACCCAATTTATCGGAGACGCTGTCAATATGCCTACGATCCTTGCCTTGCCTGGCTTCGAAGGCCTTGCAGTCCTCGACACCGATCCTTACATTCCTGGAGGTAATGGCGCACAATGGTATACAAATCAGAACAACTTCTACCGCCAGATGCGCAACTTGATCATCGATATATCACAGATGCCCGAGGAGAAGGGTGCTGGTATCCACTGGCAAGTTGCGCAGGCTACCAGCTTGCAGAATATTGTCTTCAACATGCGCCCCAAATCTCCCACCAACAAACAACAAGGCATTTTTATGGATAACGGCTCAGGCGGTTTCATGTCCGATCTCACCTTCAACGGAGGCAAGTTTGGTATGTTCCTCGGAAATCAACAGTTCACTACGCGTAACCTGACTTTCAACAATTGCGGAACTGCCATCTTCATGAACTGGAATTGGCTTTGGACTTTGAAATCCGTCAGTGTGAACAACTGTGATGTTGGGATCGATATGTCGAATCTCCAGGATGGTGTCAACCAGACCGTGGGCTCCCTCATTCTACTTGATAGCGTCATGAGCGGTACCCCGGTTGGCATCAAGACATCCTACAACTTGACCAGCGCACCTGCGACTGGCGGTACAATGGCCCTGCAGAATGTTGACTTCACTGGCACTCAGAACGCCATTGTCGGAGCCGATGGCATCACACCCATTCTTGCTGGCGGCCAAGTTGTGGCTGCTTGGGGTCAGGGCGATACTTACACTCCGGCTGGCATTTCAGGAGGCCAACCTGTCAAGCGAGAGCCCCAGGCCCAGCCTCCACCTCCTCAAGGTCCGCGAGAGTCATACTCGTCGACGACCACAACCACCCTCACCACCTCGGCTGTTCCTCCGCCATCCGGTGTAGCATTGACCACAACCACAGTCTTTGTCACCGCAGCCCTACCCCCGAATGGCGGTGCTCCTCCGTTCACCATCGCGCCCATTCCACCTTCTGGAGTCAGTGGCTCTCCCGGCGTGCCACCTAACGTCACTGCGACAGCGAGCGCATCTCCAACTCGGTCCACTCTGCCCGCACCAACCGCTCCAGCTGCCTGTTCTGCTTCTCCTGCTGCCCTTCAATCTGCACGCGTTCAGCAAGGACTGACCGCCCCGAACATGCCAGCATCACTCATGAACGGCAGCAAGATCTTTGAGCGGTCTAAGCCACAATACGAGAACTTCCCAGTATCATCCTTTGTCAGTGTCAAGTCTCAAGGTGCAAAAGGCGACGGAGTCACAGATGACACTGCCGCGATTCAGAAAATCCTGGATTCTGCTACACCTGACCAGATCGTGTATTTTGACCATGGTGCCTACGTCATTTCTGACACTGTTCGAGTACCGTCGAATATCAAGATCACCGGTGAAATCTGGCCCCTTATCATGATACAAGGATCGGCGTTTCAGGATATCAACAACCCCAAGCCTGCTTTCCAAATCGGTCAGTCTGGCGACGTCGGCTCAGTCGAGATGTCGGATCTTGTCTTTGAGACTATCGGACCCGCTCCAGGTGCCATCATCCTAGAATGGAATGTCGCTGAAGAATCTCAGGGCTCTGCTGGAATGTGGGATGTCAATTTCCGCATTGGTGGATCTGCGGGAACTCAGCTCCAGCAGGATACGTGCCAGGCTAACATCACCGGCTCCTTTGAGTTCAAGCCCGAGTGCGCTGGTGCATTTCTCCTGATGCACATCACTCAACAAGCCTCAGGCTATTTCGAGAACTGTTGGTTCTGGGTCGCGGATCACGAGCTCGACATTACTACCCACAACCAGACCAATATCTACAATGGCCGAGGCCTCCTCGTCGAGAGTCAAGGTCCTGTTTGGCTATATGGGACCTCGTCTGAGCACAACCAGCTCTACAACTACCAATTCGCCAATGCTCGCGACATTTTCATGGGTGCGATTCAAACAGAAACCCCATACATGCAATCTTCGCCGGATGCGCTGCAAGGAGGTTTCCCACCTAATCCATCATTCACGGATCCGACTTTTGAAGACTGCACGACCGAGTCCTGCAAGAAGTCCTGGGGTTTGCGAATTGTTGACTCGTCCGATGTCCACATGTATGGAGGTGGGCTCTACAGCTTCTTCGACAACTACATCCAGACGTGCCTGGAGACCGAGTCTTGCCAAGAGAACATGATTGATATTCAGTGTTCGCAGAATATCTCTCTTCTCGGCTTAACTACCAAGGCTTCTGTCAACATGGTCAATGTCAACGGCCAGCCCGAGGCAATCGGTGCCGACCACGAAAATCTGTTCGGGCAGACAGTAATGCTCTTTGAGACTTGATCGGACAATACAAGGAAGGGCGGGTGGGAAGGTCTCTAGAGCACGAAGTCAAGATAGGAAAAGTTCGCGACAAAGGACCAATGAAACAGGTAATAATATTGGAATGTGGAACGTGAACTGAAGGCTGGATCGGCGCAAACAGGCTGGTACATGACTATGAAATATCACATATCACCGGACATACTGTTACGATGGCCTGTATTCGAACGCGCAGGTGTTGGTTGGAATTGTCATACGCATAGTGATACCCACGTGGCTGAGAGGTGCGTTTCATTGCTGGAGTCGATATTGCTGTGCTATTACTTTGGTTGTAGCTTTGGTGACAACAGTACAGCAACGATGAACAATAGAGAAATCATTCGAATGATCAGTCACAGGCGTTGGATATCGACCCCGTGAAGTCCGTCCTCGTCGCACAATAAGCTTCCAGTAATCGAGGAGATCTGAGCGACTGAAGCTCTTCAATGAATGGTTTAGTAATACTGATTTTCAAGTTCTCCGGCCACACTGAAGTAGAACCCATGGTCAAAGGGCAGGGGTATTGATAACCCTGACGCATCTATGTATCTATGTCCGTGATGTACTTTCCAACTCTACCACCGTTCGCCATCCACAGATCTTTCATCTACAGCCTCACAACCAGTTTCCGCCCTGACACCTTTCCTTCCGCCAGCCGATCCATCGCCGCCTGTACGGCCCCCAGCCCATCTCCAACGACCTCCTTTTCGGGCGCACACTTCACCCTTCCATCGCCCATTGCTCGCTCCAACCATGACGGTAGCCGGGCTGCGGCACGGTTGAACTGCTCCATGCCCTGTGTGAGATTCACGATGATCTGGACGCCGTGCCTTGCGTGCGCTTCCGCACCAGGAAACACCGCGGCAATGAACTTCCTGGTCGGGATCCCCGCGTCGGCCAACCGGTGCAGGATTTCGCACAAGGGAGTAAGCGTCGGGCCGGTGGAAATGCCGTCATACGCGCCCACGACTTCCATCCCCGCGTGAGAGGAAGTCACATACGAAACGACATCGTCGACCACAGCCGGGGAGGCATGGTCGAAACACTTCACCGCCCCGAGCGAGGTGACCATGTCGAAGTTCCGCCCCGAGCACACGCCTATCACGGTATATCCTGCTTGGGAGGCGAGTTGGACGCCACTGGATCCGACGCTGGAGCTCGCGGCCCAGACGAGGAGGACTTTGCCGTTCCGTTCGGCCTTGCGGTCAAGGGGTGGGGAGTCCAGCTTCAGCATCGTCGTGGGGAAGAGGCACGACGCCGCGGTTGCCATTCCCAGCGGGAGGACCACGGCGTCTTCGTAGCTTATTGCGTCGGGGATGCGCGCGATCACGGGGCCGCGTAGGACCACGTACGTTTGGAACGCGGCGTACGCGTAGATTTTCTTTCCTTGCCAGAGGGAGCTAGACATCGCGTTGGAGTCGTCAGAGGTCGTATCCATGTCCATGTCCGTGTCTTTCCAGTGCTTTGTGTCCAGGGGTCCGGTTTGCGCAATCACGCGGTCCCCGATCTTGAAGTGAGAAATCGAGGCCCCTGCCGCGGTGGGATTCGGCAGCTCGACCACTTCCCCGGCGACGTCGCAGCCTAGGATGCAGGGGTATGCATCTTCGGGGACGAGGACGCCGCGGCGCTGGACGCCCCAGTCGGCCGGGTTGATTGCTACAGCGTGGGTTCTGATCACGAGTTCGTTGGCAGACGGGTGGCTGTACGGGGCTTGAGAGATGGTCTGGGTGGGCGATTTGGGCGCGAGGAGGACGAGGGCCTTGTTGGTGGGAGGCATTGTAGATCGACAGGGGCAGGTGAAGGATGGGATGTTCAGATGGGAGAGCAGAGAGGATGTAGAGTAAGTACTACAAGGGCAGCAGCGAGATGACTGATATACTTGCCGCCAGCAGTCTTGTTGGTAAAGTGTTTCTTCCGCTTGGAAACCGCAGTGATGCGTTTCCCGATCCTTGGACGGGCCCGGACATAGAGTTAATTCCTCCCGGGAATCGAGGGCCGCCCGCAGACTGGGTTTCAGGTCCGACTAGGGACACCGGTAATCATATGGAGAGGCAGAGGAGACGAACGCGACCGGGTGCCCGGTAGATGTATTGGTGGAAGCCACTTGTGGATACGAGAGGAGGCAGGTCCGGAAGAGTCGAATACGAGCAAAGGTTAGCTGGCCCACGGAGTTGAATCCAGAGGAGCCTTTGAGAAGGGTCCTTATGCGGAAAAGCTACGGAGCGTTGTAGTCAACTCCACATGAATACGAGTCGCGGCTAGCTTCTTCGAGGGTATACGAGTGCAGGTTAGATTATCGGAGACGACATTAGACAGGGGTGGTGAGGAATCTACCTCATTCAACAGCTACGGACGAATCGAGCTTAGGACCGCATGGACTACGGCGAAGTCGACTCATAGTCGACCATGCCCATGCATGTGAAGTGGACGCGGGCTACAGAGGCTCGCGCTTTCAACACACGGCATGCAAGATGTCCGAAGATCTTACCGGAGAGCCACCTAACTGTGGCAATGTGTGAGGGGCACTGTTAACCTCGACCCATATTGACCGGTGCGTCGAGCATCAATTCATATACGCAGGCCTTTTCAAGAACCTGGAAGATTCAAGTTGGGCTTCCGGTTCTCGATATGAGGAATCTCTTGACTCCCCTATCCTCCTACCGCGCCTCGTCGAGTAGCCGGGAGGGTTGTGCGAGAGAACAACGCCACACGAGTTTGACACCGGCATGTCGGCATTTGAGCTGAACGCCAGAAAAGTTGTTGGTCTATCGTCATCAACCCAAGGATGCGCTTGTGCACCCTCGATACGTAGGCAGTATCTCAAGGCCCAGACGGTTTCAGCGAACGTGCTCCATATGCTTCCGGATGGCAAGATCGTACTTGCATGATATTTCAATTACGGAGGGACGACCTTCCTGAAGGTGAAGCATTTGTCCGAGCTTGGCTGTCTAGGTTCGATAGAAGCAATCGAGAGGGTTTCACTTCGGCGTTGAATGACTTTTAAGATGCTGTTGGATCTAATTCCTCACATCAAATGCCGGACAAGCTTGATCGTACCACCGGAACCGTTGCTGCCAAGTGCAAAGCACGAGCACCGGATGTGCGCGGGTCGACTATCAGACTCAAAACGTTGAGTGCAAAGAGCCCATCAGGTGCATACTGATTCTCTTTACACAACCGGCCTCTTGTCTTGGGGCATTGTCCTGGGATATGTCTTGAAACGAGTTAGGTCGCGGCAATGCAGCATTTCTGCCTCAGTCGAAATCCGTCCTTAAGACATTCGACTTCGCCAGCTGATTTCATCTTCTGCCACCGCTTCTGGAAGAGTTCCAAGCATTTATCTCTCGTCAGAGTCTGTGTAATCAGGGAGAAAGTTTGGGGCAGGGATCCCCTGTGGGCGGTGCTCGACGCCGCCCAGAGTGTTTGCAGACGGTCTCGGAGCGGAAATACTATTATACGTGCCGAAGTGCCGCCGGCGCTAAGTGGGCGGGCGGTCATAGTGCATGGCTGGCCTTCTGTGCCTTTTGTTGGAGAAACTCGAGATTCTGCTTCTGCCTTGAGACGTTCAACGTGCGGACAGTGCAACCATGACTCTCCGACACGCTGCACGGTTGTGTGGTGAGCCAGAGGAGGACGACGACAATGAGAATGAGATCAATATCGCCTTCTCGTCTGACGAGGACGACCCTGTCACACTCCATCCTCAAGTTGACGCCTCGCAAGCCCAACTCCCAAACCCCAATACCGAACTCGATGCGCTCCCTCTACCTCCAGCCCGCTCCCCTACAGCCTGGCAGCGGCGGACGAAGTCGTCACCGGTCGAAGGTGTCACCGAGGTTCCCCCACTTCATCCGTTCCAGACAGCCTTCAGTCCGGAGACGCTGATCGCATTCATGCGTGAAGAAATGGACAAGATCAACCGCGACCGCGAGGCCTCTAAGGCTAAATGCAAGGGGAAGCAGAAAGAGACCGCTGCTCCGCCAGCCTTCGGCTTGTCAGACGCAACCCTATCATCTCTCTTGCCTTCAGCCTCTCCACTGTCGGACCAGTCCAACCACGGTCAGGTCAATTCAGGTTCTGGGACTCGCCGCTCACTGCGTCTCTCCCGGAAAGACTCGCCTCCTCTCACCTCGCTCAGCCCTGTCGACCCGCCATGCATGGTAGTCTTTCCAACAGACCCTTACTCTCAGAGTAACGACTTCATTCAATCCACACGGACAACCACCTTTGAAGAGTATACCAAGAACAAGAGGAACGCTGTTAGAAACAACACCCAAGAGTCTCCGACCAGCCCGTTGCGCGCTAAGCTGCGTCAGCCAGGTCTTTCCAAGGGTGCGACCACCCTCGACCCTTTGGCTGCTGAAAGCATTGGGTATGCGGGAGTCGTTTCAGGCATGCGCGACTTGTCCGACTTGACCCTGCAGGACGACCATACGCGACAACCCGACCAGGTACCTCCTACTGGATTCCTGACACGCGCTGCGAACATCATCATTCGGAAGAAGGTCGGCGGGAACCTGCTGGGACGGACTCCGGGCTTGTCGACCACGTCCGTTCCGCGTGGTTTGGACCATACTGTTACCACTCTTCCCGAACTTCCGATAGCGGGCGAATCCTGCACTTCTGCTGGCGTGGACGAACAGCAGCGCAGATCCCGCTTTCCTTTCAATTATGCCAAGATCATTCCTGAAAGTATCCCGTCAAATGACAAAAAGAGCTTCCTCGACAAAATCGCCCGAGCCAAGCGAACTCAATCATCGGATCCTGAACACGAAGCACAGCCTTCCAGCGGCAGATCTAGATTCAGATTGTCTAGTAGGCCAAAGAAGAAAGACGAGTCCGTAGCCACTGAGGTGAAGCAATATCCGCGCCTCTGGAAGCCCTCAAGCACTTCCGGTATTCCTGCAAACCCCCCGAAGTCCGGCACATCGCGACCACCGCAAAACGTGGCTATACCCTTAAGCGAACCGGTTGCGATCTGGTTGGTCGACGAGAATTTGTGGAGTGCAATCTCTCAGTTCCTCTCAACCCGAGATGTCAAGAACCTCCGTCTTGTCAGCAAGTTGCATGCCCAGATATTGGCGCCGATCCAGCTCAGAAATGTCGTGGTCAAATTCGACCAGAAATTCTTTGACGACACGATTTTCAAGAACCATGGTCCTAACATCAATCGTTTTGGTGTCTCGTTTGAATACAACCTGGAAGGTCTGGCGTACGCGAGCCCAAAGATCATCGAGAAGGAACAGGAGGCATGGTTCGGAAAGTTCGTTTGGCCAACTGAGAATTACCCTCGCTTCCCGGAACTGCAAGCTATCGAAGATCTGGTGGACAACAATCGCCCTCTCCTCAAACAAGCTCTCGCTAAAATCACCAACGCCTCGGAGCTTGGCTTGTGCATCGACAGCGGCCATGGCTGGATCGAGGGTCCCGATATCTCCGACATGGCCCTCTTCGAAAAACGAATCGGACAAGGCAGCAAAGTGTTCGGCAAAACCTTCAAGACCGAAGATGTATGGACCACCTTTGCTCGCAACGAACTATTTCGATGGGGCCAACAGAACACCATCAACACGACTCTCAAATCTATTCTCGCTAGGCAGCCACCACCGGCGTCCGATGCTAAAGAGGTCCGCTTCCTAGATGGGCTCAAAGTCCGCGACATAAAAAGCTTCGCTTGTCAGCATGAACAGTACGACTTCGACCCAGAGTGTCATACTGGAGGTGTTGCCACCGTCCTCGACCTGGATCCAGCAGCCGCCGTCGATCCGCAAGTGAATCCAATTGGTGCAGCGGTGCAGAATCTCGTAAATTTGCATCAAGGTGCTGCTGAGCGTCACCGTCGAGCTCTGAGCCATGCCAGAAATGCCAACCGCAAGTTACCCCAATGGCCTGTGATCTTCAACGGCCACAATCTTGCGGCGGAGCACGGTGGTCATTTGTCATTCATCCAAAGCAAAATCGCCAATCCTTTCGTATCGCCCCTCACACCAGGGATACTCAGTGAAGCACAGGCGCAATGGCTGATGGAGACTGTGTGGGCCCAGCGAGCGTTTCTGGGCGCATACACCACAGCGATCATAACAAACAAGAACAACTTCCGTCATGTCCACACTCTCCGCATCAGCAAGTTGTCCTCTGGCTTGCTGCCGTCTCTGGAGCAGCGCGAGTTCTGGAAGTCGTTGTCTGGACTGAAGCGACTGGAGATCTCCCTCAGTCCTGACTGGCGCCAAGAACATGTCATCGGCGACAAGGCCTTTATGCACAACATGCCTATCTCTCCCGCACAGGCTGCTGAGCGATTCACCGACTTCTTGAGGCGCTACATCACAAAACTCGAGAACCTGCACAGCCTGAGTATTGGCTATGTCGGTGGTGGTGAACACGGCGTTGGCATGTACGCCCGCAATCAGCATGTTTTGCCGGCTCCCATCGTTGACAATCCGAATGAGTGGCTGCTTAAGAATACCAGCAAGACCGCCCCGTCTCTGATCAAGTTCGATCACGTGAGAGACCTCAAGTTCGAGAATTGTTGGGTCACTCCTTGGATGCTCAAAGGATTCATGGAGGTTAGCAGAGACACGAGTCTTCATTGTTTGACCCTCGACTCGGTAAGCATGACCGCCATCCACGAGGAGAATCTGGAAATGCCTCTAATCACCGTTCAACACGGCCTCCGTTGTCTCCATTCAAGGGAGGAATGGCCTCGTGAGATCCTGCCCAAGGGCGCTGCATGGGCTCGCACTCTTGACGCCATCACTCCAGGAAAACCACTCTGTGAATACAGATACGAAGCTGGCTTACTCGACAGAGATGACACGCCCGTACCAGAGCGATCTTTCCGTGGCCACGTTCAACAGATCATCCTTAATAGCTGCGGTTACGTCAAGATCTCTCTGCCCACTGGTCGGGCCTCGACATACAACCAGAACTCGGCTGTCATCCAGTCTGATTGTCCTATGGACCGCGGTCTTCAGGTCCGTAGGGGTCGTTTCAGTGGCTTGGGCGCAAACGCTAACGCTGACGCTAACGGTCGCCTACGAGAGCGTGCCCCATATGTGAGTGAACTTCACGACAAGACAAATCGGATCATGATCAGCAGCGACGGATTTCCTTGGCTTGGGACACTGACCCAGTGTATTCATCCGATTGAGAAGCGCGTTCTTGAAGGGGCCTGGCAGATGAAGTTTGGCTGGGGCGATGATTTGAGTAGGTGGGCTGCTGTTGAGGATGGCATGTTCGAAGGCGGTACCGGAAGGTTCGGCGGTGTGATCAAAAAGGATGAATCTGCGGTCCTGAGCCGCGTGTGATTTGAGAAGGGGGTGACTGTTTTCGAGTAAGGCGGTCGGTTGAGGCGATGATCCTGATGTTCGGCAAGCGACGGTCGCCTGGACGCTCAGCACGCCAGCAGCTGCCCGCCTGACGAGGATTTCATTCTCTACGATGGCAATTCGGCAACTCAGCACCTTCACGGCCATGGATACGCACCATTGCTGGCATATTTGCCTTCAGCCGCATGAGGTTGCCAGACCTGAGGAGATGTACGCAGGATAGGCGGCCACACGAACCTGAGATAGCTAAGCGGAACCAGAGCTTAGCACGGTTGGATCGTCCGCGACTGACAATCATCAGTTCCCCGTGTACTCAGAATCAGAGTGTTGGTGGTCTTGTTCCTGTTCGAACCTTGACTGGATCGACGTCAATCGTCTCGTCGCCGGATTTGTTCTTGGACCACTGACGTGGAATGTGGTCTTTAGACAGAAGAATGACAGCACTTCCGCTTCTGTTCTCTAACTAACCGGTGTTCCTACCTGTTTCCACGTGGCTACTCCTTCGGGAGAGTCTCTCGTTGTAGCTCTCGGGGAAAGCATGCATCGGGTGTTTGTCGGATTTAGCTAAGCTAAGGCCGCTCGGTATCGTTGGAAGCAGTCAATGAGCCTTTCCCCCCTTGACCGAACCTCGGACGTAACACTTAGGAAGAACAATGAAGTCCTTGGGCCAAAGCCGCTTCACGACTAACTGCGTTCATGACCCAAGCCAAGAGCGTGCATAACAGTACCCACACATGGTGACCCTGGCTGCGGCAGCGGCACCCAGTGGTTGTGACTGAGACTGGTCTCCCTGGTCACTCGATCTGTGACGGGCCTCAATACTGTAAGCGACTTTCTCGGTTCCATTGATCCATACTAACTCAATTCAGGGACCTTCACCATCCATTTTTCGGACAGCACTGAGATGTCTGACCAAGCCTTCCGTTTTAGCTTCGTCGGGGGTACTGACTGCAGTGAAGAGCCTTTCCAAGCTCAGCCTCATACTGAAAAATAGCGATGCTGTTGTCTCCAAGCTCGGCACGTCGCTCAGCACGTCACGGGGAAGACTCCCTTCGATCCAGATCCTCTCTTTAGCCAGAGCTCAAATGTGCCAGAAATCACCGTGACGCATCCTTCTCTCAATTCACTCCAGGGTGTCATACACCAGCAACGCGTGGGAGAGAGTGTTCTCAGTCTTGCCATCCGTGAAGACCTTGCGCCGGCTCGACGTCTACTTCGGCCGAGACTGGGGGAGTTGGAGCGCGTGAGAGGTATGACACCCCCAGTGGCCCCGGCCTCATCAGTAAGACAGAGAAATTATTGAGTCGCGGCCACAGTGGTCATACCATATGTCCCGGACATCACAGAGCTGTGTATTGCAGGTACGGTGGACGTACGTCGGATTAAGGTGACACGACGTGTCCCTCTCGCCCTAAACACACAATTTTTGGCCACTCAATGCTAACAAAGAGCCAGGCCTATACCACCTACTTTGCTGGTCTGGGAAAACTCAAGCCTCTGTTCCATCATCGCAATGAGGTTACGAAGAAGCTCAATTCTCGCGACTGGTACCTGATTCTGGATTCGTTCTCGAGGGATATCAGTGATCGATAGCATGGAGGTGGCTGTGGCGCGTGAGTTCTTCACCTTCTGTCCTTCTGTCCTTCTCGTGAGACATTCCGTCCCATGTTCTCACGCTACGGCAGTCGAGATGAGTGTGAGCGCGACGCAAATGGTGGCGGGATCAGAAGCGTCTAGCGATGGAGGGACTTCAACGACTGGAAGAAGTTTCCCACCAGAGAGGATATATACAAGAGTCTTACATCGGAGGTGATTGGATCAGTGACATCTGGGTTCAGAACCGAACGGTCCGTCCCCTTCTGACACACAGACTATGGACAATTGCGTGGGGGAGATGTAGGGAGCTCATAGTCGTCGGGTAGCGAGACCAGCAACGGACTGATTATCACCACTACGGCGATGAGATGACGGCGAAAAGGCACAAAGCATTGCGAGTTTCTGCAAGGAACCAAGTTAGAATGGAGTTATGAGAAGTGGGTAATACCATCGTTGGCAGAGTACACCCCTCATTGCTGCTGCGTGCTGGAGCCTAGACCTCAAAGCTGTCGCATCGAGGACTTTGGTGTGCGTTTTTCGCTCCAATTGTTCCTGGATCGCCACTCCTGTTTATCCATCTACCTAGGTAGGTTGCTGGGTGCTAAGTGATGTAGTCAAGGGCGATCGATGGCCAGAATGGCCTAATTATTTCCGCCTCGGCCGAATTGAATTGCATTGCAAAAGGGCGACGAAGGAAAGAAGGAAGCATCACGTTGATGTTGTTACTATTGTGAGCGCAGGCAATAGTATTCCCTTGCCTCGGTTTGTGTGTTTGTGTGTTTTCATCTGTTCCCCAAACCCTGCAGGATATGTATACAATCTCATCGCCCCTTCGCATGCGCCATACCATATATGTATCTTAGGATGGTCGCGCGCGCGTGTCGTCAGCCAAGCCTTGCCCCTTTCCGTGGGAGCCTTGTCGGCTTATTGTCTTTACCAAAGATGTCCATTCCTCAAATCATCAGAAATAAAACTGAGCAGCAACCCGCCAGTGATACCAAGTGCGAGCGGGAAAGAAAGGGGATATAAGTGTCTGAATACTTTCTCCGGGGAGGTAGGACCACCGTGGTCTCTCCAGGTCCGGGAGGTGCGACAGATTGTCCCACTTTACCGTGACGGTGGGTGACTCGGCGTTCCGACGGCATTGGACTTCACTTTGTGCTTTGGTGCTGGCCTTGATTTGTTCGTGGTCTTCCTCTTGCTTCTGTGTCTCTTACTTTGTCGTTTGTGGGCATTCATTGATTGGGCGTCCGCTGACCAGGTTTTACCTCGATGCCGTCGACCTCTTCAGCAACTGAGGTGTCTTAGTCTTCGACTTCCTCGCCGGACAGGCACTGCGTCCTAGTGCCACCACCGTACACCAATCGCCTCGCATTAGTCCTCGAATAAATGTCGCTTCAAGGTAAAGCGCACGTTTCGTCTGGCCTTCTCCAGCAATATTGACATCTGAGGTGTGGGAAGAGGTAATGTCCTTGTGGTCGTGGCCGCCTCGAATATTCGGGTGCGCCGACCTGGAAGTTCATGACCAGTATCCTTCGTCCTTGGTCTTAATATTAGCGTTGTCGCTTGCAAGGAAGGCTGTTCTCTTTCCCGAAAGCCGCCATTATAACGCCACACCCCTTCAATACAAGCCTCCTTTTGCTCATGAGAGAAACCAACAGGCTTCGTCCATCTGTAGCATAGCCATCTATCTCCACGTGTCTCTGGGGTCCAGACTCATCGCTCTGCGGTCATACGCCATGGTGTTGTCTGATATTTGCAATGAGTGGGCACCGATCCACGGTATGTGCGCAACGAATTCGAGATGGTGATTTCATCATGTAAGATGCGTCGAAGGAACGACTCCTGAGCGATTGAGTTCATGAACAACATTTCCGTATGCCACGCTGCTGCGTTCAGCCTCAAAGACTTTGTCAAGTCTCTTGAACTCCGATCCTATTGCAGCGGAGAGGTTTGAAACGGGACGTGAGGTGTAGATGAAGAGACTGGGATCCATGGCATTAGCGGTGAGACTGGGAAAGAATGGACCAGAAGGGGCGCAGGTCAGGCTGTGGGGTGGCTCAGAGCTGCCAGAGAACATCGACGAAGTCGAAGAAGATGAGCTTACCCGGCGTTTTGAGGGGCAGAGCCGGACAAAGCAGCAGCGCGGAGATTGCTTGAGCCGTCATGAGGCTTGTATGATATAGACCACCTGAGTGATCTCGTCTCGCTATACTGCACAGAGGAGTTAACAGAGATGTGTCTCTGCAACGATTCGAGGAGTACTAGAAGTTGTCAAACTGTCAACCAGAAAAACCAAGAGCCACGAATCTCTGCAGCCCAGGACTCCATGGCTATCGATTTACTAGACACTGTGCAATGGGCCATAGGAGTCACGTGAAATGAAGTGATGTGATTGATCTAGACTTCTAAAGTGCGTTCCTGTCGCCGTGTTGTGTAGAGGCGGCAGAAGTGACGATACACGAGACTCTACTTCATTTCATGCCGCTAGACGTCCATCCCATCAGCATCCACTGACATGTCTAACCTGGGTTTGAGCATTCATGTCTAATTCGTCCCCCTTTATCACTGCGCAGCTGGAGAGTCTGAAGGGTCAAGACGGACCAGGCGGTCATAGCCACATCCACAACAGGCCTGCAGGCAACAGTCTGAGTGAGAGGGACAAAGGAATTCTAGTGAGACAATGGACATGCAAGTAGACAATGTTAGTAGGATGACAACCAAGCCCTGCATTACACTCCGGGAACTATTGATTGCGGGTACTTTGTTCCTCGCTACGGTAAAGACACTGCCACCAGGTGACCGTGCGTGGCTTATCCAAGTCAACGGCGTTGACTGCGGGACTCTGTCGCCAATTACCCATTCGAATTCGAAAGTGCTGAGTCTGTCTTCTGTCTGAACAAGCTTCAGACTGAGCAATTTCCGCGCACTTCTTTCTCCGTCTGTGCTCGCCTCTGTCGTCCACGTACATGCGCGGTTTTGAGCGGGTCCTGTGATAATAGACTCTGTTTAGACGCGAAAGCTCGTGGCTCCATCCGTTGCATGCATCGTTATTCAGTCTTGCTCTTGCCCAGTCTTGACGTCGAAGATCCTCCTGGCCATCTCCGCAAGTACAACCCAGACGATCAGGAACAGGTACTCCGGCCGGGACATGATGTTGAGAAAGCCTCTTCCACCGTTCGTCTTTTCCCCTTCTCCTTCTTTGTCTTCACCCTCGTCTTTGTCCGCAGCATCCTGTTCTTGTTGAGGCACAGAAGTCCCAGATCCTTCGCCGGGTCGGTCTGACGCGACACTGACACATAGATGCTCTGCAGGCTTAGTGTCGGCGCGGCCCTTCTCGTTCTTCTTCGGCTTCCGGCTCTTCTTCTTGTTGGTCGCGGTTGTATTCTTGGGTACAGCTATAGCTAGAGGTGAAGTGTCTGTCCCTGTCGCCTCGGAAACGAGATCGTTGTCTGCTTCGGGCTCTTCAATTGCAAGAAGGTTGTACCTGGAGCCGGTGGTTTGTTCAGGTGCCTGCTTCTGCTTCTGCTTCTCCTGTTGGTTTGGGGTAGGTTGTGCTGCTGACTTTGTTGATCGTCGTCGAACAATGGTAAAGCCAGCGGATTGCATGTTCTCGTTGAAGACACTCCCCGGTAAGTTTGTAGTGTGGGTTGAGCCGTTGGCCTTCTCAGCGCTGGAAGATGGATAAGAAGCGGTGGCTCTTTGTTCTGGACGCGTCGATCTGAGACCCGGTTGTGGATTGGAGGTGCTCGTACTGATTGAGTATGAGTTTGGCGCAGAGGCTGCAGTACCGTCAGGACATGCGAAAGCAGTGTTGTTTGTGATCGTCGGCTGTGGCGTTGAGTCGACCTTGGTGGCGGGCGACGGTTTGGTTCGTTTAAATGGTATCGCTGCCAGATCGGGTAGTGCTGGCTGTATCATATTCGGCATGGCTGCAGCGTGCAAGACGGTATAGGGGAATATGATATCGAAAAAGGATGAAGTTTGGTAATACTGTACTTGTTGAAGAGCCAGACGAACAGGATGATGGTTAGTTAGCGCAGGACGACACACGCTCTATCTGACCGTGAATATACAATGCCTGGGATAGACACTTCAATGGATAAACCCGGGGGTGGTAACTGACCGGAAAGAATCGGGTGTCTTCACTTCAATTGCCTGTCTTTCACCATGGTCGGCGAAAGGCCCAGTAGATGGAACAGGGGAGGTACTGCCATTCAGGCTTGAAAGTGCAACAATCGATTCTCCGTGTCCTAGATATGAACACCTAATGCCAGTGATGAGATGACCATGCTCGCTCGACCTTTCCAGCCTTCTTTGTGTACTATCCAGTGGTACTGTGGCTGTCTATGTAACGCGTTTGTGACATTCCTGATATTGACACAATCAGTGCTGCCAAAGCTGTCGTCCTCAAATACCTATCCGGGTGTCTCCAGAAAAACCGAGAAGCTCTTCAAAAGCCAAGGTACTAGACTCCTCACACCTTCAACGTTCACCTGAAATGTTGAGACGAAGACTTCCCTTCAGCCGTCCTCAAAGCAATCCGTATGTCGGCCAGGTATTTGACAAGCTCTTCAAAAGCCAAGGTACCAGACAACCAGACCTCTCATACCAGCAACAATCACCCTGAAATGATGAGACGAAACTTTCCCCTTCAGCTGTCCCCAAAAAACAATCCTCCTCAGTCGCCCTCATACCAGAAGCTCCCCTTGTTGCTCCCTTAGCACCCGTCGGCATTCGACGGTGATCCCGCCTCATACTGATCATTCAAGAGAAAACCCAATGAGAAATGCAAATAACCCCGGCCACATAAGACACTACCTGTAAGGCCAGGCTGAGATATAAGTGGACGCCATTAACAGGGGTTATCGTTCGTTTAATGCCCGGTCCTTGCAGACGAGATGTCTGCTCAAATCCGCAGTCATCAGCTCCGTTCGCTTCCTGCTCCATGCGGCGTAATTCCCTATCAATGGCAGCTGCCTCTTCTTTGGCAACGCGAGGACTGTTCTCATTTGCGGCATGGGTGCTCATTATCCGACGTACCAGGGCATTTTCCGCCTCGGTATAGGTAGTACCGCGGGCCCGGATCCAGTAAAGTGTCATGCATCGAAGGAAGTCGTCTTCTGAGAGACACGTTGCACATTCTTCAACCGTGGGCTTCACGGCAGATCCGGTGGCGAGCATGACTTCGGCAGGGCTGCGTTCGAGTTGACTGTCAGCTTCAGTGGACTGCTCGTTCGACGTAGCGCTGAGGCTCAAGGGAAGGGCGACAAGGTCTGGTATGCTTGGATCATCCATTTGTTCACAACGGCCGGTGTCAGTGGGATGTGCTTGATCAGTGATGCCGTCGTGCGAGGCTTTGGTTTCAGCTTTTTCATCTTCAAGAGGAGAGCGTGAGCTGGCTACAATTGCAGCTTCATGGTGTTTATAACAGAGTGAGCGCACCTCGGTCAACATGACTGCGGTCCCTACCGGTCTGGATACGACTTGGGAGGACTAGGGGATTACCTTTGGTAGAAAGAAGGCGTGAGTGGTCATGCCCTGAGATTGTTTTTGAAAGAATTGTGCAGTAGCAAAAGGTCTGGGCCAGACATATCCAACGGGGAGAAGTGCCTGCGTGGTCTGGTCTTGGACAAGCATTTGCACCGATGAAAGAAAGTAAAACTGTAGCAGTGAATTGAGAGTCATCCATCTGTAAGACAGTTGTTGTCCTTTGTTCTTTGTGCTTTGACAAAACATTCCTGTGCCAGGAGGTCAACTTTGACAATGAAGTCCGATCGATATCCATCATCAGGTCCCAGCAGTGTTGAACACGCGAGTCGCCGACACTATACAATCGCTAGCATCTTGAATCGAAAACACCTTGAGTCGCCAACACCGAATCTACAACACCTTGAGCCGCCAGTAACTAGAGCAGCAGCTCATCCATGCCGTGTCCGATCGTCCACGGTGTGTTCGAGAACGACGATGGAAAGCCAGCCCAATTATCCCCACTCTCGACATGGTGAATGGCTTGCACCTGACCGTCCCTCCCGCGCTCACAACGATACTTCTCACTCCATCGATGTTGAAGGACACGTAGCACCATCAGACGTGGACAAATGGCAAAAAACCGTTGTGCAATTTCGGCCGGGTCTTCGCTCGCGTGATGTTTGTCATCCTTTCTCAGCATGTAAGCCCACCGTTCTTCATGGTCCATGTCGTCACGGGATTCTGGTGGGGAAGTTTGCTTGTGCCATTGTGTCGATGTGATGGAGAGGACTGAGAGACGGGGCAGGGCTTGGAACTCCGGAGCCAGACCCTACACTTTGTCAGAATCCAAGTTGGGTCCGGACCGGTAACCATATACATACGCTTAGCTGAGTTCGGTAGAGATGTCCTTCGATGTGCAGTCCTGGGACATCTTGGACGTAGGGGACCATGTCTGTCTCATCTCAGCATCCTAGCTAGTCAAAACTGGAGAGACTCACCCTGAATCGATCGGGCCGTCCAATTGGTCAGATTCTTCCTCACCTCGAGGTGGCGGAGAACTTGTAGAGTCGGAATGGCTCTCAATGCCGACTTCCAACCCAGTGTCAAGTCTTCTGCGACCAAGGTCGTCAGGTAGGGACAAGCCAGGAGGAGGGCGACTGAGTCCGGGGCTGTGGTGAGATGTAAGACCCCGACGGTGGGGAGTATAGTTTCTGTCCTCTCGAGCTCCGTTCGTAAGTGCGAAGCCACGACGGCGTTGTTGCACAAATTGATCTTGAGTTGAGATAGCCGGGTCATGGCTTTGACCGCCTTTACAAAGTTATTGTAGAAGCTAGGATGGTCATTCTGTAACAGGGTGATCTCGAAAGCACTGTTTCAGTCAGCCCCATGCCAGTTTGAAAATTATAGCGCACTTACTGTAGCCTGGATGCGAAGAAGGTCGACTTGGAAAGTCCACTCAATATGCCAGCATCCGCGCTGTCGCCAATCCGTGGCATCACAATATGGCCGTAGTAGCCCTTGAACAGGGAAGGCTCGCACAGGTGACGAAGGCGCTTGCTCACGAGAGAGAGATTCTTGACATCCTGAGGTAGAGGGTGGTACCAGTCGTGAAATTCTTCAAGCTCCTCGACGATGATCAAGATGCAGTCGTCCGGGAGGTCTGTGAAAGACGTCGGGAGTGAGATATCTGTCGACGCCATAGCGGATAAAGCCCGTGAGGACAAGAAGAAGTTCTTCATGGCAGACTGAATGAGAATGGAGAAGATTGAAATTTCAGCAATGTGTACACAATCGACGTGAAGAAAGCGACACGCAGTTGACGTCATTGGTGTTTCTCCTTCACTTCACCAAGGTCTCGACAGCGACGTGGGATCCTCATCAGGCGGAATGCAGGTGCTCAAGTGGACAGGGAGATGTAGATGCCAGTACCTACCTGTGGTTGGGGGGAGGAGTCGAGGGACTGTAACGGGACTTGGCATGTCAAGCACATCCTCCGCACCATCAGATGACAGGCGCTCGCACAAAGGAATATCAAAGTCCTGTTTTGTTCGTACTGATCGTTTCCACATTTTGGAGCCATTTTCGATGGCGGCAGTGTTATGGAATCAGCTGCAGGAAATGCTGGCCACTGACTTCAGCACTCGATGTGTAGTCGGCACACTGGAACTCCACCGACAGGTGACCTAAGCCTTCCCTTGAACCATAGGGAGACGCAGCTCGAGACCGCCCTGGTGCGTATACACCCCCTTCAGATCTCCCACACTCCGCCTCAAAATCCACTCCTCACTTGTCAACTCCAATTCCTCCTTCTGCGACTCTGGTTGCTGGTCGATGAGGCCCCCCTTGAGCCGCCGTAGCACGACTGAATCCTCAGGTCGGGAGAAGAACACCAGACTGTGCCGATCGATCTTGTCCTGCGGCGGCAGCGGAGGGACGACGCGATGGACGTTGGATCGTAACAACCCGGCTGTAAATCTGACCAGGGCATCCCCAAGATTGACTACCGCCGAGCCAGGGACAGGCCGTACATAGACCCATTCGTTCGTTTGCGGAAGGCGAATCTGCAGTCCGCCCAGCCAATTGAAGAGGATGGTAAGGGAGCCAAAGTCGGTATGCTCGCCTAGCCTGGCTTTCTCCTCGCTGAACTTTCCTGGCGCCGTCTTATTGAACCTTATGTGGTCGCCCGATCGCTCCTCAATCCGATGTAGTTTCGCGAGTGTTCCTATCGGCAGCTCCAGGTTTCTCTCGAGGTGTGTGAACATGATGTCGATAGCGGCTCGACAATTCCGGGCGTAGCTCGCTAACAGATCCCAGTTCCGTTTGATCAGGTCCGGGCACGGAAGTGGCTTGCAATTGCCGACGAGGTCGTCTTTGCGCATCTAGAGGGATAGTTAGTCAGCAACGGCGTCAGCGAAAGAGAGGGGAGTCGGAGGGATTAACGTTGTAATTCTCATTTCGCTGTACGGAGCCATCTTCCATCTCCGTGGTACCTAGATGGCGATACCCGAAGAAAGGGTCGATTTTCTCACGAGCAACCTTGTCCTTCTCCGCATCGGGAAGACTATGAAACTCCTTTTGTATGACGTGCAGTCGTTCGGCTTGTGAGACCAGCTTTTCGCCCAGAGCAGAGCCTTCCATGCTCAGGTAGAAGAAGCCGAGCTCTCTCGAAGCCTTGAAGAAGGAACGCGACTCGGCCGCATCATCGGCTTCAAGCTTACTGAGAGAAATAGAGACGAGTGGTGCCGTTGTTACCCCTTCGGCAAAGGGTGGGTACTGGTGGTGTGAGGTTGTGAGAACCATGGCTGTCAAATGTGTTCGCTTAATTCTTGGGTAACGTCGAATTCGATGCGCTGTGTAGCGACGCGCGTGCTAACCAGGAGGAGATGGAATATATGTGAATCTCCTCATCTCTTCACGGCGCGTCCCCGCTGATCGAAGACCCCGCTTCAGTCGGCTCGAGATCCGGTGAGCCGGCGAAGCTGCGACGATCGACGTTGCGGCAACTTGCCGAGACACCTTCGATAGATTATCAGTTAACATCGATCTCGGGGCCTTGGTACCCGATGCATCATGAAGGGATATGCTTACCAGTGAAGGAAAGCGTTCGGGGTGCGCCGGATCAACTATTTTTCCGCTCCAATTTTTGAAGGCGCATCTTCGACATAGAGGTCTTACCGTTCACCTCAGACTGGCCTTTGTGCAACAGAGTGGTCCAGCCAGAGTCCAGGGCAGCGATCATATTCCGTACAGTCTCAGGACTGATATTTGGAAGCGATAGGTCGAGATGTCGTTGACAAGATTCCGTTGTTCCCAGTCTGTGTCGTTGACATCAATGGTCTCAGGAAACAATTTCTCCACCTCGAAGGCCTTATATCCAGCTTCAACATGTCGGGCGATCACCGAGTGACAGACACACCATCGTGGGCATTACACCGTGTTGTACTGTTCCAGCACATGAGCGCCAGTGCTTGCCTTGTGACTTGACTTTCCACTCAGAGTCGCGTGAACAGCGAAGGCGGCCTTCGTCCGCAACATGCCTGGCAATGAGCTTGAAGGGTCCCTGGTGAGTCCAAATATGCCCTGAACACGAAGCGCCCGAGCCGACGAGCAATCTTAACAAGATCCCGTTGGACAATATCACAACTCGGTTCTCCATCACCAATCTGAGCTTGAACAGGTGGCAGGAGTGGATCCCCAGAGGCCCTGCGAGCGAGCCAATAGCAACTGGCGGGCTCTGTCGCGCTCGGGTCCGAGTATCCGACGCCGGCCGAGACCAAGACCGCCCCGAGTCCATCCCCCTTTCGGTACGGAGTACCTTCGGTCTCTACGCAGAGTGTGGCAGACACAGGAGGGAATGCACGCCACGCAGTCCTTGAAGCGACGCTGGTACGATAAGTGAGTCCGAAAAACAAAAATCGATGACGCTGTTGTCAGCGGGAACTTGCATCTGGATCACCAACGCGAGTCGAATCTGGGCCTATGCCCGTGTCTGTGTCTGTGTCTGTAAGTGTGCCGTGAGAGTCGAGATACCGAGTTACCTCTCTCTCTTGGATAGGTATAAATGGCTCGTCGTGTCCGTTTCAACAACATATCCTCACCCATCAACTCGTTCTCTATACGCATTTTGCATTTCGAGTCCGATAGAAGTCAAATAACTTAGTCATACTCCGCCCAATCGGTATGTCCGCGCCACCTCTGAAAGTCCTCATCTCCGGTGCAGGCATCGCCGGCCCATGCTTCGCATACTGGCTCGCCCGGACGCGGCTACGTACATCCATCACGATTGTCGAACGCTCGCCCACGCCGAGAGTCACTGGCCAGGCGATCGACATCCATGGCCCGGCCATCGAGGTAGTCAAGCGCATGAAGTTACTCGAAGCCATCCGCGCGCGCTACACCACCGAGGAAGGCACCTTGTTCTTGAACCACGCAGGGAAACCCGTCGTGCAGTTCGACGCCGGCGAGACGTTCACGGCCGAGTACGAGATCCTGCGGGCCGACCTGTCGGAACTCTTCCTGGAGGCCACCAAGCCGTTCGACAATATCCGGTACAAGTACGGCGATTCTATCGCGTCTCTCAACCAGATCGACGACGATACTTGCGTCAGAGTGAAGTTCGCTAGTGGGGAGGAAGACACCTTTGATATGGTTGTCGCGGCGGATGGATCCACGTCGAGGACGCGGCCGATGATCATGACTCCGCAATCACTTAAGCGTCAATATGACGGTGGGAAACCCCACACAGAGTCCGAGATGAGCAAGCACAAGGAAGACGACACCAACACGGACTTTGACAAGACCAAGGCCTCGTTCAACTTCCTAGGCATGTACACGGCGTTTTTCAGCATCCCGAGACGGCCGGACGATTCGAGGATGTGGCAGATCTACAGCCTGCGAAAGGGCCTCTGCGTCATGATCCGCCCGCACAGAAATCCGGCCACCATGGGCGCGTACCTGTCCATCACGATGCCGGACCGAGGGCTCCGTGAGCCTGGCATCGACGCCGCCATGGACAAGGGCGTGGATGCGACCAAGAAAATGCTGCACGATTACTTCGACGATGCCGGCTGGGAGACAAAGCGGGTGCTGGAGGGCATGGACCACGCAGACGACTTCTACATGTCCGGAGCCGTGCAGGTCAGGCTTCCGAAATGGACCAACAGGCGGGGTGTGTTGCTCGGAGACGCGGCCTGGGCGACCTTTGGTGCCGGGACCACGCTGGCCATTGGGGGCGCCTACATTCTCGCTGGGGAACTGTCAAAGATCCAGAGCACGAAGGATGTACCCCGTGCACTGGAGAGATATGAAGAGGTCTTCCGCCCGATTTACGCGAAAATGGATGATTTGATCCCGGGGTTTCCTCAGGTCATGTTCCCGCAGACTGCTTGGGGTATTGGCATCCGGGACTCGGTCTTGTGGTTTCTGAGCAAGACGAAGGTGTACAAACTGCTTGCGATGGGGCCAGGGGTACATTGGAATCTGCCATCTTACGAATGGGTCGATACCGAGAAGCCATGAACGGGGAGTGCAATCATGGGGATACACAGTATTTGTACCAGTATGGCCAAGGCGCTAAGCAGGAATCCATCCACTCAGCAGCCCTACACGGGAATGCGAGGCTGTGAAGGACAAGGGGTCAGCAATAGACAGACTCCAGTCCGGGCAGGAGGGCTTTGATAGATCTGTTTCAGCTTACGTCCGGGGCTCTGATACTTGCTGAAAGCTCTGGAGTCGAGGACTGCATGGAAAACATCAAAGTCCAGTAGCTGACAGGAAGATGACTGCCTTCGGAATCTCCAATTGCGGGGGCAGCACGATAGGTCAGTGTTTTCGACTCTGGACGCAGGATCTGGTCTGGGTGAAAGTGGGATCTGAATATCATCAGCAGATACGGTGCGTGGGCAGAAACGCAGACATGATATCGCAAGCCCGAGAAGAGGAACAGTCTGATTCATCTTGTTGAGAAAGTGCTTGATCAAGGCGACGAAGAGAGTTGGCATAATCATGGGAAATTGCTCGCCGATCGTCCATCGGCTGAACCCAGCTACTGTAAATCTTCTATCTTTCTCTCGCCACCACGAAGTGTCGAACGCCCTGCAAAGCCCTGACCTGGACACAATTATCACCGAAAGCTAGTTGAGATCTATTCCTTGGCACCGTGAACGAAGACTCTCTCCTCCAGAGGTTTGAAGGTCTTGGGGTAGGTGTCGGCGGCTGGCTTGCCGAACACCAGCTGGGCCTTCAAGCTCCAGTTCTGCGGGACGTTCCAGGTCGAGGCGATCTTCTCGTCGATCAAAGGGTTGTAATGCTGCAGGTTGGCGCCGAACCCTTCCTTCTCAAGAGCGGTCCACACTATCACGCGCTTAGTCAGCAACGCTTTCAACCACCGCCAGGCATCATAGAACTATAGGCGTCAAAAGGTTGGGATGAATACTTACAGACATACTGGTGCATGGCGTTCGTGTGCTCGCTCCATTGTGGGAACTTGTCGGCGTATAGCGGATACTGCTCCTGCAACTTGGCGACGTCCTTTGGCTCTTCGTAGAACAGAATCGTGCCATAAGCTGCCTTGAAGCCGTTGAGCTTCTGCTCGGACGCCGGCCATGCCTCGGGAGGTGCGACAGATTTAATGATGGGAATCACGATATCGCCCCACAATTTCTTGTGCTCTTCGTTCAACAGGACAACCACGCGGGTGGATTGCGAGTTGAAAGAGCTGGGCACGTGCGTGATGGCCGCGTCAACAATCTCGTGGATCTTCTTGTCCGAAATGGGAGATTCGCCAGAGAGCGCATAGTATGTGCGGCGCGACTTGACAGCCTCGAGGAAACTGTCGGATGACATCTTGCTGGGTGATGACGTGAATTGACGGGTTGGTGGAATGGTCGTCTGTACGCTGGCGAGTGGTGTCGTTGGTTTTATCGAGGGTCGTGTGAGAGGGGAGAGTGAAGCGCAGGTGAGATGGGCAGATCGGGAGCTTAAGTATCTGTACGTCTGAGCCGCTGGCAGACGCATTTTTTTTCTTCCCGAGATTTTCAATGTCTGATCTAGACCGAACTATGGTGCAATACAGATGGCAGCAACATGCAGGTTAAATGTGGCCGATGTCTGCGTAATCGAATAGATTGGCGCGGATGATTCTCGAACTTGGATCTGTGCCACAGCTGGAGCTCATGACCGGTGGAGCGCATTGGCGAGGCTGGAGCCAGTTCCGCGATTTGTCATTTGTGGTTGGTGATGATGTCGTAAGCATCATGGTTGCGTCAAGCGAGGGCAGAGTGCACTGGGCATCGAGGAACAAGCAAGCGACAGCAGCTGGCTATGTGCCTACGCCTCACCCGACGCCGAGCATCTGCTGAGTTCTGATTGATTCGAGAGCCACAATGTGGAGCTGCGCGAGGCTCACTCCTCGTGGCGCTTCGGCAGTTGATGCCCTGCAAGTCTCCGAAACATACTGCCAATCATCCTTACGAAGGCCCATACATGGTCACGGCGGAACGCTTCTTGTCGTCCCTGCGCACTCTCGGTCTCACTGCTGACCTGATGGTGGAGGATCTATTTTAACGTAGGTATCTTTTGACTGCCAGGATGCAGGAATCAACAGTCGGCGAAATTCGTGAGTGATTGGAAAGAGAGACGTTTGTGAGATGGAGAATTCCACCCTTTGAGCCAACTGTACTCTCTGTCTGTCATAGAAGTGGCCTCTCTTTTAATTGAGGCATAAGAATGAGCGTGGAGAGAGAGAGAGGACACTGTACCATGGCAGATCGAGATTATATATGTCCGGAACTTATCCTCGTGGACTTGGCCCTCTCGGCCAAATTTCGTGCGAATTCCCGCATCAACCGAACACGATAGGGAAACATGAGACGTCGGTGCTTGCTTGACGGTAGCCTATCGCTGCAGCAGGTGAAGTGCATTTCGAAGAATGGTTTCTACTTTCAACCGCGAAAGAATATGGACACTCCAAGCGGCTAGACCGGCAATAGCTATCCACAATCTCATCATGCAAGGCTGGAGCTCAGCAGGCAACAGTTGTCGCAGAAGACAATCCACTCGAGTCCGCATCGTCCTAACCTGCCGAAGTCGAGGTTGCAGGATTCCAAGCCGCAGCATCTGGATTCCTTCCACTCGCCGGCTGCATATCGTTGGCTTCCGTTTCATGCTATGAAGTCTTCTCTGGGTCCTCCGCTGCGGGATTGCTGGGCGTGGTCGCCAAGCTCCCGTTCGTTCGACTTCTCCTGCTGCGGACCTCCAGATCATGGTGTGCCCGGCTCCTTGTTGCGTGCAACGCGGCCATATTGGCCTCCTGGTCGCTGTCATCGCTGGTGTTCTCCTCGTCCACCGGTTTCTTAATCTGCATGGTAGGGGCGAATTTGGACTTCTGGCGAAGTCTCTTGCCGAAGAAGTAAAAACAGATGGGAATCGGGACACAGAGAGCGGCGATACAGCCGAGGAGTGTCCCTGCCCATTCGATTCCAAGGTTATTGAACATCTGTCGGGAAAATAGGGGGAAGCCAGCGGCGAGGCACGATCGAAGGAACGTGTTTGCCGCAATTGCGGAGGCCGCGCTAGAAGAGTGTTAATCGATACCACAGCCAAGACAGAGCCAGCCAAACTTACAACATGAGATAGGAGTCGATCAAGTAGTTGAAGCAGCAGATGAAGATGGCCAACAGACCGAAGCCTGTAAATAGACCAGACAGAGTCGGGACGATCCAATGGATTGACTCCTTGTACCCAGTCCAGCCGAACCAAAACAGACCGGCGGCGAATAAAACGCCGCCAATCATGACCGGTGGGAGTCGCCATTCTGGCACCGGGATTCCGCCATTTGCTGCAAGCTTTTTGTTGTAGTTCTTCGAGTCCCAAATGATATAGCCCGCCACTATAAAGATACCGCAGACCATCCCAAAGAAAGGCAGACCCGCCACACCGGGGGTAATATGATGCACGCCCTGGAAGACCAGCGGATATGCCGTCAAGAAGCAGTACAGCAGGCCGTAGATAAAGGACATGTAGCATGTGATCGCCAGAATGATGGGTTCGGAGATGAGAAGTCGAATCGGCCGGGAAAAATTCTTAGTCACCAGTTCCCTGAAGTCCACTTCGACTTCCTCTTGTTTCGCATGAATGCCCCAATTCTTCGTTCGGCGACGTAGTTCGGCGGCTTTGTTGACCAAGACAACAGGCGCATAGGACTCATGAATGAAAGCGGTGTGCAGAATGACTGCCACCGAGCCCATAATGCCTGGAAGATACAAGTTCCAGCGCCATCCGAGGGACGATTTGTTGATGAAGCCTCCAATGAATGGTCCAAGCATTGGACCCATGAACACCATTGAGGAAAATATCACAATGGCCGTGCCTCTCTGGGTGTTGTCGAACATGTCAGCGAATACGGCAGCAACCACGGCCAACGGGCATGATCCAAAGAAGCCCGTGAAGAATCGGCAGATCATGACGGTCTGAAGGTCCTTTGCTGCGGCACAGCCAAAGCAGAAGACGGAAAAGCCGAACATTGCAATCATGATCGGTAGTTTTCGGCCTAAGTCCCGCTTGTCAGCGACCCTCTTCGCGACGGACCCGAGAACCTGTACCTTGCAATTCTGAGAAAGGACCCCAAATCAGAGGTCCAAATGCGTATCCGAGGACATACAGAGACGTGCTCAAGGTGGCTACCTCAGCAGAGACGCCGAAGTGGGCCGCTACGCTGAAGGTAGAGGCGGAAAAGATGGAGGAGGTGAAGGTACTGCACAGACACACATATGCCAGGATTGCGCCCATGTAAAATCTGTAGTCCAGTCAGCACCCAGTCACTCACATTATCTCCTTAGTCCACTCACTTTCTCCGAAAAGGCCAATTTTGGGGGTGTAGAGGGTCATCTTTCCCGTCAAACTCGACCACATACGCTTCCTGTGGTGGAAGATCCGGGGGATATGGTTTCCCGCCTCCAAACTCAGGTAAAGGCCTCGTGTCTGTCTTCGACTTCACACTGGCTCCCACTGTTTGGATATGCTGTAGGCGATGTGTTTCCGTTCTAAGGTCTTCAATCGGATGTGTCCTTGTCCTTGCAGCCCGATACGAGGGCATGTTCGCACTTGAGGCTCCTGCCGTGGCAATCCTATCCATATCAGGGGTCGAGTCGGTACTGGATGCAGATGAGCTGGATCCTATTGACCGTTGAGATCTTTGACTGTGCAATGACCGGCGCTCCTTGCTCTCGTGGGACCATTGTCGCGTGGCTTGGACCTCTGCCCGCTCCATGTCTCGATCGACGATATCCATGACTGCAGATTTCCCAGCCTGTTGCTCTTGCTCCTTGACCAAATAGTCGCCTCTTTCTGCTTATTTAGGAGGGTCGATGGGGCTTGTGGTCCACGACGGTAGGCGGCTGACGGTGTACTTCGTGGCGCTGTGTAAACAGAACCATATGCCCGTATCTTGTGCACTTCGCGAGCCGACAGCCAGGCGCTGGTGGAAACGGAACCAAGTCCGCTGGCGGGTAGGAGCGAGGGTGAGAGTGACACGAGCGACGGGTGATCGATACGTAAGGGTGAGGTTGTACGATTGGAACTGAGGCGCAAACGAAGGGAAATAGAATTTTATCCAAGCCTCAGTCGATCGACGTAGGTGCGTAACAAGCAAGTTGCCAATGGATGTAAACGGAAAAGAGCGTTTCTATGAGGCTTCAAGGCCGCAACATTGCAGCGGGATAAAGCTTTCGGTCGTAAAAGAGAGCGGAGCGGTGATGACAACACGGAATTTGGGTGACCATGCCATTGCCGAATTATGACATCGCGCCCCCACATAAGCCTGTGCTCTCTTGCGCAGTGCGCCTAACTATTCCGTACCTAACTAGAAAATAAGCAACAGCCAGCGCGCTATTATTTAAGCTGCGAGATCCCCGGCACCACCGGCGCCCTCGGGAGTCGCCCTCCCACGACAAAACAGGCCAATCACTACGCCCAAATGCACGCTGAATCATCTGGTGTAACCGTCCGCTAGGATTGGGGCGGCGTGCCGACTCTTATCTGTTTCTCATGGACCAACCGCTAACATAGCTACTGTACGTGTGCTCCAAAACAGGGGAGGATTACGGAGCGTGTAGGATGGACGATTGCATTGTCCACCAGACCTCTGCATCACTGCTGCTATTAATTAATCTCTAATTCGCGCAACCATGCGGCCGCGCCTGCGTCATCGAATACTATGAGGTGGGTGTGTATGAAGCTCCTCATCTTTCAGCTCTTGAAAAAGAAGTGGCTTTTCTCGAGCGGACCGCAGCGCCAGCCGCCTGTGGGAACATTCCCACGAGCATATGCAGCAGTGAATGATTCTGTCCGACAGAAGCACGATTTAGAGCGACATTCATTGATCCAATAATCTCGACACCCCCGGCCCCAATTCTAGAGCCCTTCAACCTCTCGAAGCTCCGTTGTCAAATGGTTCCGTCGTCGAATCTCTGACCACCGGCTGTAAGTGCCGGCTTCAAGAGTGTTTATCTTGCGGGTGAAGCCGCTTGGAAGACCCAGGATTACAGGTTCCCAACCCTGGGCATCCTCCTCTCTGGTACGGTCTCGACCAACAGGAATCATTTGGACGCTCTTCCATTTGTACAGCACGACGGTGAGAGCAAGAGTGAGCGCCATGAGGACACCAGCGACGATGCCAGCGGATTGTTCTGCACCGTACCTTCGTTCCACACGACCCCCAATGCCTGTGGCGACTGCGCCGAACACAAACATGAGGAACTGGGTTACTGCAACGCCAGCACTAACTCGTGGATAGCAGGAGAAGTTGGTTCTTTGCTCTCGAATGCGCCCGGTGATGGATTTCCGAGCCGGACGTCCAGTCATACCCGGTTGCAAGTCTGATGTATCAAAGGTACCCATCAGTAAAGCCAAACACTCTGCGATCGCCAAGTTTGCGCCGAAACCAACAAGACCAGCAAAAATGCACGGCACTGCGATGGGAAACGGCGGATCTCTGGAAGAAAGTGCGTATCCGATCGCTGTGAGCGGTAGGAACAGTGTGTACAACATTCGGCGTACAGTATGCGAAGACCAGACCATAGCCTTTTGGAATGTCATGCTGTCGGTCCGAGTTGGGTGATAACGTGATCGACTGAACCAGGAACCGGTCTGGAAAGGAATTGCCAAGGCTGACCCAAGAGCGAGAGAGAAGACACAGGCGCCGACTACATTTGCGTGCAGCCGGTATTGAGTCGAGGCCAGGGCACCGAGTAGCTGCTGATATTAGCCAGAGCCACATCCAACAATGCGTAACTCACCATGATCACTAGGATGAATTGCGCATACACCCAAGCGCCATAGATTGAGAGCACCAAAAAGCCTGGCTGCTTGACCATGCGCCAGCTCAACCGGATACCGGCAAGGACTTCCTCGCCCCACCAGTAGGGCCCATTTCCGGTGAGATGGAACTTGATTTCGCCACGAGCAACCCTGCTGAAGCTGCCTCCTTCCCCCGTGATTTCCGCAATGGTTCGACGGAAGGCAGATCGACGCACTTCCGGTGCCATGACGTTGAGCAGGGTTACAAGCATCAGCAACAGCGACGAAATCCAGAAGCCCCAGTCCACAGACGCGCCGTTGATGATGATGGCTCCCAACAAGAAGCCTATGCTGATTGTGGCAATAGAGCATGAGGACCAGAATCCTAGCCACAACCCCATGCCTCCGCCATGTCTGCGAACATCGTACGGGTTGCCTTGTTCCTGCGACTCATCACTCTGCAGAGACGCGCCAAAGACATCCAGCAACGTTGCGAAATTGTTGATGTTGGCAAATCCAAGAGCAAAGCCCGAAATACCACGCGACAAAAGCAGTACGATTCGGTACCGCCCCACGTCCGGATCTCTGAAAGAGAGTACCATAACGCCCTGAGGTATTTGCAAGCACAGTGCAGACGCCAATGAAAGGAGCGTGTACGGTTTCCTCCCGTGCAGGAGAGGTAGCGGCCAGAAGATCAGGGTGGAAATGGCCAAGCCGATGTAAAGGCATACATTTCCAAGGATTACCTGTCGATTGACGTCGACAATCACGTATTGGATTGCGGGCACTTCTCCTGCATATATGCCGATGATTATACCGATGCACGCGGTATTGATGCAGCTCATCCATGCAGCAAAACGCTTCCGCGAACTCGGCCAGTTCCGTGCAACTGGAGCATGATGACAAGTACTGTGAACGTTCAAATCGTCTGGGCTCTCGGCTATATCGACATGCCGCGCACCATTGAGGTCGATCTTGTAGTCTGGGTAGGCCTCCGAATGTGCCATGTTGATGCTCACATGTCGGGATGGGACTCCAAACATTTGGCTGAAGTGTCTTTCATGACCCGCCCGGGTTGTTCCGAGCAGCGGTTCCTTGTCTTCCTCAAAGTGGACCTTCAGTTTGTCGCCATTCAACTGGATGGCAGGTGTAGGCAGTGGTGTGAGAGGTCGGCTCTCTTCATCCCGTCTTGCAGAAGTGGTTCGAGGTCCGATTTGAGGAGGGGAGAGAAAGAGCCTCGTTGCTCCAGGGAAACCAGAGCTCGCCTCGGCTGATGTTCTGCTTCGTACCAGTTTTGGCTTCTTCTCGTACAGAGGCTCCGCGACCGGTTCTGGTGGCAGGACAAGCAGATTATCAGCGCTACAAGCTCCCTGACAGCGAACTGTCTCGCTTTCCGTCTCTTTCTTATCCTGAGGGTACGGCGACTTGGGCGAAGATGGTTTCGAACTCGGGGATTCGCTGTTCTTTGTGGAATCTGGCGCGGTTGCTTTCGAAGAAACTTCCTCGAGGTATTGGCTGATCTTCTTTGCAAGACCTAAAGTCGGGCGACGTGACAACTGCTGGCGTGTCTCGTCCGGGAAGGACTGGTCGACAGGAGCACCTGCTGTTTCAGCAAGCTCGACGGCTTCTGCCACGAGACGTTCTAGATCACGAATAGTTCGAGCCATGCTCTGGGACAGTATCACCCCAGCATCATCGTCAGATTCTTCTCCGCCGGCGCCATCCCCATAATCGAGGCGCGTGCTGCTGGATTGGGTGGTCGAATCAGTATTCCTACCAGGACCCAGAGCCTGTTTGCCTTTGGCGGAAGTCATGGAGACCAGGGTAGTACATGTAAATGGACCAAGGGAAAATCTCCTTCGTCATGCGAGATGAAGATGGTGTGTTGGTAGGTCGGTTTCAGAGTAAAGACGGAAAGATACAGTGCGAGGGACCAGGAACCGAAGGATCCTAGAAGAAAGAAAGAATAACGGCATAGTCAGTAAGAGATCATCTCGAGATGCTGAGAAGACCTCAGGTAAACGATTCAAGGAACAGTGGTTGCGCCTACCTCCATTACGATTGCCACCATACATCTGCGCTCCGAGCCTGTACTCGACACAGTCATTGCGACCCGGTTGTTCCTGACCTCCCTTAACATTGTCTTTCAAGCAATGGGTAGACAAGCTTGGGTGAGCTTGACCTCGACAGCGGCACAGGCGTGAAGCTGCTTGCCCGGCACGAGCGAAACGTCGAACTCGACAATGGTGTCTCAATCCAAACTGAGATGAGACTGGGGAGACTCTGCCCTGGTGTGCGTTAGCACGACGGTATGAAGAGAATGGAGTGCCCCTCCTACATATCCTCGGTTAGACTCGTCTTTTTCACTTTTTACGGACCGGGTGCCAAAAGATGACGGTTCATACTGTACGACAACAGGCACCACCTCGCCATATGACCATTTGCAACCCCCCCTAGAATGCAATAAGTGGTCACCTGTCGCTCAAGGGGATTGTTGACGGAGTCGCCGGCTTTCTTCTGATAGCACAAACAATAAGAGCAACGTCAGCTCCTTTATCGCGAAGTGAAGCATTCTTGTTTGACGCGCGAACAAAGTCTCTGCCGAAACTCCGAAGTTTCTCTTTGTATATTGGCACAATGGCCAACTGTTTGTTGACGGGGACTGTTGCAGTATCTCTCGCGATCTTATTGTGATTCCGTAGCACAAAGCACCCTTCTTTTCCTTCCGTAGGCACGCTTACCTCCCGACTGCTTGTGATCAATATCCTTTTCTTCGGTGTTCGAGTGTAGTAGCAAGTGGCTGGTCTTGGTTTCTAGACCACGGATCATGCAGTCTACGGATCACAGCGAGGTTAGAGACCCGGACAGCGGCTCTGCTGAGCCATGCACCAGTGGGCCGAGGATGTCTTACAGTCTCCCCCTCAGCCTGTCGTGCTCGAAGCAAGTCCGAGGATGAGGGTGAAAATATCGCGCTCATCTCTGGCAGTCACAACTCCGCTACCTCCGATGAGGGTGATGATTCGCCGACTTCATCCTGTCCCTCCCCGTCGTCGTCTTCTTCAAATTGACCGTCTGAAGGTGAGTGGGAGGATAAGTGGAACACCTTCCAAGAGGCTTACGCTGACCATGCTCAGTCCTTCTGGAACACTGATGATGCTTTATACTTTGACGACCCCGTTTCAGGAGGTATTGGCAGCGCTCTTGACCCCAGTAACCCAGTCGTCGGCGCAGGCACTGGACCAGAGTATTTGAACATTGATGCAGTCAACCCGAATACGGGCGTAGGTCTCAACACCCCCACTCATGCCGGCGCCTATTTTATGGACATCGCTGGTCAGAGCCCCGAACAAGAGCAAGCACATGCTGATACTCTATGGCCAATCATAACACCCATTTCCGCCACGATCAACAACCCAGCGACAACGCAGTGGCAGATAGCTAAAGCTGGACCCCGACGTTGGACTCCAAATACGGATTCTTGCGCTTTGGAAACTGCACCAACACAATGAGTCGTTGGTTGCAAGAGCACGGGCTCATGCGGAAAAGGCCGCAAGGGAGGAGGAGTTAGAACAGAGAGTCATGGTCCTCGAGTGCCTCCACCAAGGCACAAAGAAACAGATGGCCTTCGTCTACGCAAGCCCAAGCACGGAAGAGTCGAAGGATATGGTACCGTCATCCGAGATACCTTCGGCATGAGGAATCACTTGGCAAGCGCAAGGAGGGGTATGACAGAGAGTGCGGGATGAACTTGTAGGTCAGTCACAATTTTACTGCTCAAGGCTAGAGATATGGGAGCGCCGTGCAAGCCACGTGGGACGGCCCTGACATTCGAGACATAATTAGTTGAAACAAGAAGTGAGATTTTATTCTTGCCGATCCAGGTATATCTGCTGATGGTATGGTGGAGCCGTTGTTGGCATCTGTGCTGTCCAGCTGGCAGCACCACTCGTATGATACTGTCGCAAGGAGGACGCCTGCACGGGAATCGAACCTACGTAGCCCGCTTCGGTCCGCAAATCTCCCGATCTACAGTTCACTGGAAAGTTCAGATGTCCATCAGCCCTACGCGGTTTGGGCGAGAGCGCTAGTGGTTACACAATCCGCTTACTCACACGTGGAGATGACAACATCGGAAGCGCCTTCCGCAAACCGAACGAAATGCTGTGTGACGAGATGGAAGTTCGTTCCGACAGCGTCACTTCTGTCTTCAGACGTCACAATGGAATCCGAGGGGGGTTCACTGCGCAACCAGACTCAAGCACTTCAGCTTGCGTTCAAGGAGAGTTTAACGACATCATCAGTAAAGGCAGCAGTCCTTGCATACTCGTTCCGAAATGGCGTCCAGCATTAACGACTTCGGCTCGGTCTCCAACGGGCTCGACCGGGCGCAGATCGATGTGGGACCTCGGAGCGATGATACCACCGATCCGCGACCGTCTCCAGAGGCAATGGACTACCAGAAACCATCAATCCGCCAGGCGGTCAAAGACAATCTCCTCTCGGCGGTTGTGCATCCCCGTTTCGGGATCAATAAAATCAAAGCCGCCATCGATGAGAAGCACGAGGCATCGCACAGCCAACCGCATGAACACCACCACGACCATGCGCCTACGCTTGCACCACCTCCGCCGGACAGCTCCGTGGAAAACCAGAGACTAGACAATACCTTCGAGGATAAACCAAAGTTCCCTCCAGTCAAAGAGTTTATACACCAACCAGTCCAATCTATCATCTCTACGGTGCAGGACCAACGCGGGAATGACTTTGCCGAGAGCATAGCCAAGGCCGAGATCGCTCACGGCGTAGACGTACAACTTCTACAGCAGGCCGACAAGGTCCAGAATGCCTCGAATGAGACCCAGGAAGAAGCCGAATATGAGACTTTTGTCCAGATGAAACAGCTCAGGCAAGATTTCTTCGTACGGTGGACAATTGATCGACATGTGAGGATACTAGGGAGGATAAAAGCCTCACCACCTCCTCCTGCTCGACCGGCGCTGTTCGCCAAGAATAGCACAGAAAACAAGCGACTCCCCTGGACGGCATACATTCAGCAGGCAAGTACCAGGCCAAAGGACAACAACACCTTGGACTGACACACTCTTTTTTAGATCCTGAAGTATCAGTTGGAAGCGAATGCGCAGAATTATATCGACCCCGAGTTTAAGATGCCTATGCCTGACCGCAAACTGCTGGCATCCAGTGTCGAGCGACTCATCGTCGACTCTACACCATTACAGACAATCGTAATGAAGCTTCGGAACGTATCTCATTGGGAGGACCCACGCAAAAGCTTCGGCTACATGACCCTGTATTTCTTCCTGCTGTTCTACAGTTACATCACTCGCGCTTTGGTACGTAACGAAACTTGGTTTTTTGTTGTGGCTAATTTGAGAAGATCCTCTACATCCTTTTGAAAGTCCTATACCGACGCTGGCATCCTCCGACTCTGAGCAAGATGCGAGAGGCCACCGTCCACTCTGAAGATCAAGATGCTATCGCACAGAACCTGGGCGAGCTAATCACGCAGTATGGCACTCGTGGATGGGTCGACCGCGTCATCCAGGAAGCGGGACCGGCTGTGTTTGACTCGTTGGAACGTCTTGCTGACATCCTCGAGAGGACACAGAAGTACGTGTGGTCTCTCACCCTGCTCCGATCTGCCGCATCGTGCCATTTCTGAGAGCTGTCGCACTGATACCTCTCTCCAGCTTCTACGAATGGCGGAATCCGCGCTACACGGGTGTGACACTGGGATTCCTCTTTACTGGTTTCGTTATCATTACCCTGACGCCAACCTGGCTCCTGGTTCAAATGAGTTTTCTTGGTTGTGGAGTAATATTCTTCATATTGACACCAATCGGTGTCCGGTATCCTCGGTATCGACTGCTTGCCAGCCCAATAACTTGGCTGTTATGGAAGAGTCCTACTCACGGTAAGCCAGTCGCGCCTGATTGCTGCCCCACAAGATCCAAAAACGGCTGACTACAGATGATCAGCGGAATGGGCCGTCTCACGCCTGCAGAGCGAAGCTCACCAGTACCTCACCTCCGACAAGACACTCCGAACCGTTGACAGGGACACCCATCTCATAGGTACCTACACATGTAAAGACAACAACGACGTCCAAGGCAGGCTCATCGTTCTGGTGACTTCCGTTTCTTTCGCACCGAAGCGCTCAGAGCATCACCTCAATTTGACCTCGAGCTCGCGTTCTGCAAATAAAGAAAAGGACGCCGGAGGATGGAATCTACTATTCGACGATATCAAGGAGATTCACAAGATCACCGAGCAGAACAGTCATGGCGGTGAGGAGGCAGGGCTGGAGTTTGTGCCCTATCAGGGGGAGAAGAGGGCGGTCATGCATTTGGCACGTAGGGACGAGGTATTCAGCCAGATCGTGGGCTTCAGCGGGTTGCAGTGGAAGAGATGTGGCTGAAGTGGTACGGCGGCAATTCGATCGACAATGGTGAGCTATTTCCCGTCATGGCGTGGAGTTCTGGACGGCGGAGCTGTTTTTGATTACAGCGAGGAGTTCTGGACAGGTGATATTGCGTACCGGCACAGCATTCACACCTGGAGGTGTAATTCTGTACGAGTATGATTATTGGGAAGGATCATTATAGTCGCAGGGAGCGGGAGCAAGACTCATGACGGTATGTCAGTCACGAATTCCATTCACTTTCAACAGCGGCTTCCGTTCGGTCCTCACAATGCGTGGTAAAGCTGGAAGGGAGCGATGTCCACGACCTAGTGATGATCCATGCGATTATTGTGCTCCAGTCATCCGCGCTCTCTCTCTCTCTCTCTCTCTCTCTCTTATTTACAGACTCGGTGGGTCTCCAAGCGACGTTGGCTTGCCTTATGGGACCGGAGGTAGGATATAGAGCTGTCCATACGCTGCGACATCGAATACCATACATGTATAGGAATCAAGTGGATGGGTATCGTCACTCCTTATACCCGTGTAGGATTCACTTACTTACCTGCGTGCATAAACTCACTTTCCTAGATTCCCTATCGTATATGATTAACTGCCGGTATAAACTCACTTTTCGTACTCTCATCCTCGACTCTTCGCTCTCTCTTGCTTATAGATAAGATACCTCTGCCAGCGGGCGTTAGCTTACCTTGTTAGACCATAGAGGTAGGATAAAGTACCTTTCCACATGCTGCGCCATCCAACGAACACCGTACGTGTAAGAATCTAGTGGATGGGTATCGTAATGGCTTATACTCTGTAGGATTTGCTTGCTTACCTGCCCGCATGAACCCACTGCCCTAAGTTCCTGGATAGTATGCGATTGCTTACCCGCCTGCCGGTAAGAATTTACTTATGTGCCATGGAAATCAAGAGGGAGGGGAGAAGGTGAGATCCGAACCTAGTCCAGCCCAGTCCAGGTTAATACTGTCTACTTAGGCCCTGTCTAGGGCTGTAATCATTTCCTAGTGACAGTCTGATAGCAGAGGAGATTGTCGGGCAAAGGCTGCAGGCTGCAGGCTGCAGATCCATCGACACTCTAGTCAAACAATTATGTTACGACCGGCCCTCCCCCCAGAAACGCAGCGTGGCAGTGTAGTGAGGATGTGTCTGGTGCGATTAAAAGCCTCTAGACCTACCAAAGTAGCGTTCAAACGAGCAAAATCTCCTCGATTACAAACGGCGGCAACGGGCACGTCCTTTCCCACTCGTACACGCCTCTCCAATCCCATGCTAACCCGTCATGAGATCCACAGACCACCAGGACGTGATTGTTAGAGCCCTGATACGGTAGGGGAACGTTTCCGGGCCCTCTCGCGGGACATACCTGCAGTAAGATGCCGTGGGCGAAGTCTGAAGTATAGCGCTTCGCAATGGCAGCCAGCTTTTCATCAGCACTGGTGTTCTTTTCCAATTGTAGCCCGTCTGGGACATCTGCTGTTGTGAATCGGCATGTCAACCATTTCGCACGTAAGCCGTCAGCGGTTATCTCTCCGTCCTTTGCATCACCGCCGTCATACGCGAGAAACGTCTTCTCATGCGCGATGTCGGTCGCGGTATTAGTGGTAGACCTGCGAGGCAGTGTCGGGCGGGACGGCGCCCAGCGGAACCCTGCGACATCTTGTAATCGAGGCGCGCTCGAGACCAGAGCACCTGTCGAGATCTTCTTGCCTATTTGACGTCTCCACATTTCGGTGGCATCTTGGCTTGGGGTATCGCCGATCAGCAGATTCCAGATGAGCACGTCGTCTTCGTCACGAGTTGCGTGCCGATGGCTGAGAAGGACGGCGGCTTCGCCCACGCTGATGAATCCTTCTGCAAGTTGAAGATCTTCTTCTGTGGCAACGGAGCCGCCGCCCTCGAACAGCTCGATATCCGTTATATCGTCCGGGGGAAGAAGATACGACCGAGTTAGGTACGGCACAAGTATGTCAATACTCCCTTTCTGATACACTGTCTGTAGCACGTCGTATAGTTTGATGGTCCTGTCGTCGGCACACAGCAGGTAGAGGGAACTTCTTCCGCGCATGGACTCAAGCAGTGTCCAGGCTCTCATGTTCCAATCGCAGACGAGGAGGGTTGCAAGCAACTTCTCGCACGCATCCACGCTTGATCCCGTGATATCAATGGACATTAGATCTCTATCGCAGACGAGCGTGATTTTGCTTGTTGTGAATATTTCTTGGATATTGGCGATGCATTCCCGTCTTAGGCCCTTCTCGCTGGGGATGCATGGCGTATCCATCCAATATGACGAGCAGCCGAGCGAGACGGCGACACCGGAATACCGCTGGTGCAGGCACATATTGAATCCCGTACCCTCGGGCCCTTCTTTGTCCGGTCGTCCTCCCTGGCCATGACTCCAGATATGTGATATTGCGAGAGTCTTCGTCGTGACCTGGCAATAGCGCAGGCCGCTCGTACTTGTGGCGGCAATGTCAATCGCTTTCGGCCCAGAGACTGCGACAAATGACTCTCGCGACCAGAATAGTCGGGGGCATTTTCCCGAACATCTCTGCGTGTGCATAGACTGGTTAACGACGGTCGTGTTCTCGAAGCGGCCGCAGGAGACCGAAGATAGACCATTACACTGCACATGTCCAGCGTTGCAGACGGCCTTTCTGTCACCAAAGCAAGCATGAAGATGTTGCGCTATGTGGCGGACATCTGACGAAATACATGCGCGGTCTTCGATGAGGTTTCGATAAGCCCATGCACAAAGATAGGGAGTGGCCTTCAGGTCAGCGTGCTGCATCTTACTACGATACTCGAATATCTCGAGCACAAGATCTTGAGCTCGGATTGAGTTCAGACCCCTGATATTGTAGTTGAAGCCATGAAGTTGTGGGCCAACACCAGACCGCAAGTGTAGCATCAGAATCCTCTGCCACGAGGTCCATAGGAATGCGCAAACAACAGACCATCTCTGCGGATGACCACGCCCCTCGGATGCCAGATCAAGGCTGAGGCGGAGGAGGTAGATGGTGGCATTGAGGAGACGCACTAAAGGTGGGGGGCCATATTGCCGGGAAAATTGCGCTTGGGCTATGCACAAGACAAGCCGGAGAACAATTGTGTCCACGTGGTTGACTGCCAGTAATGAATCCCATAACGTCTCTGCGATCATATCAGACCGACGGGCATGAGGTGTAGTTGGCAACAAGTATTCGTCGTCAAACGGGCCCTGATATGGGAGAGCCCCTAGGATTGTGGGTGATGTGACTGGTAGCTGACGCAGAATCTCAGCCGCCCGATCGAAAATCTTGCGCACATACAGCGTCAGCAGCCTCTCACTCCGTGCTATGGTCATTGCATGATGAGAACGGCGAACATGCCTGCTGCTCGACTGTGACCGCCCTCCCAAGGTTCCCTAGCCAGTACGTATCGCTATAGCTTTTGTCCAGCTGCGTAACATGGAGTTGAGGATCGGCGGTATCTTCGTACAGCTTGAGGCAAAGCCTTTTTGCTTGTCCTGCGTTTGGAAGCCCGTGTTCTGAATGGTGGTTAATGAGGGAATAAAGTTCGTACTCGCCTCGTCGGCGGCCATTTTCGGGGTCGTTCCACACGGCGCATAGACGGTCCTTGGAGAACGAGAATTCGCCAGCCTGCGGCGGCATTATCAGTCATGAGGAAGACTGTGACCTGGAGGAGAATATTATCTTCCAGGTGTCGTCTGACTGTTCTACTGAGTTGTGAAGTAAGAGGAGAGAAAGAGCGAGATGTTAGATTAGGGAGCGGAAAGTGAGCATGTGCTTTACCGTATCCGTACTCGATTTATACTCTACCGTAATTGTGTCCGGCCTCAGTCAGTGGAACTTGTTCCTAGAGTCTCTTTCAAGAGTCCCGCTCGATAGTCAGTTTCGGACATGGCGAAGTAACTGCCATTAGATCTCTCTAGAAGCACATCAAAGGCGTGCCTGCCCGACGGGCCTTATCACGAACCCGATCCGGGGAAAGTGTACCCTCACAGCTCCCACCCTCGGCCCTTCCCGGTCTGTCTTCTGAGGCCTGATAACAATTTCCTCAGGCCCGATAGTCAGGAGGGTCCCCACCGTCGGACTATCCCTTCCAGTATCATCAGGCGCAATAGTGACCTCCGCACCCGTCATAAGCCCATTCCGCCTGTCGAGCTCGTGATGAGGTCCAGCCGGCGTGGGTGTCAATGGCACCCGCTCCGCGAGCTTTGTGTCCTTCAACCTTTGCAGGGTTTTCTTGATACCCGCATCATCGGTCCGCTCGATCCTCGTCTCTGTGCTCGGCAGACTGTCAAGATGACCTTTGAAGCGCTCGAACCAGCCGACCAGCCCAGGGTACCTCTCCTTATTGAACACGCTTTTCATGCCTTCGCCATCTCCATCCCTCGCTCCTCCACCCGTCAAATCATTGATTCCTTCGCCCCGCGAGATCTTCTCCCCCCAATCAAGCTGATACCACACCGCCACATCTGCTGCACTAGGCTTGTCGCCTTCAAACATCCACTTCTTGCCATCCCCAACGAGCAAAGGCTCCAACAAACTCAATTGTAGGTCCAACCCACTCAAATTCTGCGGCACTTTGCGCGCGAGCTTTTCCGCATCAAGGATGTGCCCGATGAGATTCGCGCGGTCCACGCCAAAGTGCGTACGCCAGACGGTGGCGGGGATGAGGCCTGTTGTCACTCGGAAGAGCGGACGGTCGGTCCAGTAGGAGGCGAAGCCCCGAATGAGGGAGCGGTATGTCGCAGCGTGGCCGGACGGGTAGAGAGAGCTGTAGCCTCGAGAGGGCGGGAAATGGTGTTCGAGGGCCTCCAGAATGAGCGACGTGTCGATGTAGATCTACCGGTACACACCTAGTGTTTAGTCGGGGTTGTCGCATGTAATTATCGATCGGAGTGTCTACCTCTCTTCCGATAGCCACAACAGGAATCTTTCTATATGTGACGTTGAAATTGTCCTTCAGGATCGGCCGAGGCATCATCGAGGGAACGATAACAAATGCTGCTCGGTCAGTGAGAGTCCACCTCGAACTCGAAGGAATGCCTCCAAAAGGCTCCTATTCAAACAGGAGGCCAGTCCGTTCGGCGCGGATCGTCTAGCCGCTCTGGGTATCATTCTCTTGAATGGGAAGTGGAATGCAGTACTCACTGTAGGGTATCTGTTTCAGCTTAAGCGCCAATCTGACCTTTTGCGTGAACGGAGAGGCTGCATGTCCATCTGATTAGCCGTGGTTGTGTTCTGGGAGCCATCCACCCGTTCGAGGCAGACACTCACAGTCATATCCGAACAGCACGACCGGCGGCGTCTCACTGGACTCAGGAGCTGCCATGTTGAGGCCTTGAGATTCGACTAGACCTGTGGGAAGAAATCACGACCCGCAAAAGTCAAAAGTTTCGGGAAGGCAACAATTAATAGTAGATCTAACGATTGTGTACCCCGTTCACCAAGACCGGTATTTGCTCGTGCAAGCGGAAGATCCGTACACGCCCCAAGCTGTGAATACGCGCCTGGCAATAGAACGACACGCTGATGTTATGTGGACGTCGGACGGATGGACGGTCAGCGTTATACGAAAGGGAAAGTACCGAAGGAACCTCGGCCCGCTGGTCGAACATCCGTCGATATCCGTCGCTCCAATTTCCATAATACCATAATTTCCTACTGTGTACGGAGTATATCTGTCCGCTATGTCACAAGGCGCTAGAACCGGCTCGGGACCAATACCGTCCGCATTCGTCTCCCTATGCCCGGCTACACCAGACTAATCTTGGTCGCATTGTTCAGCAGGGGCACTCTGTACAGCGCGTAGGGTTTGACGCGCCTATCCACACCACCCTGCTGCGAGGGCCCCCGAAACAGCTGGTTCTCCGTGAAGTACAGATAATTCCCTGACACAGAGAATGTATCTGTCCACTCAATCCTGGGGTCTCTGACATATGTCTGGACTGTTCCATTTTGCGGGTTAAAAGTGACGATTGAGTCGGTCTCCACGCTCCCTGCGTAAACAATGCCGTTTGAATCGCTCTCAAGCCCGTCACTGACGCCTTTCTGCCCGAGGTCCATGACCGAGCCTGTAGCGAACAGTTCAGAAGACAAACCACGATCGCGAAGGCGAGCCGTAGGAACACCGTACAAATGACGCCCCGAAACAACCGAAAAGTAGAGTGTTTCGCCGTCATTAGATAACGTGATGCCATCCGCGCCGAATGCGAGCCTCGAGACCGGCATGCCATTGCCGGGATTCATATAGACTGACTCGCCCCAGACGCTTGCGTAGAAGCCTGGCTCAGGGCGGACTTGTGGAATATTATTCAGATGCCGCCAAGACTCTCCGGTCCCGAGATCAACCACAATGATCCCATTACGACCTTCACTGGACGAGTCCGTAAGATACGCGATGCCTTGACCAGATGAAGTGACCGATGGACGCAGGTCAAAACGGACGTCATTAGGATAAGAGTCGGGGAGTGCGACGGTCGGCGGGAAGAGAATTGTTTGGAAGATAGAATTGTTCGTCAGGTCAATGCCAACAAGCTTCGGTCCACCAGGGTTTGACGTCGTCAGGGTGCCATTACTCAGCAGTGCCCGACCCGTGTCAAGGACCCAGAGACGATCTTTCGGGTCGACAACGACACTTTGAACAGAGATGAAATAACTCGAGAGACCCTTGGATTGTGGCGGATTGGTTGAATAATCGACAGCGCCTCCTGGAGGCGTGTTGATCTGAGTATTCGGAAACGGGGTCTCGGTGTTGTTTGACCCAAGCTCGGCGACTTGATATCTGGTATTCGTGGCGTCGAGCCCGAGTGGATAGCAGGAAAAGATACGCCCGGACGACGAAACCGCGACACCTGTATGAGAGAATGAGCCAGGATCGAGAGACATGCAGGCTTGGTCTCACCTGTCGGCCACTCGTCGAAATACAGGTGCACAAGTTCGAGTGGCGGACCTGTACCGATTGGATCACGAAGTGGCTGTTGGGCCGTTGCAGTTCCGAGGACTGCAAGGACAGCGAGAGCGCCGGTAGTCAGCTTCATCTTCGATTGAGCTTGACGATTGAACGATACTTGGATAAACTTTAGGAGACTTCGCAGCAGGAAGTGCTCTGGAGCTTCGTGTATGAGGCAGCAGCTTGTAAAAACTGCCGAAGCTTGATTCCTTGTCGGTCTCCCTGCATGAGAGTCATGAGCTCATGGCGGAGACAGTATCCGTGCCTCCCAATCATGGTACACGGGGAAGCCCCATTGGCAAAGTAGAAAAGCTGGAGGAGCATCCGAACACCACGATGATAGGTGTGCCTGTCGATTTTGCTTTTGAGCTCCCTGATGCGGCTTGGTGCGCGCGGAGAACGTTGCACGATCGACGTCATGGTGACTCGCGGTCGATCCGAGGCTGACGAGGCTGAGCGACGAGGCTGAGAAAGTGTGCTTTACGGATGCGGTTCAGAGTATCCGAAGCCCGCAGCATTCAATCGATGCTGGTCGCACAACTGCTTTCCGCTTCCACCAGAGCTGCACCAGTTCTTCCACAAACTTCTTGTCAGACGCGCTCCAGCTATCCAGGCACATCTCAATCATGTCTTCGTGGTTGATGTCGACCTCGGCCTTCTCACTCTGATTAGCCAGGAGTGCTTGGTTTTCCTCCTGCGTAGACTCCACGACCGGGCTTGTGCCACTCTCCTCCTCTTCCTCATCCCGGTAACGCTCCGAGCTCTGGTCGTTGCCGTCCACTCTTGCAATTGCGGATGCCAGTGTGTTGAAGATTGTACCCGTCATGCGCTGGAAGAACCCCACCACTGCAACCTCCCGAGTTTGATTTTCTTCCTCTGGACCGTGCATGAGCGCCTGATCTCGTTCGCTTTCACTCTCCTCGCCTTCACCAAATCCAGTGCGCCTGTCTCCAGCGGACGCCCACCAAACCATGGAGTTATAAGCGACCCGGGACCAGGATGACGGCTCGATCACCTCCTTGTTCACCGAATATGAGGACGAAGCCGACAAGACCGATGAGACATCGCTGTCTGTTGCCGCAACATCACTGTGCTCCAAAAGGCGTAGAGTCGTCAGCAGATGCGAGAGCCGATGAGCATCTCGCCGGGTAGCTTTGATGCCAACCCTTGGGAAAGCCTTGGTCAACTCCGGGCTCGAAAAAACGACACGAGGAAAGACTTGGGTCGCCGCTTGCCGTGCCTCAGATTTGGGCAAGAGGACAAGAACATCGTAAAGGTCAGGTTTTGAAGCCAATACATCGTCTGTCGTGCAGGCGATAAAGCTTCCGCTTGGCCCTGCCGCCTTCTCCTGCTCCAATCTGGCAATATCCATAACGCCAACCGTGAATAGGGGACGCAGCCTGATAATGGGAACATCGGCCTCCGGTAAGACAGACAGCACTGGTTTGGGTATGGACGACAAGATGGAAAGATTATATACTGTAATATTTGGTTAGCGCTGGTCCACCTACTCAAACATCTCGTCCTCACCAAGATTACAGGCGAATTCGACTGGCGCGTCTGTCACAATCAGAATGCGCTTGCGGAGTAGCGCCGCCCGGTAGAGTGGGAATATGAGAGGACCGAATAGCTTTACAGAGTCCATTAGAGTTAGGGCGGGATGATGAGGAGTCAGGGAACGGTGTGAGGAGATGTAGGTCGTTCCGGTGGACATGCTCCTGGAATTAGTGTACCCATTCGGTCGCTGCAATGCATCATCCGCTGCAGGATTCCGAGGTGTCTGGGGAGTGCGCTCCTCGGGCTTCTGCCTGTATTTTTCCCAGTACTCTTCAAGCGCGGTTGTGTTTGTAGGAGTGTCGATTTGTGCCCTGTCTGCGTTCAGACATGGCCCATGCGGTGCGTATCTTGTATGCGTACCTTGCGAGCTCCTTCAAAGTCTCAGCATGGCGCCAGCTCCGACCTATGCGACCACGTTCCAACGGAACCAGAATGCCGACAGCCAACATTCGGGCAGCGCGATCGGACTGCTGGTCGGGTTGATTGATGAATGCACTGAGCCCGGCATATTCATCGTGGATAAAGTATCTTCGAGCTTTCAGCAGATAGCCCTTAAGACGTTGTGTGCCACTCACACGAGATCTTCCTCGACGTTGTGTAGGCCGGAGGGTAGGGACTTGAACTCGACGACGCCCTCGAGTTGGACTGTAACGCAAGATTAATTCGCAGTTCGGCAAACATGGAGAGCTGTGGAACTGACGATCGTCGATAGACTTGTGCCATCCTAATGTATACCTGCCACCGTTCAGTAGACGTCGGAAGCAAAGGTCGCGCGTGCGCACCCTTTACGATGGTCGAAGTTGACCAAGAAGACAGCGGCAATGGAAGGGACAGCGGGCTCATTGTTGATGTCGATCTTCAGCTGGTTTGCGAGCTGCTCCGCCATAGCTTGGATTGAATCTTCATGCTGCCAGCATACGCTGACATGCTTCCAATCCTAAGGTATGTAAATGGCGTAGTTGACCGCAGACTGCGGCCGATTTGTACTTAGTAAAGTTGCCCCAGGCGCTGTGGGACAATGTTAAATGACACCATTGCCGACGTTCAAATGACGATATAGCTTGACTTTACTTGACTTCACGTTGACTTCACTTTGACCTCGCTGCCATCCCCTTCCCTTATCTACCTTCACTGCTAGTGTCACTGCTTAGGCGCACTTCTCTCAACACCAAAAAAGGATCCAGGTTCAAGTCACAGAAAAGGCAAAAACTGAAGGTTGGAGAAGTCGCTTAAGGTTCCCTGGCCCAACCATCAGAAACTCGCTTCTTTCGAAGTTGGTTTTTTCCTGCCACATTGTTATCATCGAATCCCAATGATCCGATCTCAGCTACCGCCGCTACGATCTGGTTGTTTGTCTGCTTGCTACGGTTGCTACGGCTTACGACCTACGATCGAGGTGCTTGATGCCTGCTAACCGGTGTTAGTTTGTCCTGTCAAGACCTGGATCGGAGGGATACTTCGCTCGGATTTCAGATCTCAATCGGGTTCCTGACGCCCCTACCCGGTGGTAGTTCGACCCGAGCAGGAACCAGATTGGATCTGGCGACGGCTTGGTTCGAATCGCCCATTCCATTGATGCCTCTGTGGAGAGGACGACACAATGGGTATGGGGGTCTTTGCGTGATTTGATTCTTTTTTTTGCAGGTATGATATATCAAGACTATTTTTTGGTGACCGGACCTTGGGCGGCGTGTCATGTGATTGCGGCGGCGAGGTGTGTTGCAGGTGAGTGCGTGAAAAGTATCTACTCTCGGTGTTCTGCAGCAAGACGATATCGCGAGACAGAGCATGATTCTGGAAGATGATAACTTCTCTCGCTATTACATTCTGTCTCTTTGGCCTTGCTCATACTGCATGCAAACTTCTATACAGGTACGTGACTCTGAGAGCGGTTCATCAACATCAGACTACGTGACTATCTGTCAATTCTGCATATCGCCAAAAACGAAGCTCACCATTCCACTATCATCTTCAAGGAAGTGCCCGACGAAGCAAAACACGCCAGCAGGCCTACCAGTCCTAGCCCTTCGATCGTCACATCGACCTGGCTTGCCATATCACAGGAGCCAGTCCTAGATTTCCAGCTTCTGGGGCAGAGCTTGATGTTACACACGGCCTCGCAGGAGACCGGCCACGAGTCGCCAAGCAGAGACTCGCTACGTTCATTGGACACCTGGAGGGAACACAGGGCGAACCAGGATTGGCTGCGGACCGTCACGTGACAGGCTCTGTCGGCCCTGGGGGCACAGCAACAGAGCGAGCAGAGCGAACAGAGCGTGGTGCAGGACACACGGGTATATATA